GACGAGGGGGGGGGGGGTGCTGAGTGATGAGATATGTGTTTGTTTGTGCGTGTGAGTGTAAGTGTGAGAGTGTCGAGAATGCCGATGGCGAGAGGAGACGATATTTGGTATGATGTTATTTTGATTCGAGGCTGATGGTTCGAGAATGGACAGGTGGGGAGACACAAGACGGACGGCAAAGCTATATACTAGAGGCAAGAGAGAGAAGAAAAAAAGAATGGTTTGTAGCATTCGCTAGGCAGTACTCTGTATCCGTACGGATACTCGGTAGGGAGAAGGCATCGAGCCGGGGTCGAGGTCCGAAAGCTGGGATGCGCGGGACAAAGTACGGTAGGGTGGATGAGGAGGATAGGATTGGGGAGAAGGGGGGGGGGGGGGGGGGGGGGGGCGTGATGGTAAGGCGGGCGCGGGTTGGAACGGCGAGCAAAACTGGCGATGGACGGGCTCGTCATACGAGTGAACGACGGAGCGACGGGCACAGGCACGGGGGGGTGGTTGACGAGAGGAAAATGTGACAAGGCCAAGGGGCGTGTCGGTACACCTTCACCTTGACATTGGATGAATTGGTGCAGAGTACTGAGTATGCATACGGATAGATGAAAATGGTACGGCCGGAAGGATCCGACGGTGGGAAAGACTGATGATTGACATGAGATGTGCTGCGGGGAGTCTCTTTGACACATGCACGAGGGAGGGTTCTCGACTCTTTTCTTTTTTTTTTCTTTTTTGTTTTTCTTTTTTCGAGTCTTCTCACTGCAAGACTCGAGACTATCCGTACTCCGTACATACAGTCTGCGAGAATGCGAGAATGCAAGAATACTCGGTACAGTCTACGAGAGTCGCAGGGATGGCATTCCAAGGTTGGGAATAGGGCCATCGGGCGGCCACTCTCGACGCCGGGAACAGCGCGGGCACTATGTACTTTTGTTCCCAACGGCCCAGGGCAGTGAGGTAGGTACCTCGTGTCAGGGCCAACAGCGCTCTCTCTCCCTCTATTTTACAGGTCTATTTTACAGGTACCTCCACCACTGTCTGTAGGTACCTTGTGCTGCAGCATTCCTCTGCATCTAGGTACCTACCTTACAGTAAGGTAGGTTGTCGCCCACGCCTACTTCCAGACCAAGCTAGGCGGGAAAAAGCAAAAGAGCGGGCTGACAAGGGCAGGAACAAGGTCAGGGGTGTGTGCGCAAATCCCGAAAGGGGAGAGGGAACAGTAAACACGACGAGATGGAAAGAGAATAAAAGGATGGAGGGGCATCTCGGGACCTTGGCGGCCACTGCGCACCCGTCCAAGATGGGGAGGAGGAGGAGGAGGAAGAGGCTAGGAAGGGGGGGGGGGGGTGGGGGGGTGGGGGGGGCGTGTGAGACCTGCGAGTTTTGTACTTGTACGTCTGGCATTACCTAATTGGACGTAAACGGCGGACGGGGCCGGTACACATTGGATGGAAAAGGTAAATCCGCGTGTCTGTTGCTTTTTGACAGCATCGTCGCTCGTGTACCGAGTAGGTCATGTACGAATAGGCATTCTTACAAAGTAGGCCATGTTATTTCCTTGACGTGCATAACGACATCCTGGACACTGGTAACTCCGTACACACAAGGTGCGAATAGAGTGGGTGGGAGATCATGGCTGACGTCGTTGACGGTTGCTCGGTGTTTCGTCGACGATCAAGCGAGGGCCTTGACCTTGTTTCCTCGGCGGGGTGTTTACCGCGCTGTAGCTTCACAACCAAGGGCAGTCTGATTTGAAGGCTGTCACTGCTCCTCCGGGCGGCCGTTGTTGCGTCTCGTTCCTGTGGGTGACCGTTTGACAGGTGGCCCGCGGCAGGCAGAAGACGATCGAGATCTCCAGGGTCCCCCCTCCCACCCGCGCGCCGCACTGAGACGGTCTCCCACTACTCGGGTACCAATGTACTCTTCCCTGGCACGGGCAGCCGGTCTCGTCAGCTCCTACAGACTACGAGGGAGGTGCTAAAGCTGCAAAAAGGATGCAAAGCTTCTCTCGGGCGCATCGCCATGTGTGGAGGCTTGCCGGGGCCGGCCACTCGACCCAAGAGGCAACAGACACGTCGATGAATTTGCGCTGTGCTGTCCCCAGAGGTTCCGGGTGGTTGGTTGGCTTCTGCTGCTGCCGAGCACTGATGGCGGCTGCAAGTGCTCTTTACTTAGACTATGCAGGTAGGTATTCCCACCGCCCAGCTCTTGTCGGGCAAGGCAAGCAAATTGGCAGTTGGGAAGGCTGAAAAGAGTAGCAGACGTTTGCGACCGAGGGTGTTGCTCAGTCAGACGCCCGATGATGCCGAGTCACGGAGCCGAAGGGTCAAGGATCCGCGTCCAGTTCTGAGGGTCCTGGGCTTGGGAGCAGCAAGCCCGGCAACGGTACAGCTCTTGGATGACGGTGGTGCGGATATCTACGCAGTGCTCTGTACTCCGTATTCGTAGGTAATGTACGCAGTAGAGGAGACGAAGAGATGGAACGAGTCATCGTAATCGCTTCGCATTGCCTCGATGCAATACAATAGGCACGGCAGATGGTAGAGTGCAGTCACGGTTCATGGGTAGACCAATGGAGAGATTGATATTGGAGGGCCTTGACAATTTGCCAAGTTCGCTAAGGCTGAGTGAGTCCTGACGGGTTCCTTGGTTGTGGGATGGGACGTTGGCGTCTACGGTCTATGGAGCATGGAGGAGCGCATAATGGGCGCATGGCGGACATGAAGGAACAGCGATGCGCCGATGCAGCCATGTCGAGTGTTGGTTCCAAGGTTGAGAGATGAAGTGTCGATATGATGGGTGATGGATGGTGTATCCGTATGGTGTATGGTGTATGGTGTACGGTGTATGGGTTGTTGATGGATGAAGGTGGACGAAGTATGGATCCCATGTTGATGATGGGAGGCGGGGTGGTCTGATTTTCGTGCAGCGTCGAACGTCCCAACGTCGGTGCCAAACAGGCCATCCGCCGACGGAATCGAACGAGGCGCCGCCCGGGGGGAGGGGGGGGGGGGGGGGGGGGCCGCTCGGCCCAGACCGGAGCCAATAGCACGGCTGACTTGTCTGCGAGTAGTCATCAAGTATCGTTTATGCAGTACTTATATGGCAAAGTACATGCCAAAAGACACGGCCAAGGTCTTCCGACTGCTCCCGTGCGACTGTTGAACTTTCAATGTGGCCGTCTTCTCGATCCATCTTCATCTCTGATTCATCCAACAACATCTCATTCCATCTCCAGTCTTTTTTTCTTTCTTTTTTCTTTTTTTTCTGTCCATCCCCTGTCTGTTTCCACGTTTGTTTTCTTAATGTACCCGCCAGCAGCATGTCACTTTGGGCCCTTGGGGGTGACGGCATCCCAGTGGATATCGTCTTCCATCATATGTCCATGGGGGACGCAGCTATGCCTTAATTGGACTTTCTTTGACATGGGCAAGCTTCCATTGCAATGAGCTGAAGCTACACTGCGGCCTGACTTGCTTGCTCTGATATTCTAGTGTTGGTTTGGCTGACAACCATCTTTGCCCAAACAACATTGCGTATCATCAACACTCTCTCTCTCACTCGTACAGCAAGGATCACGAAACCCCCGTCAAAGTCAACTGCAGACTGCCTCTCATCAATGCCCAGGCTGATCGCCGTTACGGATCGCCCTGTTCCCTGCATCCGCGCCCATCCTACCGTGCCTACGTGCTCGCTTCTCCTCACTTACACCCACAGCTCTCCAGCTTTCTCCCACCATGAAACCCCCAATTTCGCGGCTTCTCGCCAACCTCTGCACATCATGTCGCACTCTCTCCCCGCCGAGGGACGACAACGTCAAAACTCACATTTCACTTGTTACTTGAGAGACAGTGACAGCAACTACAACGGGCAGCATCTGCGAACCGAGTGACGTCTAGACCATGGGCAGCATCTGCGAACCGAGTGACGTCTAGACCACGGGCGGCAGAGGGGGAAAAACACGCCAGGCCAAGTCCTATTGTACTGAGCTCTCGTCCAGTCCCCTGCCTTTGCAGCTTGCCTGCCGCTTCAAGGAGACATTGCTGTTGATCCGAATTGATCCAAATAGATTCGATACACGCAACCAACTGGTGCATTACATTACAGCCCGCGAGACACATTTCTGCCATCGGCCCCCTTTCCGCCCGGGGTTCATCCAAATCCCGACCCTCTCACTCGCCGTCTGTTGGACGGTGGACCTCGGGAATACAATTCTCTCTGTGCCTCCAAGCAAGCAAGCAAGCAAGCAAGCAGGCAAGCAGGCAAGCAGGCAAGCAAGCAGCCTTGTCCAGTCTCCCTCGCTTTTGGTGTACTTTCTAATTGCGTAAAAGGGTCAACAAAAATTGTGCATTCCGGTGGTCCCGGGTGCCCTCACACGGTTCGCCGATGGAAGAAATACCAAGACCCCGAAAAGGTGCGAAAAAGGAGGAGCACTAGCATCTTCCGTCTTCGGCGCTTCACTTACCCAAAGTTGCGACGACAGTGACCACTCTGACACTCACCCCACACACGACAACCCCTCCGAAAAAGAAAGAACAAGAACAGGAACCGAAATAAGCAAGAAACCGACACGCATACTCGTACAAGGCATTGTCTGCTGCTAGCCTGCATCATCACGGCCGCCGGCGCAACGCATTCGCGGAGGGCCTCCCGGGCGGTTCTACCTGCAGGATCTGTGCTGTGCTGTGCTGTCAATGTCCAGTCACAAGCACATACTCTCCAACGGCGCGAATATGACGCGCTGTTTGTATCCGTACCTTGCTGGAAGTTTGCCATCCAAGGCCCTCCACAATGTTTGCCTGTCAATTTCTCCCCCAGGGCCCAGGGGCCAGCGTCGCTTACCGTGGGGAACTTTGATGTGGCGTTGAGCATTGGGAAGAGTCGTACTCCACGTCGGTCTGCGGGACTTGCAGCTCGCTCACATTGGCACACGTTGTTGGCACGTTTGGTGACGGACTTGCAACGGTTTGTGACGAGTTCAAGACATGCATATATGCATGGCTTGGGGGGGGGGGGGGGGGGGGTTTAGAGTTTTTTTTTCGTTTGGTTCTATTTTGCATAGTCATGTCTGTCAATATGACGAGACTCTCGGCTGCGTAAGTTGCCCTAGCTGTGGTGACTTACTGGGCGGCCATGGTTGTGTTCGATGTGGTGACGGATCAAGCGATCTGATGAGTCTAGGATGCTCACTATTCGGCAGTTGATTGCCTCTTGGCACGGGTTCTACCGCATCTTGACTGAAATGACTATCGATATACTCTGAACCATGAAGACTCACGATGAGGCTCGACATGGTTATAAGCTGCAATGTTCAAGGCATATAAAACTGCAGAGATGGCGACTGGACCATCAATACTTGCTATCCCAAAAAATCACCAGATATACTCACCTTTGCCAGATCATTCCTAGGACAAGAAACTACTCTTAACATCCAGATCAAACAAACCCATCATGTCCTCCAGTAAACCCAAGCCAGAACGCCCTCCAACACCATCCAAACCCACCCTCATCGACACGAACCCCTTCTACATCGACATGAGCCGAGGTACGCACCGCAAGGCCCTCCGCCCCTTCACCACAACCCTCACCACAACCCTCACCCCACTCCTCCGCCCTCGCACCTCATCAGAGATCCTCGCAGACCTACAACCCGAACAAAATAACCCTCCCGCAGAACACATCCCCTCCCGCCCCTCCACACCAACACCATCCCGCCGCCCTCGAACTCCCCCCAAGTCGCCAGCACGGACATCACCACGTAGTAGCACCAGCACCGACGACCCTTCCCAAGATGTATTCCAAACCCCAGAGCGTAACCACAGCACACCCGTCATGCGCATCTTCATAGACACCAGCCCCGCCGCCTCCTCCGGCACCTCGAAACGCAGCGCCGATGTAGACGGCGACATCCGCATGAAGAACACCACCCCCGAAACCCACCACCTCTCCCTCCGCGCCCTCGTAACGCAGATAGTCCACGAGACCTTTTCCCTCGAACGCGCGCGGTTAGCAGACGAGATTCGTCGCCAGGTTCTCGCTTCGTTGGAACAGCATATCGGGCAGCTGGTTAGAGACAACTTTGAAGCTGCGCTGGCGGAGGCGTTGGAGGAGCCGTTTGAGGTGGGGGAGAGGGAGGGGGAGAGGGCGAGGGAGGCTGCTGTTGTTAGGGTTGTGAGGGAGAGGTTGGCGGGGTTGAGTTGTGATGGGCTTGTGGAGGTGTTTTGTAATGAGGAGGTTTTGGGGGTGTTGAGGAGGGTTGTTGGGGTTGTTGAGGGGGAGGTTTGTGGGCTGGGTTGGGATTTGGTTGCGTTGTAGGTTGGGGGGGGTGGTGATGTTGTGGTGATGTTGTGGTGTTTGTTGGTGGTCGTGGAGAGTCTACTTGGATGGTCTAGATAGTCAAGTTGTCGTTGAGACACGTGTTGTCAAGTGTGTTTGGTGTTTGATGTTTGATGTTTGAAGTACACTTGAGGTTGTAGATCTGGGGAATGTAATGGCTATGATACGAGGTCTCGTATGGAAATATCTGAGCATTTCATCATGTCTATGGCAACGCGTAAATCAAAGAGCATCAGAGTGATCCGCTTAGATATTGTTGGTATCCCTATCACAGGGAAGTTGGTTCGAACCGTAGGGTCCTGGGGGTGACGAAGTATCAATATCTCTGTATTGATTGATTCTGCGTAATGTGTAAAAGGGAGATTCTAACCGTACGTTAGTTAGGTAGTCGCGGTCTAATTATACTACCTCGAGGTGGCCCATGCTCTTGCCCTTATCCGCGGTCGAATTGGACTTCCAATCCGACAGATATGGACTAGTTTCCAGGGCGTACGAGTCCTCGGAACCAACCTAGACGGAACTCAACTTCGGGAAACATAGCAGGTCATACGCACGATACAGCTACCCTGGTACGAGTATCATGACCAGGGTTCGTACCAATGACCTGATATACTGATGTTGGTGGGAGTAAGCAATACCGAAGATGTGGACGAGTTCTCTATACGTGGATGGCGTCGGCCGGGGAGTTTGATCATGGCCATCGTAGGTTTTTTTCTGACATTGAAACCCCGCCAACACTAACGCGCCCGGTGGACTCAGTCGCAAAAGTGAGCTAGTCATACTACTTTAGCTGTGATAACATGCCACAGAGTGCTTTATCATGGGTACCAACTATGATGATCATTGAAGGCGATTTATATTTGTTAGTTGCTTCAGCTTGTTGCTGTGGTCTCTATCCTTTGGGACTTCATCACAGTGAGACAGTGGGAGTAAAGCATAGATTCCTCCATATCGGCGAGTATCTCGTCAACTGTATTAGAGAGCTTCATACTATCGTGAAAACTCCAATTCATGAGCCTCAGAGCTTTATTTCTTTCCTCGTTCCCCCTTGTTATACCTTGGGTAAACTTGAGGGAGGATGAGTGAGCTCGCCGAGTGGTTACTTCAACTCGGAGAGGCGTCGTTTGGGTTGCCATTGCTTCTTGCCATTACTGTTACCATTGCCAAAACTGCCATTCTTCCTCTCCATCTTATATATCACATAGACACACCTATAGAATACGTCTGAGAAGAAGCATCATGACTTGAGACACATTGGAACTGGGTATTTTGACGGGCTAGGTCCCTCTGGATGCCATTCTTCATCTTCTTCTTGCATTTTCGTTAAGTAAAGTCTGCCCGCCAGTTTTAAAGCCATCAAATTCTTTCGAGAGAAATCGCTGACCCAAAATCATGTGTAGTATGAGTCTTCTTATTATCACGCACGTAGAAGATCTAATCTCAACATCGAAGAAAGGGTGTAATTGGGTCTACACACTTGCGTCGACAAGGCTCCCACTCGATGGTGCTTACACCCTCGTCGAGGTGGTGAGGTGAGGCGAGGCTGATGTTGCACATGGAGGAGGGCAGCTGAGACTTGATCCTGGGAGCTGTCAGGACGCTAAAACAGCTCCACCTCAGCGAGCTCGTTAGTGGCCAGGTAGCTGGCAGGGAGAGCTCAGACCCCACTAATTCCTCTTTGAGCGCTGTGCACCGCTGCCACAGCTGCCACAGCTGTTTGCTGGTGCGTCATAACAGCTGAGGTGTCCATCTGCCTGGGTGGGCCCTTTTCTTTTTTGTCGCGAAAGCTCCTCCCCTCCCAGGCCACCAGCCTCTCTCAACTCCCCGATCCCGCACCGCACCTCTTCCCGACGACCACTGCCGCCACGAGGATCACACATACGGCGGCGCTGCTCGTCTGGTCTTCCACTGCGCATTCGTCGCGATCCATCATTTTCCATTTGTTTGACGTCCGCTTCTCTCCTGTCTTTTCTGCCCCCCCCGCCCCCCGGTCCCTTAAATTGGGTCATGCCGCTTTGAGCACGGCACGTGTCCGCATCATCTTTCGCCATGGTCTCCTTCTGGCCCTGGAGGGTACGTCTGCCACGACCTTGGACCTCCTCTCTTCATGCGCATAATGCGTGCTTGCTATGATGGACTGAATGAATGACTGACTGACGGACCAACTCACAGCGTGACGACGACTCCCCCGCCTCCTTCGAGAAGACCCTTTCCGCGCTATCCACCAAGATCACAGACACCCAAGCGAGACTCGATGGCGCGCGAGCCACCTCCCGTCGCATCAGGGTGCTCTGGTCCCTCTACCTCGCCTTTGCCTACCTCGTCTACTCCATCGTCATCTTCCTCGTGGTAGGATGGAACGACATGGGCGCCTCGGAATGGACCGGCGTCGCTGGAGGCCCCCTCCTGTATGTTGTCCTTTGCCTGTCCCGTGAAGAAATCGGCCTGCGCAAGCTGAAGATACTAACCGTGTCCTCCTCAGCATCTACCTCACGCGAACTACCATCACGGCCGTGTTCAACTACCGCATCGATTCTCTCGCCGCTCGCCTCATGGACCAGCAGGCCGAGCGCGCAAAGACGATCCAAAAGCTCAAGGACGCCACAAGGTACAACTCCACCCTGGAACTCCTCGAAAAGTACGGAGGCGATGAAGGCAAGAGCAAGAACAAGAAGCAGAATGCTGGAGAGGACGACAAGAAGCCGCTACAGCAGCAGCAGCAGCAGCAAGGCGGCAGGCAACATGAAGGTGCCGTACCAGGCGGCAGGACGAACATGGCGCCTCCGCCCACCGCCAATATCCAACGCCGCGACGGTCCCCCGCCAGGCTTCCAAGCCGGACGTCCCCCGCAGCCGTCCAACAGCCTCGAACCCACCGAAGAATTCGCGCCAAACGCATACGCTCACCCGCCCCCGCCGCCCCCTCAATCGCAGCAGTTTGCGCAAGCCGAGGGAACGCCGGGCTCGTCGCACTGGTACGACCGCATCATGGACCTCCTCCTAGGCGAAGACGAGACGGCGTCCAAGAACAGAATCGCCCTCATCTGCAAGAATTGCAGGCTGGTCAACGGTCAGGCCCCACCGGGCACAAAGGTCCTCTCAGATATCGGCACGTGGAAGTGCATGGGCTGCGGGGCCACGAACGGCGAAATGGAGGAGGGAAAACGCATCATGCAGGAGGTCCTCGGCTCGCGGGGGGATGTTCCCACGGGTGAAGAGTTTAAGGAGTCTGATGAGGAGGTTTCTAGCGTGTCGATCAAGGAGGAAGATTCTGATGAGCAAGCTGCCGGCGCGAAGACGACGGGGCGACAGGGCGGGTCGGCGGCAGCGAAGAAGCGGAAGGGCAAGGGTGGTGGTAGGTGAAAAAATAAAAGCGATTTGCCGTGATGGGGAACCGCTGCTGGCTAGGTTCAGCCGACTATTTCATACCATAATTGCAGCTCACAAAAGTAGAAAATATTGACAACAGACGTGTCTGCTTCGTTGCCCATTACGGAGCTTACGGAGACACACTTACGCGTCAATGTCCACCTGTGTTCCGGGATCCGGGGCGGTTTGTAAACGGGATGCACCGAAGCACCGGCGGGCCCCAACGTGGATCGGAGGACCGAATGTGGCTAGTGCTGAGGCTGAACGCTAAAGGTCCCCACACAACGCAACGCACCTCGGCGTCCGTGCTGTAAACCTTGGGGGGAGCGCCGCCTGCAACAGCAGCTGCTGCAGGCTGAGCACCTCAGTAAGGACACTTGTGATATCAAACCCGACGCATCCAATGTACGAAGGGGTCCCTTGGATGAAATTCCTCCCCGACCACACCACAACCCTCGTCGAAGAAAACAAGACCAACGCTGGTCCAGCCATCCGGAAACGATCCTTTCCCTCTATCTATCCCTTTTCTCCACGTAGTGCTTGCGCCACCAATAATGCAGCGCCCTTCGATACTCGACATCGACCATTGCGCATAGCTCTCAGACTCTCGAACCCATTTTACTATTTCCCTTCCCTGCACCTTTGGATTGTAAACGACACAGAGCACATGGTCACAGGGTAATCCCATCATCCCTAGATCGGCAACATGTTCCAGGTTCGTCTCTGGTTTTCTCCAAACCCTCTTACTCTCTTCCACAGACCCGTTTCCCGAAGAAGGAAAAGAAAAGAAAAAAAACCTGATCTAGAACTACACGTGGTGGTTTCGATTCCCTCCCATTCTCCGATTCCGCCTCTCTGTTTCCTCCACACTACGCATGACCCTGTTCCCCGCTGACAAGAATGGGAATCCAACAGAGGCTCAAGGGCGCCATCGATCGGACAATTGCGGAGGAACAGGCTCGACAGGAGCAAGCACGACAGCGCATCGAACCAGGAGGCACAGGCACGCCGCGCAGGTCCGACTCCACCTCGCGGAGCAACCAGTCGCCCGCCCGACGACCCCGTCCCAAGAAAGCGGCAGCCGACGCCGGCGCTAAAGACGACGGCGGGAGCCCTTCGAACCCCGACCCTGCTGTCTTTGAGGCGGCGTTTGCGCTTGACGATAGCGAGGAGCCGAGCCGTGCTGGCACACCGAAGCCTGCGGCGGATAAAGACGGCAATATGGACAAGAGCGAGGAGAATGTAAAGGATAAGGCGGAGGAGGGGCAGAATGGGGACAAGGAGCAGGAGAAGGGTGCGGAGGGCGCTGCTGCTGCTGCTGCGCCGCCGGCTGCCGCAGAGCTGTCTCCCGAGGTTAAGATGAAGCTTCGCAAGTTGGAGAAGCTTGAAAAGACGTATCCTGGTGTGTACACCACTCGCACGTAAAACGCCGTGTTGGAGGTCGGGACGCTAACATGATACTTCAGACCTCCTCCGATCGTATAGAATCGCCCACGGCCGCGCCACCTCCATCGAGCCCTTTGAGCGTGTGCTTAAGGAACACACAAGCGTCGGGTCGATCCGGGAACCCGAAGCCCTCGTCGAGTATCTCAACTCCCTCAAGCAGAAGGAGCAGATGATTATGGACGAGTACAAGCGGGTGTCGATCGAGAAGGACGACTTCAAGAAGAAGTGCGAAGCGGCCGAGAAGGACGTGGAGAAGTTCAAAAAGGAAGTTGAGGAGCTCAAGGCGGCGCAGGCTGCGGCACCTGCACCTGTCCCACCGACGGAAGAGTCCAAGGACAAGGTGGACGCTGCGACGGACACAAAGGACGACGGCTCCGTCAAGTCGCCTGACGCGTCGGCTGTCAAGTCTCCCTTGCAGCAGGCTCTCGGCATCTTCTCGCCCAAGCAAAAGGCGCAGGAGCCTGGCGCGGAGAAGACGGACGAGGCTGCGGGCGACTTCTTCTCCTACGACGAGGAGGCGCCCAAGTACGAATCCGACATGGCGGCCAAGGACGAGGAAATTGAGAAGCTCAAGACGCAGGTCGAGACCGTCAAGGCGGAGCTCAAGACTGAGGTCGACTCGCTCAAGGCCGAACTCGCCGCCGCCAAGGAATCCAGCGCCGACCTCGCCGAGAACCTCGACAAGGTGACCAAGGAGGCTGGTGAGCTGCGCGACGTGGCTGCTGTCAAAACTTCTCTGGAGACGCAGCTCGAGGCGAGGAACAACGAAATCAAGTCTCTCACCGAGCGTCTGGAAGCCTCGCAGAAACAGCTCAAGGAAGTCGAGGCCAAGCTCAAGGGTGAAGTCGAGTCTGCCAAGAAGAACGCAAAGGAGGCGCAGTCGAAGCTTACACAGTCCAGCGCACGCGCAGATAAGGAGGAAGCTCGCGTCAAGGAGGTGGAGACGGCAAAGATGGACGTTGAGAAGAATATCAAGACACTCCACGGCCAGATTGAGACCTTGAAGAAGGAGAAGGCCGACGACGAGAAGAAGATTGATGACCTTGGTGAGCGGCTTGAGAAGCAGGCGAGCGAATCCACGCCCGCTACTCCCACAACATCTGGGCCGACCGAGACGCCCGCGGCTGGAGGTGCTGCTGGTACTTCAAAGAACGCCAAGAAGAACAAGAACAAGAAGAAGAAGGGCAAGGGCGGTGCTGCTGCTGCTACCGCAGCCGTTGCAACCCCGGCCACACCCGCCACGACCGCAGGAACCGCGACACCGCCCGCGGCTGAAGAGGCCAAGGATGTTGACACGGACGCTCTGGAAGCGGAGATTACCCGTCTCAAGGAGGAAGTCACCACCAAGGACTCCCAGATCGAGAGGCTGACGAAGCAGCGCAAGACCGAGGAGGATCTCCGCGAGGAAATCGAGACGCTGCGCGACGAGGTCACCGAGATTGGCCAGGAGCACGTTGTGGCCAAGGAGAAGATCAAGAACCTCGAGGCCGAGAAGAAGGCCCTGCAGACGCGGATCGAGGAACTTGAAAAGGAACTCGGGTCCTCGGCAAACGACGCCAAGGCGACTGAAAAGCTCCAGAGCGAGTTTGACAACCTCCAGCGCGAGTACGAGGATCTCAAGAGCAAGTCGTCGACGTTGCAGTCTGACCTCGGCGCCGCGCAGCAGCTGGCGCAGAGCAGATACAAGGATCTCACCGACCTGCGTGAGGTGCTGCAAAAGGCGCAGCCTGAGATGAAGAGTTTGCGTCAGGACTCTGCTGCTCTCAAGACGACCAAGGAGGAGCTCTCTGCGAAGAACGCGGAGCTGCGTAACCTCGAGAAGAAGGAGAAGGATCTCAAGGCGGAAGCGACGAGGGCTCAACGTCTAGCGTCAGACCGCGAGACGGAGATCAAGGCGCTCCGTGGCAAGGTCGAGGCCGAGACGAACAACAAGCTTCGTCTTGAGGATGCCCAACGGGTATCTGCACGCGACTTGCGTCGCTCCGAGGCCGAGAAGGTTGAGCTTGCCGCCAAGGAGGAGAAGACGGCCCGGGAGCTTCAGCGGGTGCAGGAAGACGCCAACAAACTCCGTCCCAAGGTCAAGGAGCTCGAAGAGCAGATTGAGAAGCTCGAAAAGGAGAAGAAGTCCCTCCGGGAGGAAGCGGACCTCAAGACGCAGCAGTACTCCAACGCGCAGGGTCTGCTGGGCAGCATGCGCGACCAGACGGGCGAGCTGACGATCCAGCTCAAGGAGGCGCGGTCGCAGTCCGAGTCCCTCGAGGAGGAGCTGGCCGAGATCCAGAAGCACCTTTCCGAGAGGTCGCGCGAGGCGGAGCGGATGCGTGGGCTCCTTGCCGACGTGGACGAGCGCGCCGATAGTAAAGTGCGGGAGATGCGTGCGCGGATGGAGGCTGCGATTGAGGAGCGGGACCGGATGGAGGACGAGTCGAGCACGCTTGCGCGCCGCAAGACGAGGGAGACGGAGGAGCTGAAGCAGAAGATTCGCGACCTGGAGCGGGATATCAAGACGCTTTCGACGGAGAAGGAGGAGTTGGAGGGCCGGGAGAGGGAGTGGAGGAAACGGCGGGAGGAGCTTGAGTCCGTGGAGGAAAAGGCCGAGGCGGAGGTCCAGGAGATGCGGTCTGCTGTTTCGGACCTGCGGACGACGCTGGATGCGTCGGAGCAGCAGGTTCGGGACGCGGAGAGGCAAAAGTCTGATTTGAGACGGTTGCTTGAGGAGTCGAAGCAGAGGTTCGATAAGGTGAATAAGGAGCTCAAGACGGTGCAGATCAAGCTTGGGGCGAGCGTTACGAGTGGACGGAGTTCGATGGACTCGAATCGGTCTGGGTTGAATGGTGGGCCTGCGGCTGGAGGGGCAGGGGGAGGTGGGGGGTCTGCGGATACGTTGTATCTCAAGACGATTATGTTGCAGTTTTTGGAGCAGAAGGATAATAAGTTGCGGGAGCAGCTTGTGCCTGTCTTGGGGAGGATTCTCAAGTTTGACAAGTAAGTTTTGACTTGTTTGATGTGGAGATGATCGATGGGTTTGCTAACGTGGGTTCTCACAGGAGCGATGAGCAGAAGTGGAAGAGTGCGATTCAACACATCACTGTTAGGTGAGACGGATGAGGGATGGATTGTAATAGTTTTTTGTATGAATAAATACCCCAGCATGGCTTGTTCCTATGCACATGGACGATTAAGGTATTTGTGTGTTATTGGCCAGGTGGCTCTTTGTTGGTGATGCTTTGATCGAGTTGCGGCAGCTCAATGCAAGGTGAGGCAAGGTGAGGCATGGTGAGGCAAGGTGAGGCAAGGTGAGGAAGGTGAGGAAGGTGAGGGAAAGGTAAGCAAAGGTGTGCCCCTTGAAGTGAGCTAAGTCAGCCCGGTCTAGAATGCCAAACTGGCGGGGCAAAAGTCGGCTTACCTCATGCAATGTGCCCCACCATAGCTCCAGTTCCCCCGCGCCCCGAGCTCTCGCCGCCCGGATCTTTCCCTCCGCGGGCCCAGGGACTGACTGCATGTGGGTGTCGTCATGGAGGCTTCACTGACCTCATGCCGCCTGTGTTACCGTCCTCATGGCGGACACTGATTGTACTACGTACCGCACATGAGGCGCGTCTTTGCGTGTGTGTTCTTTTGACCGTAGAATCTCGATGACGGGACAGCTTCCCTTAGGAGCACCGCTTGGGGCTTGCTGCAGTTGCTCCCGCTCGTGCATTGCATTGCGTTGAAGGACTGATGCTCTACTGTTGGGCGCTTCAATTGGCGCCTTCTGTGAGTAGTCTCGATATGTTAGATAGCTATGAGATCATGCCGTGTGTTTTACCGTCCAGTCGTCACTTCAGTGCGAGGTTTATATAGCTCCTGCCTTTTGCCCCTCGACTTCACCTCTTCTTGTACCCTCCAACACCATCCACACCAACACGACCAGATTGAGGATTCCCACCTCCATAAAGAAACGAGCCCGCACAACAATCTCTTTTCTCGTCATCACACACCCACGACTCACCCCATATCCTACAAACACCCCAATCAACACGTCAAGAATGTCCACCGGCCAAAAGACCTCCGGCCCCGAGGGCAACAAGCTCTTCACCCGCAACCACCTCTTCGACCTCACCGGCAAAGTCGCCCTCGTCACCGGTACGATACGTCTTTGCACTTATCCTCCGAGACCGTGATCTAACCCCCTCCAGGCGGCGGCACAGGCATAGGCCTAATGGCAACCCAAACCCTCGCCTCCAACGGCGCAAAAGTCTACATCACCTCCCGCAACCAATCCAAACTCGACAATACCGTCCAGACCTACGGCCAAAACGTCGCCGGCTCCATCATCCCCATCGTCGCAGACGTGACCAAAAAATCCGACATTGACAAGCTCTACAAAGAAATCGAAGCCAAGGAATCCCGCCTCGACATCCTCGTCAACAACGCCGGGGTGTCGAGCACAGCATTCGAAGTCGAGAGCGAGTCCGCGCAGGACATGAAAGCCAGCCTCTTCGACGCTGATTCCGCCGACTTTGAAGACTGGACGGAAACCTACCGCACAAACGTCGCGGCCGTCTTCTACGTCGCGACAAGCTTCCTGCCCTTGCTACAAAAGTCCACCGACGCCCAGCACGGCTGGTCCGGTACGTTGATCAACATCAGCAGCATCAGCGGCATGATTAAAAAGTCGCAGCACCACTTCTCGTATAACGCGTCCAAGGCGGCGACGATCCACGTGAACCGCATGCTCGCCGAGGAGATTGCGTCCAACGGGTTGAAGATTCGGGTGAATAGCATCGCGCCTGGGGTATTCCCTAGCGAGATGACGACCAAGGAGCCGGCGGATGGGGAGCAGAAGAGCGAGATTCCGAAAGAAAAGTATGCGGACAAGGTTAGTGCGGGACGGCCTGGAAGGGATGAGGATATGGCGTCGACGGTGCTGTTTTTTGCGTGTAATCAGTATTTGAATGGGCAGACTGTTGCTGTTGATGGGGGGTATACTCTTGCTGCTGGGATGTGAGGTTGGGTAGGTGGGTGGTACGGATTCGCTGCGGTGTTGGGGTTGTTTGAAATGTGCTAGTGTAGAGGGATGCAGATGCATCGTCAATCGAGTTTTGCAATCCAGTTTGTGTCGAATCGTCTTAGGGAGGTAAAGTTGAAGTGGTTGTCAACAAGTAGCGTCCGTTGTAGTCGATGGCCGAGCGGTACAATTGTAGCTTCGAGGAGCGAGGTTGTATGTTGGCTCACGGTCCTACATAATGCCATGGATAGCTTGTTTTTTTTTGTGCATTTTCACATTGCGGTGATTTCGGTGGGCTGTCGATGTTTGCCGAATACGTGTTTTGTGTTCACACATGTACCGGTACTTGGTTGCTGAGATCATGTTCTTGTAGGTAGTTGGACGGGTCGCGAGTTCGAGTTGGGTTGTCTTGCCTCCTTTTCCGATATTTGTTTTTGTGCTGTGTACGGAACACCTGGGCCAACTGGCACAGAGCTGGAATCTTATGATTTGGGAGATAGTCGCAGATGTAGTATCGACTTCGAACTCCAACAGTCATAGTTCAGCGAGGGTTGAAGTTGTAAAGATGTCTATTCGTATTGATCTATGTAACGTGCGACGTGGGAAACTTCCAGGCCCAGCAGGGGAAAAATCGTCGAACGAAGCAAAACCCTTCTGTTGCAACAGCCTCAACTTCCATGACTCTTCATCCATCCAATTCTAGCATAGCTCGTATCAGTCATAAACTCATCCGCAAGCACCTCGTGGAGGAAGTGCTCTAAGCCTTGATATCGAACGGCTCGGCGACGACACCGACGACGGTGGCGCAGTTGTTGTCAAAGTTGGGGACGACCTTGAAGGTCCGGCTGGCCTTGTCCCAGCTGGTCTTGTGCGACTGATTCTCCGTTGTGCTGCTTCCACTGCCGCCCAGGCCGATGGGGATGCCAAAGACGCTGATGCTGCCTCCGGCGCTCGTCGTCTGCTTGATCTTGGTGTCGAGGGTCTCGGCGGTCGAGGCACCGACTTTGATCTCGTAGCCTAGGCCGGCGATCACGATGATCTGGCTCACTCTGGCGAGACTCTTCACTTCCTTGGGGGCATCGGAGCGGAGCTTGTACTTGCTCACGTCAACGTTCCTTTTTGGGAAAGTAATGTCAGCTAGATTCTAGAATCAAGCGCGACATTACATACCATGCGCCGGTAGTGATAGTGCTGGCTTGCAGGTCGTTGTAGGTGATGGCAACCTGGACTTGGGAAGATTCGGAGCCAAGCTGGAGGGTGCTGGACTCTGAAGAGTGGCTTGCGCCGGCGTTGAAAGAGAACCAACCGTTACTGACACCAACGTTAGCACCGTCCTTTGTCTGTCCAGAGCTGTAGTCGGTCGTGGTCTTCAACAAGTCCAGCGGGGAGCTACATCTATTGATGGACGATGAACTTGAAGTGCTTCTCAATTTCTCAATAGGGAAATTAGCTTCGAAATCATCATCCGAGTCACATGCCCGGCTCTACTTCGCCATACTTGAAAATACTCTGTTCTCATTACTTCCTTCAATCAAGCCACACCCAGTCTTCCTCGGCATTACCGTCGTTCTTTTTGACGCTTCAATTAAAATTTTCCTCCTCGCCCGCCTTCAAAGGCTTCCGTCCGTAGATGACATAACCATTCCAGTAGGCATGAATGCTTGTGTCAAACAAGTCCTTTCTCACCTCAGCGCAGAACACAAGCGTCTCTTCCTTGGTCCATTCCATGAAACGGGTAAGCAGCCCCAGAGTCATCCCCTCCAAGCCGCCCACCAACATAGATCGGTTCCAGTCACCAATCTCTTTAAGCTTTTTGTCCTTGGGCCAGTTGGAGGACGGGAACTTGACCGGGGTCACCACGACCTCCTCGAAACCTGCGGCTTCCATCTTGCCCGGCAACTCGAGCGTCTTGTCTACTGGGCGATTGATCTTGTTGCAGGCGTCGACCAAAAGACCCGACCACTTCGCAAGCGCCGAGTCCTTTCTGAGCGTACCGTCGTCAGAGACGGGAGGCCAGCAACTGTCCTGAATCTCAAAGTAGCCGCCGGGCTCGAGGTGGTCGTACGCCTGCTTTATGACATTGTCCCAGTCCGAGAAGCTCGCATTCATGTTCCGACCGAGGATGAAATCAAAGGGCTTGGACCAGGTCCACTCCTTTTCCAAATCGTCGACCTCGAAGCTGCAGTTGGGAGGGACGAATCCCGGCTGAATGGGACTGAGGTCGACGCCGAGAACAGTCGCTTCAGGGAACGTCTCGGCGTAATCAAGAGCCCAGACTCCCGTCCCGGTGCCGAGGTCAAGTACTCTCTTGGCTGTAGAGCCGTCGTTCTTGGGGCACAGACAAAAGGCGTTGTCCAGGATCAGCATCCAGATGTGGTTGACCATGTCTAGGCGATCTTGCTCTCGCGCGTCATTCGGGAAGGCGTATTTGCCGTCGCTCATGCGGTGGTAGGTGCGACCGTTCTCGCGGCGGTAATCCAGTATGCTTGATCTCAGCGACGCGCTAGATTCGTCTGCTGAGAGTCCCCCGACCGAGGAGGCGCCGTCAATTCCGGAGTCGTCTGCCTCAATGGGCAGGTGTTCTGCTTGTTGTTGCATCTTGAGATAACTCTAGGCGTTTCAATGAGTAGATGGAATCAGAGGCTAATAGTCAAAGGTACTAGATTGTAATTGATTCAATTGACGGGAACGAAGGCGATGTTGCTTTGGAAGAGAACGTCTCTTTTTACCCCTCTTTCTCGAGAAATCCCCTGTCTTTAAACAAATTCTCCGCTTTTTCAATCACATATCTGTTGGTTCAGGAGACAACAAGTATGATCTATTGCCAGTTGGTTGGAAGTTCCAACTTTCGCGTTGGGATCCCAACCCCCACCTATCAGCCAGGCACTGCAACCTCGGCTCGGGAAATAGGCTGAACAATGTTACAGGTTTTCCAAGATCCTAGAACTTGAGAAACGTCCGATATCACACCAGGGTGAAGAAGAATTTTGGTGTTAGAAGCAAGCGCTGTTTTCAGGGCCGAAAGAGAATGCGTCTTCAACTTTGCAGATCGTGACGGGCCGCGATTGTGCTAAAGCACTAGTTGATGATCTTGGAGATCCACCATTAAGGCTGGTTAATTGGGGCAAGGCGTAATGGGCTAGTGAATAACTTGTCAAAACTCTCGTTGATACGTCTAAGACGGCATGGAGTTATTAGTCCCGATGATTAAAGATCAACGTGGTCTACTAGTAATCTAGCCAGCAAAACACATGCTGAAATGACTGGCTAAGAAGAGACGCACAACGGCGAAATGGCGTCTTGGCAAGGCACTCTTTCAGGGCAGCACAGCTCAGCTGGTTCACATCAGCCGCACACTAGCGCTCTTTCACACGACGTGAGAGCGAGAAATACAAACCAAGACGACCCTGCAACAGCATTATGGGCTTTTAAAGACATTCGACAATGAGAATATCGATTCGAATACTTCAACCAAGGAAGAATTCTTGACTGACCATGGGCCACCCTCCGGTCCCGAGTCGCCTGTAAGTCCATCCCCCACCCCCCTCGACCACAAGTCCCTCCAGGAAAGCCACTACTAAGAACCAAACAGAGGCATATTCCGCCTCAAAGAAGCCGACATGAACACAGGACTCTTCTCGCGACGCGGCAAAAAGTACATCTTCGCAGTGGCGGAAAAATACCCCCTGAATCTAGACGACGCCTTGGTCCTCATCTATTTCCCACTAATACCCTACGGCTCAAGCGAGGCCATCGTTTTTTACGAGAAGCGAGTCCGGCAAGGGCCTTCGTAGATATGCTGCGGTTATCACAAGAGGTGGTCCGCAGTTTGAGATTGAGATGCGGCACTACCCGGCTGGAGGGGCGACTGGTAAGTACTCCAAGACATGGATCTCAGCCTCAGAGAGGTGGATTCAGACATGAATAGATCCTTGGTCTGATGATTAAGGAAACCAGCACCCTTTCACTCACTTGCGGACGTTGTTGCCAACCGCCAAGACAAAAAGACAATCGACACCGTCAAAATCGGTCTCAAATTCCGACGAAGTTGGGTCGGATCGCCAGGGTACACGGAGTGTAAAGAAGAGGCCGGAACTCCCGTAAAGTACAGGACTGAAGATGTAAGTCTTCTTGCAGTCCATGAGTCTCAGCCATCTCTAGAGTGTGAAGCAATATTGCTGACATTTGGATCCACGCAGTTCAAAGTGTGGGATGACACCAACGCGAATATCGTGATGCTATTTCACCACTTCAATCGAGCCAAGAAAGTACGTCCATAAAGACCCTACTCAAAAGGTGGACGGCCGGCGAAGGGCTTACTAACCTTCCAATGCCAGCCCTCGGGGGCCAGATTCTCCATAGACTTGGCGCAGAAAAGTAGCGGCTCCAACGAGTATCTCATCTGCCAGGAGCATATGCTTCCGGTTCTCGCCAAGGCCACGATGCATGCCCTCTTGGCTTGGAAATATTGGACGCATGATCTACAGGAAGCTTCGCCGATTCGGAGAGATGATGAAGGAGCCTCTTGATGCCCTTGGCCGCGACTTGCATGTCGCTGCGTGAAGTGGTCAGAAGTCGGAGCATGCGATCGACAACGTGAAGGGCAGCAAACATGTTCATCGTGCTTCGTCACCCCCCCTGTTGCAACATCGAGGGTGTCTGACGGCGGATATACGTAGCCCACTCCCAAAAGGCACGCGGATGGAAGAAACATGCTTGATATAAGATATCAGACGCTGGGTATAGCTACTTGTTATCAAAGGCGCTTGTGAACACCATCGCTGACCAGATAATCCACAAATCTCCTACACAGCTTCAAACGCTGCAACTCTTCATCTCGGCACGTCTTGACCAATATCTGGATGTAATCATGCCGCTCACTCCGCCTGATCTAACCCCAAGTCAAGTCCAAACCTAATGACGACAGGGACCATGCGTGTAAAAGCACTTTCTGCTGAGGGTGATCGTTCAGTACCCTTCTGACGAATGGACCATTGGCGTGGTCGAATCCAGCGCGTCTGATAGCAGCAAGAATGAGGGTTTCATTCAGAGGGTGGAATTGCAAACTTTGAAGAGTCTGGGCCCTTTGCCTTTCGCACCACTAGTGTGTATAGCCATCCTTTGTCCAACTTGAGAGGCGCGAGCGCATATGAAAAACGGCCAGTCGAACGTTGTATCTCCAATACCGGTCTATCTCTTGTATGTCATGATATACGAAGGCACGGGCTAACGTGTATGAGTTCAAGCCGAAACCTCTGTCGAACTGGAATTTTGGAGAAAGGATATCGACGGGGCGATCTTGACCGTAAGTGTACTGGAGACTAAAGTCTGTGGCGGTCTCCATGCGTACCGAGAGGTTAACGGTCCTGGTCTTCAGTGCAGTTTTCGTTAGCACTCCATGAGATTTAGATGTCCACGAAGAGGGTATGCAAGCGGAGACCGTCTTACCGTCCCATCTGGCATAACTACCTTGCCAACGGGCAGGGAGTTGGGGCCTAGAGGCCACCGTGATGGTAACTGGGGTGCTCGATCCTGGCGGGTTGAATCCCATCTCTCGGCAAAGACCAATCTCCAAAGATCATGCCGGGTCTGCAGTGTAAACCCTCCATCTACATGCGGGCTTGATTTTTCCAAGGCGAAAAAGATGTCTTCGAACGCAGACTTTTCCTAGAACAGAAGGTCATTGTAGCTTGAGTACACTCGGAGAGGGACCACAGGAACCCAAACAAAATAAGAATTCATAACGAACGTCGGCGCGGATATTGATGCGCTAATTGAAAGATTGAAAGGTTATGATGATGAAGTCGGGAGGTGGGTGAAAGTCTGGAGATGAGGAGAATGCGATGGGAGAAGGTCGGCGAAGGCGTGACATGAGGACGGAGGTTGGCAGTCACTTGAGGCCCGGGCGACTTGGGTAGCTAAGGAAGCGACGATATGCTGTCAACGCCCGGAGCTACCTATGGGAAGTCACGCACCAGAATATTGAGTAGCAGGCAGCTATTACTGCCCCTCCCTGCCTTACAAAATTTATTTGCAGTGTGAAAGAAACTGAAGTGATTTCGGAAGGGGACTTTGAGCTCGAGACTATCATCAACCAATGAGATGTCGTCCGAGGTACCGAATTAGGAAGTCAATGAAGTTCGTGCCAACAGCCAATCAGCAACGACTTTGAGCCTGCATTGAGCCGTTAAAGGAGACTTTCCCAAGCGCCAGAGTGAGATCTTTGAGCTGGGCATCTAAATCACTGTCGGAGCCGAGATCGTTTTCTCCCGAACTGTTCGTCCTGTAAGGTGAGTGGTAGACACTAAGGTCAAGGGCTCTGAATGGCCCTTATTTCGAGGATTCGAAGTCTCTTTCGTTTGACTTTTGCCGAGAGGAACATCAGACGCATTTCCCCCAACAAACAAGGGCCACATAACAACCTCTGGAGAAATGCGTCTTCAAACATCCCAAGTAAACCCTCAAAGGCATGAATACTGATTCTCTTTGCTTTACAGAGACCAAATTGAGGAGCCTCCACGCCTATGATTATGATCAAGTCCTGCATTGTCCGAGAGTGACGAGAAAAGCTCTCCGTTGAATCTTCGCCGCAGCCTCCGGATGATCGTCGTTGCCTTAAAGTCTGACACACGTTCAAAGACAGGGTGACCCACAACATCGGAACATCGGGAGTCAAAGCGACCGACCTCCGACCCCTCACGTGACGCTCCTCACCCATAGATCCCAACTGCCACTTCCGCCCGCCGACTACAAGCCAGTTCGTCGGCATAGCGCCCGGCACGTCCTTTTGTTACCAGACGTTAAATACATCATCATCATCATCATCAACATCATCAACAAGCCAGTTCCAACCACACCAGCCAACGCATTCATCGTCCCAAATAGGCCCAGGAAGGACAGCCAAGTCCAGGCGCAACACACTTTGTTGCTCAAACTAACGCCATCGACAGCCAGAAGGATGTCACGACCCAAATGCCCCGCATTCGACCGGCCTCAATCCGGCCCCGGCTCCCGTATCTGTCCTTGACGTGCGTTGTGTGGACAACCCTGCACATCGTTCAGGTTGCATGTTCCCCCGTCTTACTTCCCGCCCGCGGATATCTCCCCCGACAAGCCGTCAAGGAACGTGACCTACGTGGGTAAGATGAAGCACGGAGCTTGTGAAGGCGAGGTGCCGACGCGTTCGTTCAGCTGATGTCGGGCATGGAAACACTGGTCCTCTTTGAAGCATATCGAGTCCCCTAGATGTCCCGCAATAGAAACCAAACAGAAGTACGCGGACAAAAGATGTTATTTAAAGTGGCATCCCACCTCGCCTCGTCGCGGTCGGGAACCGCTGCCATTGCCTAGTCAGAACCACCAACACACCAATGCATTCACCATCAGAGAAAAGACCATTGACATCGTCAACCAAGAGATCATCACTACCGAAAATGAGCGAAACAGACGTCCTCATCATCGGCGCCGGCCCAACGGGTCTGACCCTCGCACTCGAGCTCTCGGTGCAAAGCATCCCCTTCCGCATCATCGACAAGGCCCCCGTCCCGTCAGACAAGTCCCGCGCCCTAGCCGTTCAGCCGCGCTCCCAGGAGCTCCTCCACCGCCACCCCCACATCGCAGAGTCCATGCTCGCCGAAGGCACCGCGGGCCCCGGCGTCAATATCTACTGCAACAAGCGCCATCTCGTCACGGGCACCTTTGACGACCTCGGCTTCGACGATACCCGCTTCGGACTACCGCTGTGGATCTCCCAGGTCGACACCGAGGCAGCCATGTTGCGGCAGCTAGAGGTCTACGGCGGCACCGTGGAGCGGGGTGTGTCGGCGGACGACATCAAGCAAGACAGCGTCCGCGCGAGCATCACGTTAACGAAAGGCACGTCGAAGGAAGTCGTACGGGCAAAATACATTGTCGGATGCGACGGCGCACACAGCGTCGTGCGGCACAGCGCCGACGTGACGTTTGAGGGCGCGCAGTACCCTCAGCAATTCATGCTTTGCGACGCAAAAGTAAAAGGCGACTACGACACAGAGCGCGTCTCCCTCTTCCTCGGCAGCCGGGTCATGGTCGTCTTTCCTCTCAAGGACGGTGTGGTCCGCTTTGTGGGCGAGAGATCGTCGAGGAGCAAGCGCGAGGGCGACCCGGACAAGGAAGAGATTGAAGAGTTTGTGGAGGAGATGATGGGGAAGAAGTTGGAGATTGGAGAGACACTGTGGCTCACGAGCTTCCGGTGGAACTGCCGAGGCGTCAACAACTATCGCGATGGACGGCTGTTTATGGCCGGCGACGCAGCGCACATCCATTCCCCTGCAGGCGGTCAGGGTATGAACACTGGCATCCAGGACGCCATCAACCTAGGCTGGAAGCTCGCGGCCGTGATCCGCGGCGAGAAGGAGGAAGCTTTTCTAGACACGTACAACGAGGAGCGTCACCCTGTCGGGCAGCACCTCCTCACGGGCACGGATCGCATGTTCACCATGGTGTCGTCGCAAAACACAATCTTCACGACAGTGCGCAACTGCTTGATGCCGTGGATCGTGCCCCGGATCTGGAGCAACAAGGCGCGACGGCTGTCGCTTTATACCTTCATCTCGCAGATGGCCATCAAGTATCGCAATAGCTCCATCGTCGGCACGGCAGTCGGCTTCGACGGGCCAGTTAGGGGCGGCTGGCGAGCGCCGGACGGGCAGGTCACTGACGAGAGGGGGGAGAAGGGGAAGTGGTTGCTGGGGATGACAAGCGCGCGAGATCACACGATCTTCCTTTTTGCGGGCGGTGCGGCGGACGACGAGGAGAACTTGGACAAGGCGGAGGAGAAGATTGTCACGGACGGGAGGTTCAAGGAGTATGGTGTCATCAAGATCTATGCCGGAGAGACGGTGGGAAAGGGGGGCTACAAGGACATGGACGGGGTGCTGCACAAGCGGTACGGGTTCGAAAAGGGGGCGGGGATGGTAGTTGTGAGGCCAGATGGGTATGTTGGGTTTATCGGGCCGGCGGAGTGTGTGGAGGAGTTTTTGTCAATGTGATGGCGGGGTTCTGTATGGCGATGCGCGTTGGAAGAGTTTGAGGGAAGCCAGGAGTAATCGTAATGGGTTGGGTGTTTGCGCCATAGCTTTGTTGAGACAAAGTCGGGAGTTTCGAAAACGAGAATAAATCTCTCCTCTATCTGTGAATCGCGGAATCGAATTTAGAGCAATTAGCTAGCTCAGTAGGCGACAACAAATTTTGAATGAAACGAACCAACATTTTTCTTGCAATGCTCGGCCTTACGCTCGGCGGCTCAATCGAATCGAATTGATGAAGGCCGTAGTCGCAAGCGCGCCGGGACTTGGCGTGGCGTGTGGGGGGTCAAGGGAGGGAGGGACTGGACTGACTGGTGGCGACTTCAACGTCCGAGGGGCCGGAGACTCTCCGAGTCAACGGCCGCGGAAGTAGCCATATTCCCTCCTCCGCGGAGCCTCTTTTCATCATGTCGAGTTGACAGCTACTTTATGTGGAGGTTACCACTCATGTCAAGCTGTTGGGTTGGGAGGATATTTGTTTGTATGGGATGAGATGTCGTTACAGAGACACTGGGGACCTTTCTAATGAGGAAAAAATTACATCAGACTGACAGGAGGAAAGGAGGCATCTGTAGATGGAAATGGAGACAAGGGAGAAAAAAGTGGCGAACGTGGAGTCCCCGCGTCGTGACATTGTCACGATGCATCGTCTGCTGTGGGCTTTGCTATTCGGTCCGATCGGCCCCCATCAGCCACTCAGTGACGGGCTTTTCGATGGAGTTTGAGCAATGCAAGATTCGGGGTGCGAGATGCAGTGAGTCGTCGCTTTTGTGGATTTTTCCCAGCTTCGTTGTGGGAGGTGACGATGGCGGGGACGGGGACGTGGATGAATCGGAGAATTCAACCAAGTTTGTTCCGCGTTCTCGTTGTTGAACGCAACGACGCAACCCAACTGATAGAAACGAACTACGTTCTTGGTTCCCTACTGTCCTGTCTTTGCCTTGTCAAGAAACCTGAGCTGGGAAAGATGGTTGAGGTGCTTGACTAAGACAGGTACGTACTTACGGGGCTGACCGCCAAGCCGAGGCCGCCACGGATCGACGGAATTAAGCTTCGACTATAGCGATGGCCCCGGCACGCCGCGCCCGTTTCAGAGCCGCGGGTGGAGTACCTCCCCAGCAACGTCATCGCCGCCCTCTTCACCAACGTCAAACGTCAACGTCAACGGCAGCAGCCACGCAACTTCTCGCCTAGGTACTGTGAAGGAAGGAGGGAACGCGGGTACGTAGTGGTGATCAAGTGATCAATTATGCGGGGTGCAGATTCAATCCCCATTCTTTTCCATCTTCTTTCCTGCTGCCATGCTTTGGTTTGACTCAGTTCGAGTCGTGGTCTGCACGGTTTGGCCGAACAATCATGTCATCCATCCAGCCAGTGAGAGTAGAGGTAGAGAGAGAGAGGCATGTCACTCGCACACGGCCGGCCAGGCTCAACCCCGAAACTCTCAATTCTCAATATCCCAGTTCCCCATCGTTGCGAGTCGGCCCGACCTAATCAGCGTCGATACCAGCGAGCGGTCATCGCTCTCCTGGGACCAACCATGGGTCTTGACCTTGGTTTCCTGCGTTGCTGCTGCTGCTGCTGCTGCTGCTGCTGCACATCTACCTTGGCAGCTGTAGTAGACCAAGACGTGAGGGTTCCTGGGACGCAGGTCACTAACGCCGCCGCACCATGACGATGACATCGTTTTGTTATCCACGCTAGTCAGTTGCCTTCCCACCACCCACCCCATCCATCACCCTTTACCCCACAGACTGGCGCGGATACCTCTGAACAGGTAGCCGCGACAGATCTAGCGGCGACGCCTTTGTTGTTCGCAGAGCTTGTCTGGGGTTGGATGGTGTGCCCCGGCCCCATGTTGGTTCGGGACTAATTGACGGGGGCCCCATCATGGGAGAGATGATGCCGCTAGTGGGAGGAGATGGGCGTTTGTAGTTCCCTTTCTTTCCTTTTTCTTGGCTTTCTATATAGACTGCGTATGAGGCCGCTTTCTGAAGTAGCAAGAGTCCAAGACAAACGTCTCTTGGTCTAGTCTAGTCCAGGGTCTTTTTTTGATGGTATTCATCGGGATTGGGAATACACAGCACGGATTCCAGCACTAATTCCTCGACGCTCGGTCCGCACTCACTCGCCGTTTGCTCTACACCCCTTCTCTCACCTTCCCTCTCACATACTACTACATCTACTTTCACCAATTGACGACAACACACGACTTGATCGATTCCACAAACTGAGCCTTTCATCATGGGTTGGTTTGGCTTAAAGGGCGGATGGCTCACCTTCTGGGTGACCATCGCCTGCGCGACAGACATGACCCTATTCGGGTACGTCTGCCCCTTCTCTCTCTCACCCTTCACCACTCACCAGTCTTTTCACCCTCAAATTCCATCACTCAAAGCCCTCATCCACCTCACATCCCATCCTTCCCACCCTCAAAATGGAATTCTAACATCCAACCAGCTACGACCAAGGCGTCTTCGGCGGCATCATCGTAACAGAGGACTTCCTCCAAACGATGGGCATCGTCGGCAACGACAATCTCCAATCCACCGTCACCGCAATCTACGACATTGGCTGCTTCTTCGGCGCAATCTCCACCATATGGATCGGCGAGCGACTCGGCCGCAAGAACACCATCCTCGTTGGCACCACAATCATGTCCGTCGGCGCCATCCTGCAGACCGCCGCCTTTGGCCTCCCGCAAATGTTTGTCGGCCGCGTCGTGGCGGGCATCGGGAACGGCATCAACACCAGTACCGCGCCCGTGTGGCAGGGTGAGACGAGTAAGGCGAGTTGGAGGGGCAAGTTGATTGTTATTGAGATGATTATGAACATCTTTGGGTTCTCGTTGAGTGTGTCTTCCTTTTCTTTCGTGCCTGCTATCGATGGTTGTTATCCCTTAAGTCCCGGATGCTAACAGCAAGTAGGCAACTGGGTCACATTTGGCTTCTCATACCTCACCGGTTCCATCTCATGGCGCGTCCCCCTCGCCTTCCAGTTCTTCTTCATCTTCATTCTCTACGGCACCGTCCCCTGGTTGCCCGAGTCACCTCGGTACGTCCCCTTCCCCGTCCTCGTCACCCCACAACATCTTCGTGGCTAACAACCCACCCAGCTGGCTCATGGCCCAAGGCCGCGTCCCCGAAGCCGAACAGATCCTCGCCGACTTGGAAGACATGCCCGTCGACGACGCCTACATCCAAACCCAGTCCAAGGACATTCAGTGGGCCATCAACTACGAGAGAGAAAACACCGTCCCATGGTCAGACCTCCTCCGAGGCCGTACCGGAGAGTCAGCGGGAACGTCCACCATCCGGCGTATATTCCTTGGGTGTGGAACCCAGGCCATGCAACAATTCAGTGGAATAAACGTGACATCGTATTACCTGCCCCTCGTTCTCATCAATTCCGTCGGTTTGGACAATAAATTGTCAAGATTGTTGGCGGCGTGTAACTCTGTTAGTTACTTCTTGTTCAGCTTGATTGGAATTCCCAACGTGGAGAGGTGGGGAAGGCGAAAAATGATGATGTGTAAGTTGTGGAAACGTCGAATCCAAGGACGATGAATACGAGCAGGACAGCTAACTGTCACAAACAGACGGCGCCTTTGGCCAATCCATGTGCTACGCCATCATTACCATTTGCATCAGGTACAATGAGATGCCCGGCCTCGCACCAGAGACGCAGTCTCAGTGGGCAAAGGCCTCCATCGCCTTCTTCTTCTTGTACTATGTCTTCTTTGGCATTTGCTGGCAGGGTACGTCAGGTCCTTTCCCATTGGGTTGACGTTTTGCTAATCTTCAACAGGTGTTCCTTGGCTCTACCCCACCGAGATCAACAGCTTGTCCATGCGTACAAAGGGCGCCGCCCTCGGTACCGCAACAAACTGGATCTTCAACTTCATGGTACGTCCTTCTCCCATCTGTTGCAAATCAAAAACATTCTAACAACCCCTTGCCAACAGGTCGTCGAAATCACACCCCCGGGAATCTCCGCCCTCGGCTGGCAATTCTACATTATCTGGACAGTCTTCAACTTCTCCTTCATCCCCATCGTCTACCTCTTCTACCCCGAGACAGCAGACCGCTCCCTCGAGGACGTGGACCGCTTCTTCGCGGACAACCACGACATTTTCGTCTTCCGCGACAAGGACGCCACGAGCTCCAAGAGGCCGATAAATTACGTCGCGCAGGAAGAGGAGGCTATTATGAAGCGGAATAGTCGGGGCGGTGTGCCCGGTGGGGAGGAGGAGGATATGTTGAGGAGGAGGGGCGTTGTGGAGATGAAGAAGGCGGGTGCGGATGAGGAGATGGCGTTTGGGGAGCATAAGGAGAGGAGGTAGGGTGTTGTTCGTAAAGAGTGTACGATCTAGATGGGATTTCTATGAGTTACGATTGTAGAATTTCATAATATACGATGATTATCAACTACTTTTTCTTCAACGGATGCCTTGTGCGGTTTAGAATGCCGTCTTCTGGCGTGACAGTCTAACGGCTGCGGTCGCCTTGGGACATGGATGGAGCTTGGTGGCAGACAACCAATGAACATGGAAAATGCCACCAACTATGAGCAGTCTTCTGAGATCCCAATTGATTCCATTCCATGGACCTATCTATGCTGGTCTGATTCGGTCTAGGTAGAGTCTCTGGGGGGGCACATGGTAAACCTGTCAGTCCGTGGACTTTGAGTTGTCCCCCACCATCCTTCCTCAGCTTCGTCTTGTCCGCCTTGACTCCCCCTTCTCTATCTCTCAGTTCTCCTCCGCCACTGACTCTGATTCTCCTTCTGGTAGTTTTCTCGTCGATAGGATCAAACCCGGTCATCTACCTCGCTGGAAAAACAGTCAGCAATGAAGAAAAAAAAAGGCCGGTTTGATGCAGAAAAGATATAGCTAGTACTCACAACTTGGTCAACTGCTTGCCCTTTTCTCAAGCTTCAAAAGGCGTATCGCGCGCCGCAGCTCTCAGTCATCCCGCGTAAGCCACAGGCTTCTCCCTGCTCCTGCTGACGATGGAAACCGAAAAGGTTCCTCCGTGGGCCCCGGGAGAGCGGGGCTGGCCAGGGGCAGAAGAGGAATCTTGGCTAATGTCCATCGCGGGGAACACGAGCATGATGAGGTGCATGTGGTCGGTGAGAGCGGCGTGGTTGATTCGGAGACTGAGGCAGACGTCTGCGATGTACTTGAGCCATTTCTGGGCGGCGGGCTCGAAGCGCGAAATGCCGGGACTGGTGATCGAGGTACCCTCGTCTAGATTGTTGTTGCCGTTGTTCTTGTTCTTCTTCTTCTTCTTCTCCTCCTCCACTCTGCGCAAGTCGCTGACCAGGGCATCAAAGGTATTGAAGGGCTCGAGCTTAATCATGGCGAACTTGCGAAGACGGCGATCGGGTGGAACGTCCGGGGGCAGGACTTCAGCTGGGCCGTGGAGGGCTGCGAGGAAGTACACGGCACTTGTCGATATCATTGACCAGCCAGATCTTGTTCTTTCCGAATCCTTCCAACTGAATTTGACTTGAGAAGGAATGGGCTGGGTAGGATGACGGCGGAGGAGATTCTCCACAACACGGTGGGCAGGGTGGAAGACCTGATCGTGCACATCGATGAAGGGAGACCACCGAAAGGCAGCTGCTCCTGGTATTCAGCAGCGGCGGATTATTGAGTGGCTCCAGATCGGCGTCATCTTGGAATCATTCCTGTGCCAGATTGATGTAGACCATGGGATCGACAAAGGTGGCGTGGGTGAAGTTGCTCATTTGCAGACTGGTCTCGCTCTCGTGTGGCGGGACGTGAGGATAGTCAAGCTGACTGTAGGGGGGAAACCAATTGGCGAGGTCATCTTCGAGGTGGAACAGGACTGTCTTTGCAGATGGTCGGGACATCCTGAGCTCTTGTTGCAGCTGAGATGAGCTAGGCGACGTGTGGGAGGTCTAACTTTTAGCTCGAATGATTGAAATGTGAAGTCAACGGGGCGAGTACACCTCGACGACTGGTGGATTTATTGACGGTATCGAAGATAGAAAGAGCTAGACGCTGTCAGGTTTCCATGCGATAAATAGGGAAGCACGAAGAGGGGGGCGGTGAGCTTGTACTTATATCTCACCAGAGAGGGTGAAAAAGAAAGAAGGACCTCTGGTACCTGCGATTAAGCGACAGAAAGCAGCCGGGATTGAAGTGAGAAGACCGTCAAAAGGGTGCAAATGAGCAATGAGACCTCAGGCCTCAGAGGCAAACAAACATGTTGAAAGCTTTTGATGTGATTGGTGGAGGCTGTTTGCAAGAGCGTTGGCTTGGAGCAAAGGGAAGAAGCGACCTTGCAGCAAAGTCCGTTTGATAACGATGTGGTAATGGGGGACCCGGGAACGAGGGAAAGAGAAATAGAACAGATGATGGCTTCGGTAACTGCAATCGGATGAAAGGCGGTCAGTACCAAACTAATTGCATCCCTCTTTCCCCTATTTCTATCCATCCTCTTGTTTGTTATCTTCACCTGTCGCTGCTGTCGCGTGTATTCCCATGTGTTTTACTCTGCAGCAGAAGATAGAAAGGGCGATATAAGTCCTACTTGCTTTCAGCATCCCAACCGATCTAGGGCTTAATACCCATGCTTCGATCTTATGCTGCCATGGAGATGAACATGTGTGTAATTTATCATGGTCACGTTGAGACCTGATGATCGAGATAGCTATTGACTGAGATCGGAGGTAAAGTTTCTGACAAGTGGGAGGGTCAGGCCATCCAGGCATCTCGTTCGATTTCAGCTTTCAGGTTTCTCCATAAACCTTGAATGCTCCGTTCTGATACCTTGAGCACCTTCCCTACATTGCCCAAGCCATCCTGTCCCATACTTCTTTCCTACAAAATCTTCTCCTTTCTTCCTTCACCTTCTCAAACCACCTCATGTGTCTTGTGGGGGGTTTTTTTTCTTTTTCATTTCGCCCTGTCTCCCACTTCATCTTGAAAAACCTTCGTTCCTCCTCCACCCCCATCACGCCCGAAACCCTCGAGCATATCAGAATTCAACATGTCAGACTACAACATGTCAGAATCGGACGAAGATGGAGTAAAGCAGATAATCCGCCATCTAGAAAATGAATTCGAGCGTTACAAACCCGGAAAAACGTTGACGCTCTGTCTCCGAGACCCAGGTATACCATACGGCCTTCCAGAGTACTGATCAGGAATCCGCCCCGAGTCCAACGAGTGGCTCCTCCCAAATTTCAACCCAACCATCGACCAGCCGGATCACGAAGCGCAAGTCGAGATCATCGAATACTTGAGGGGTGGTAACAAGGGTGGTGCCCTGGTCCTTTTATGCAAGATCATCAAGGTGCCATCTATCAGGCATGATACTCACCATCCTCTCACTCGCGGACTAAAGGTTGTGCTCAAAGTGTTCGACTCAGCATTCTTCCCTCAGCAGCTGGAAATCTTTCTGCGCGATCACACGCCAAGCGACCTCCCCAATCAGCTCCTGAGCCGGGAGGCTAATGCCTACGAGTACTTTTACGGGCAGAACATGACGGGCGACCCTCACATGGTACCACAGTATTACGGCAGCTGGGCACTCAAGTTCGACGTCAGCGACTCATCTGGACCTAGTGGCTCTTCTTCAACCCAGACACGACCTTGGAGATGTGTAGGCGCTGTGCTCATCGAGCACATCAGAGGTCGATCGCTTGAGAAGATTTGCAAGCAACATGAGAGCGGAGCCTTGATACCCGACCAGGCTTTGCTTCCCTTTCCCGATTCCACGAGTGGCAAGAAAGAAGGACTCTCGTTCAAGGATTTGTCATCTCGCCTAAAGGTTTTCAAGCAAATCGTTCATGGCGGCGTTTGCTTCAAGCATGTCGGCGCTGACCTCACAAATTTCAACGATTTTGTACCACGCAACATGTTCCTTACCTTCAGCAATAAGAGCCAACTGGCCCTAGAAAACGTCCGCCCTGTTCTTCTTGACTACAGTCGCTGTGTCATATGGTCTCAGAGCCGTCAAGGCACGCACGGACGGCTCGACGAAGTGTACCCAGACGCCCCGCCCATTCCCAGCAGATACGTCCTAGACAAAAGCCCAATGCAGCGACTTCCGAGGCCTCCACACCCTCTGATCATCTACAATCATGTCAGCTGGCTGCAGGACTTCAGAGGCTGGTTCCCCGTCGACTGGATGGAGAGAGGGTCGGACAAGTTCGAGGTCTGGGTCAAGGCCGAATTTGGAGACCCCACTCAGAAGGGAAACTACTCGACTAGAGACATGCTTACGGAGATAATGCATGAAGCATGGAGGACGGGTCAAGAGAGTTATGAGAGTGAAAAGCCGTTGCTTATCGAACAGGGAAGATACGACTTGATCATCAAGGACTGCGACATCCATCCAACTCCCACAGAGAAGCGTCAGGCCCACGCAGACGCCAAACACACAAAGCACAGATCATGCATTCGAGAAAGGTCAGAGAAATTTATCGGGAAAATGGATGGCCTATTTCAAGTAAACTGGATGCAGACTGTGAAGATCCGCCCGCCCCCGAGACAGGCTCCTAGGAGAAGCCAGCTCAGGGAGATGAGGAACTTCCGCAAATGAAATAGCCCGGTGTGATCAGTGGCAGAGTTTCGAAACTGAGAACGAAGATGTCGTCTTACCAGCTTTCACCAGGAAACGCTGCTTCTGCCGCTGGTGGACCCACTTAGAAAGGCGAAGCCGCTAATCGTTACTGCCCAGTGGCAGATACTCGGACTTCTTCTCGGAAGAAGACCCAGAGAGTGTCGTCGTTCGGAAAAGGTCTGCGGAATTTCGGGGATAAACGGTCATGTTGAGAGGATTGAGGGTGGACGTCCGCAGAACGCAGAGACATAGAACAAGTATAAGTAGAGAATTGACCCGAAGTACAGAATGCATCTAGACTCGTGACGTTGTCCCCTGATAGCTCGCTGAGTGACCGTGATAGGTTTCCAAGTTCTGCTCGAGATTATGATCCGAATGAGGACTTAACCATATAAGATACCACTTGTCGACATACACGTAAAAAGGATAATGGCCTTTCCGCTGGCACGAAGTGCAACGCATTTGACCTGCGCGATCAGGAAGCTAGGGACAATGTAATCACCCCAGTCCATCCCAGCCCAAATAGCCCCCACCATCCAAAGCATGCCGAGAATCACATCCTCCTTCCTCACGCCCTCCCAACAACACCCAACAACTCATCGACAACCACTCCCCTAAAAGCCCGATCCAACCCACAACTACCTCTCGCACCAAACACACTCTCGTCTTCATCCTCGTCCTCACCGCCGCCTCTTCCTTCTCCTTCACCCTCCATGGCCGAAAACGTCATAGCCAACTGCCGCGGATCCAACGCCGCCCTGACGGCAGCCGTATACCTCCCTCCCATAACCGCATTCAACCTCCCAAGATGCTCCGCCGCGGCAACAGCACCGCCCAAAGACGAGGCCGTAGACGCAGAAGCAGACGCAGAAGCAGACGTAGCCTCCGCAACGGACCGCCCCAGCCCAATCTCCAACAACAACACCCCCAACGCAAGTATATCCCTCCTCTTACCCTCCTCCAGCGCCTCCCCCCCATCACCGCGATCCTCATCACCGCCACCAACCCGACACCGCCTCACCTCCCCCTCCTCAAACCCAGCCCCAACAAGCAACGGCACCGACACCTTGGCCTCATACTCCCCGCCTCGCACCCCAAACCACACATTCTCAGCACACACGGCGCCATGCACCCGATCAACAGCATGAAGCTCGCTCACCGCCCTCGCAAGCTGTCCCGCAAACCGGATCTTATCCGACAGGATCCTCGCCGCCGCCTCCCGCCGCCCGCGCGTGAAGTGGCCCGCCGGCGAGCCGAGGTGCTCCGACAGTCTGTGGATCTCGGCGCGGCGACAGCCTTGCAGCGGGGAGGCGTCGTAGATATACTCCAGACGCTGCTTCCGCTTCCTGTCCTGATTCTGGTCAAAGACCCGGAAGCCCGTGCAGCGGAGGAGATACGGCGACCGGACGGCGTGTAAGAACGTAGCGAGTTTGAGCGTTTTGCGGCATATATCGGCGTCATCCTGCAGCATAGCCCTCGTCTCGACAATGGTGTTCGCGTCGCGGAACCGCAGGCACGAGGCCGAATTCGATGCGCCGCCGTCGGCGGCTCCGTCAACGTCAAGGGCACCACACGTATCGTCGTTCGCGAGGAGCAAACTCGCAATCAAGGGAGCATCCCCCTCTGGATCCGAATCTGCCAGATATCGTGCTCGAGACCCGGGTCCCGCCCCACGGCTATATCGCGCAGCTGGACGGCGCGCGTGTCCCGGCTGAAGAGGTCCTGGTTGAGCACGCGCTTGATGGCGAGGACGACGTCGGCGCGGATCTCGTCGTTAAGGGCTTTCAGCTGCCTGTGGGTTTCAAGGAGGAGTTTCGGGTATTGTGGGCTTGCAAGAGATGCCTCTTCCGCCGCCGCCGCCGCCGGGCTCTGTTCAAAGACGCGGAGGGTCTCGTTGGCTCGTCTGAAGGAATATCTGCAAATGTTCAGGTCCGCCGGGGCGAGGCGGCGAAACGTGGTTGAGGTCTCGAGATGGCAGATTTGGTCGTTGTAGATGAGTCTGTGTAGCGCGGTTGTGCGGTGTAGTTCGGATTGGAGCTGGTTCATCTGTCTTCGCGTCTGTAACTGGATCGTCTTGGTAGTGTTAGCCAAGTCGACTAGTTTACGAGCAGTCTCCTCGGCTCTGGAAACCACCTCTCCCAAACCAGTGCTGCCATCGTTGCTATTGCTATTCACCATGTCTGCGTCGCTATATCGAGTACATCAAACTTGTTGACGAGCACATCAACGGCGCAACAGCGGGTTGTTATACATAACCCGGATCCATGTTGGAGGGTATCCGAACACAACGGTTCACTTTCCCGGTTCCGGGGGGGGGGTTCCCACAGTCGTCGAACCGGCACCATGAACGTTACCTCGGAAAACACACGCAGCAGACAAGAAAAATTGCGATACGGTAACTGAATCGGGTTTCAAGAATCAGATCCTGCCCGACTGGCGGCACACGTAGATCTCTGCGGGACACCGAGTCGTAAATCATGCCATTGTTGCAGACACTCAGCTTCCAACGACTCGTCTTGTGGTTTGGCTTTTTTTTGGCCATCCAACAAGGGTCTCTCCCCCTCCTTCCTTTCCATTTCAGCCTTGCTAGGTTCCTTAATGGAGAGGGGACCGCCAGGTGTTCGGGGACGAAGCCAACCTCCCGGAAGGGGGTCCATGACATCACACCCGAGAGAATGCATATCATCGGCTTCGAAGGCCGAAATACTGGCTCCGACGCAGTAGTTTTATGTGACATACGTGAAGGGGACTGAGGGGGGTTCGGGAACTAGACATGTCGTTGCGGGCCAACGATTCAAGCGCTTAACAGCTGTATCATACGCCAAACGATCCAGCAATGTTGCCAGCATGGTGTGGGCAACCCTATTCCAACCACCACGTGAGCTGGTCCCATTCATTGTCGAACAGAGACCCTGGCCTGAGTGATCTCAGATGTTGATTATGGGTACGGAGTACGGGTATGCAAGCTGAAAGTCAGTTGGAAAAAGAAAACGTTCCCAGCTGCCTATGAAGTACGGTGAAAGGCCCCTGGGGTACCTTTCGCCTGGGACTGATGCGTCACTTGGCGTATCTTAGCTGCTCGTATCGGCCAAGTTCCGCATTCACAATTCCCATCTTGCCCTCATAGCCCCATGGTGTTAGTCTCAGGCGGTCGCAGCGGTGTGTGTGTGTGACAGAGACAGAGAGAGTAAGAGAAACAAAAGATGAAGAGGCATTTCGACATAAGCGATGTAAAGCCAGGGGTTTCATGACATTAGGGCAGGTCGGCCGAGCTCACTGGTCTTCGGCGGCCACGCCGATTCGGGGAGCCTAGTAAAAGTCCCCTCAAATTAGGCCCGTTGATAGGACCTCTGAACGGATTCCCATATGCCCGCATATGCAGCTGACCCTTTCAGGCATGTAGCCCATCTGGGAGTCCGACGTCCTATTGATATCGTCGTGGGCGGGGTCAGTTTTTGCTGCCTGAGCAGCTCGCCACTTCAAACAAAACGATCTGGCATCCTAAAATTCCCAGAGAAACGCCCTTGCCGAAGATGTCGTCGGCGTTGGAACTTGGTACCTATGCAGGGGGGGGCTCCCGCTCCATACACGGCCCGGTCACCAAGTTCTCGCATCGGCCAAGTTGTATTGCATGGGTTCGAGCTGCTTATTAATAAAGTGATATCCCACAGAAAGAGGCCGGGCCGGATCTCCTTGCTCGAAATCAGGGTTCGATCAAGGCCTCGACTCTTGGTTGAGGGATCTTGCGTGGGGGTTCCTAGGCGGATATGTCGCACAAAGCTCGAATGACACAATGGCGCAGATGTCTCGGGATTCCGTCGAGGATCCATACTGGCGGTACGCTGGTCAAGCTGACTATTGAGCCGTCTCCTAGTCACGTTACTCCGCGGGGAAAAGCGGAATGCTACCGCGGGGACCCATTGGGCGTTTCCGTATGGATAAACTCTTCGAATGAAGCACATACAGTACAAGGACTATAACGCATGATTCGGGTCAAGAACGTGGTTCGCTTCTTTCTCCTTGCAGTCTCTTGGGCCGTGAAACATTGGCCTTCTTGTATATCGAATTAGAAAAAGGAAGTGTCTAGAAACCAGATCTGGGAAGCGTGACGTGTCTGATGCACGACATGACATGACAGGGTGGGTAGTCCGATGCGCTCTGCGCCGTCTCCTCTTGCCTCCGCGACTGTCTCTGGATCGTGGCCGCAGCTGGTACGTCAGTTTGGAACCATACTGCAACTTTACCTCGTACCTCCCATGGACCCCTTATTGTACCCCACTTTGCTCGGCATTTGCGATTCTAGGTCTAGGAAGACACGGCCTCCTTAACGTCCTCCTTGACGTCCTTGGCCAGGTCGCCAACGCTCTTCTGAGATTGCTGCCACATGAGGATACGGGAGCACTGGACGACACCGACAACACCGAGGAAGAAGTTGACAGCAGCAAGACTAGAAAGGTTAGTTGACGGTTTCCCTTTGTGAGACCCTTCACGACGTACAGGTAGTTCTTGGGCTTGATGACGAAGCACCAGCGGGTCCAGATGATACCAGTAGCCGTCAGGGCACCGTTCTGGGTGAGAGACAGCTTCTCGGCGGGACGGGCAAAGTCGGCAACACCGGCAAGGACAAGAGCCCACTGTGTGTTGTGTCGACAGTCAGCATTCGTCCCATGTAGGTATTCCCAATTCTTCCGGGTATTTCTTCCTCCGGTCTATATCGACCTCCGACATCGCGACCGGACACCTGCAAGGGAGATATCCGGAGGTAGCTTCAGCGAGCAGGACTTCATACCTTCATAACAGGGGCCCTGTAACCATCGGAGTCAGCGGATATGTTTACAGAATACCATCCGAAGCGTTCTTCCATCGCATCTGAGGGACAGTCTACTCACCAGAAGTGCACCGTCTTGATTCCGATGGGGCTGTCCCACATGCGCTTGAACCAGCTGACCTGGGCATCGGCGGACGCGGTCGAGCTCTGCCATCTTTTGGAGCTCTCACGGAACTGGGCGCGGAATTGGGAGGTACGGAAAGCGTTGCGGATCTGGGCGCCGGCGAAGACCTGCTGGCGGAACGCAGGGCGCGCGGCCTTGAAGAAGTTGTTGGTGGGGGCCATCGTGACGGACTTTTGAAAGCTAAGCTTTTCTTTTCGTGTGTATATGTCGTCGGAGTCTCGGATTCGGAGGATCGATTGAGAAGTGATCTCAATTCACGCGAGAGTGTGGGTTGTTTGGAGCGGAGAGGGTTTTCCTTTCGACGAACGCACGGGAGGGATGGAGGGCAGAGGTTGAGGCGAGGTTGAGAGACGCAGATGCGTTGAGATTTGGGACGTCCGAAGATGAGCGGGCAGCTTTTCTTGGGCCGGGAGCGCGAGTGCATACGGTGCACTGGGAGGTAGGCGCACGGCAGCTCTCAGCGAGCAAACAGCGACCGCTAACCGGAGTTAAGCGGGGACAACCCGTCGAAGGGGAAAAAAAAGTAGACGGGGGAAGCACTGACCAGGCCGACCTTTCCTTCTCAGTTTCCATACCGTGGCACCGTAACACCTTCGCACCTTACATAATACTTGTCTGTTCCTTCGTACCTCAAAAAACAACGGTCCCTGAATTGTGCATATTCATAAATCCATAGCTCCAAGTCTCCCACCAATCAGAAATACCCAATTAGACCATTTATGCCCATCCCGAGTTCCCGACAGTCTTATGCAAATTCCCAGACCCACCTCGAACCGCGAGCATCTCGTCAACTTCAATCCTCGCCAGTCCACCAGCAAAAGAGGCTCCTCCAATCGATCCGAATCCCGTCAATTGACCCTACCGCCGCCCGTCCGCACCTCCTCCGCGCAGCCCCAGCCACAATGTCGAGCAAGTACGCATTCACAAAGGCCCTCAAGGAGGTGCGCTTCCTCTTCTGCCAGACGGGCGAGCACAGCGCCGCGACCCGGTACGTTTTCCTCCACTTCCCCAATCACGCTCAGCACACAAACAGCCCGACCTCGGAACCTCCCGACGACGACACCGCCGCCCGCATCACCTCTATCCGCCACTGGCCTTCGCTGCCGCACCACTAGAGATCCCCAAGTCGCTAACCACCCCTCGCAATAGCAACTTCGTCGCAAGAGCCTACCCCACGATGAAGAAGAACAACCCCCAGACTCCCATCCTCATCCGCGAGGCCGCCGGCACGCTACCCAAGATCTACGCGAGATACGGTTAGAACCTCTTCCCAATGATCCAAAACAACAACAGAGTGCTGACGAAATGCTCTCGTTGAAAAAACAGAATTCGGCGTCGAGAAGAGCCAATCACTGGAAGGTGAGACCATCTCCCCTCCCCAAAGGTTCCTTTAAGAACGCTCAGTAGCTAACACGCTCCATGCAAGGCCTGTCGGACAAGCAGATTGAGGACACAGTTACGACCCTGGTCAAGAACGGCGCATAAAGGTATAAACCCGGGCGGGAGCAATTGAATGAATAGACCAAAACAAGAGCCTTGTATCATCACCATGTCGGGAATGCCGAGCCGAGTGCTGTATTGAAACTGGATTCAGCGAGCTGCCGATGAGTGAACTAGGCGCCGTAGTCACAATTTCGGGATGATTTGTGTTTCCGGGGTACAATCCCTACGACCAGACGAGGCTCTGGGCGAAAACGACTTCACTCCAGATCAACTGCGACGCGGCCAACGTCCAACCAAGTATTCAAGCAACCCACGATCAAGGAGGAAATCTTCCGAGCAAGGTTCATTCTATTTCTGCGCAACTATTAGGCCACAAGCACGAGCCATGGGTATCACTCAAACACAAATCCTTCTCAGGGAACCAATCTAAATCCTCCCCATCAACTGCTTCCGGGTCACCTCCCCAACAGGCTCTCCAATTTACAGAAAAGCTTTTCGTCGACCCTGTGCTGTCACATCTTCTTCCATCTTCCGTCTTCCGTATTCCTTCGTATCGCGCCCAAATCACTTCCCTCCAAACACAGAACATCCTTCTCTAATGCTTGCCGCTGCCCTCTTTAGGGAGCGGGTCGGAGGATGTCTTGTCCTTGGTCTTATCCTCACTGCTAATGTTGCCGGTAGGAGGGATGTTGCTGTTTCTAACAGCAGTTGATGTTGCACGCGCTTTGCCCCAGACGCTGGTCGCAGGTAGGCCTGAAGCGGGCAAGGGGCCAGGTGGCAGGGACGGGAAGTCATCTCTACTGGCAACAGATAGCTTTCTGCTGTGCGTTCCAGAGGCATTTTGCGGACGCTGGCCGTGAGAGTGTCCTCGAACATTCTGCTTCTTAGGCGAGGGGTTGCTCTTCTCGGGTTCTTGCTTGCCGTGTTGCTGTTTTTTCTTGCTAGCGCCCTTCTTTGGACGCTGTTTGTGACCGTTGCCACTGCTTGCATTTGACGTTTGTGAGACGGAGGTGTCGCCGTCGGCGGGATGGTCCTTCATCTTCCCCATATTTTCGGAGGCTGGCTTTGGTGCGCCTTCATCATGAGTGGACGCTTCACGAGTTGTAGAATCCTGTCCTTTGTTGACGCCGTCTCCAATACCAACTTCCTGACACTCTTTAACCTTGTCTTTGGGAGGCGTTGGCCCAGGAGTGAGAGTACGAGATGTGGCCGACGAACTGTGGGAGAAGTTGCGTTGATGCTGGGGGTTCTTCACTGGGATCGGTACCAATGGGATTGGCGCCAGCTTCACTCTATAAACAACAGGGCGCGGTGCAGGTGACACAAACTCTTTTGCTTTAGGGTTGAGTTGCATGGTTGACTTTGACGCCGCCTCGCTCTCGACCGCGGACATTTCTGGGGAAACCCTCGATTCAGGCGTCCTAGCTGACGATGGAGTTGCCGGAGTCGATAAGACCTTGGGCGAGCTGTTGTCGGAACGACTCTCCCGAGCTGTGCTGAAGCTCATCTGTGAAGTACTCGCAGCAGATAGAAGACCGCCGTCAAAGACATGGGCTTCCTTCAAGACGTTGGCTGCTCCGGAAGCAGAGCCTTCCCGTACTGCAAGGCTCAGCTGGGTCGGGTGCTTTCTGCGATTCTTCGGCAGCCGAAGTGAGCCGCCAGCATTGGCTCGGAAATTCTTGCTGAGCGGTTCCGGCAGACTGGACTTCCCCGAGGATGCTTCTGTCTCAACAATATCCTTGGCCTTCGAGATGATGTCGGCCGTCTCTGATGCGCCAGTCTGCATTGCCTTCGGAGTGTGAGGAGTATCGTCATCGGTGGCCTTAGTCGAAGTGTCGCCAATGGGATGAGACTCATCTTGGCTTGCTGACGTCGGCTTCTTCTTCTTCTTCTTATTTTTCTTGGCCTTCTTCTTCGAAGCGTCTTCAGTCATGATGGTCAATGGGACCCCTTGAGCTAACCCCGCATCGATCAAGCTGTCCAGTGCATGTCCAGACTTCAATCGAAGGCTATCGCTGGGCCCATCCTCGTCAGGGAACGAATGATTGAGAAACGAAGAGCTACTTCTTCCAGGCATGTGGGGCACCACGTCGAAGACTTCGACACTGCTGGTATCTCTGTGAGAAAAGACCTTCCTGTACTTTCCCTTGCCATACGTGGGACTTTGTGTAAGAGGTTCAGGGGCTGTAACTCCCTCTTCCAGGACAGACGAGACATGAGGTACAACCTTCGTGGACTCTTCAGACGGTCTCTGGTCACAAAGAGCATTGGATTTGTTTTTCTTGCCACTGATAGGAAGGGGGCTCTTCTTGATCGGAGAGGCTACCGATTCGCTGTTTTCTGGAGTAAAAACAGCCTTTTCAGACGAGTCAGATTCTCCATGTGCTTCAGTGGCCGTGGAGTTCTTGGTCTGTTTTTGAGGGGTCGCGGGCAAGTTGATGACAATGGCTTTGCATGGACTGTCGGAAATCCGAGGGCTGTCTTGCTTAGTTGTCTTCCCTCCATCAGGAATTACCTCCTCGGACGGCGGCTTCGATTGCGACTCGGCTTCACTTGACTTTTGCAAGGCTATATCCGCAGTCGGCTGGGCTTGTGTCGGCTTGACGTCTTCGGGCAGTTCAGATTTCTGCTGCTGCAGGGCGACTTGGTCTGTGGTGGGCATTGAAACCGTTGAATCAGGCGCCGCTTCGGACCGAGAACACTGTGCTGCTTTGCCCTGAGGCTTTGGTGGACGAGGAATCATGTACTGCTCCAAGGAAACTACGTGTGATCGAGAGTCGATACGAGCAGACATGGACTGTCCCTGGGTGAATGGAATCTGGCTGCCCATCCGAGGAGGCTGCTGGGACCCTTCGTACTGGTTCGCTATTCTGTGCTGTTCATTCGCCTCCCGGCCGGTCTTGGAATACATCAAGCTTCCATATCGGGTATGGTGAATAGGTCGAGTCTGCAGCATACACTGAAGCTCTGCGCACTCAATTTCTTTTGCGCATGCAATCTCAGTGATCCGAGATCCGTCTTTGAATCTAAATGAGAGCATCTTGTGTCAGTAGGACTTCAAGCCTGAACGGGAATGTTGCTAGTTACCTGACAAAAAAGTTAGGGTACTCTCTCTGGTCCTTGAGAGCCAACCTGCTAACTTTCTCGACCTCTCCCCACCGGGACATCACAACCTGGACCTTCTCGGACAGGTCATCTCTGATCAGATGAGAGGTGAGCTGAACGAAGACAGAACGCTCTCGAGCCTCGCAAGAGGGACACTCGCAAGGCGTGTAGGCCCATTTGTTATCAACCAACTTTTCATGTTGATTCGTGCAAGTGAAATTTTGTCTTGACGCGGAAGAACGAGATAATGCGCGTGAACGATTTTCCTTGGTTGGGGAGCGACGGAAAACAGGCCCATGAATTGAGTCGTCTGCATTATGGACCTTCTCCCATCCTTTTGATTCGCCACGGGGGCGCTGATGATGTTGATATGGGCCATGCGAGTTAGATGCTGCTCGCGAGTTGAACCCTGTTTCAAATCGTGAGGGGCCCATTGGCGAGCATCGGTCGGCTGCTTGACCAAAATGGGGGTTCGTCGATGCGTTCCGCTTACTGTTGTGTCTCTGGAAGGGAACTGGCTCGGGTGCCACTACAGGAAAAGCAGCAGATTGAGCACGAGGTACACCGCACATGGGAACAGAGCCCGGCATTTGCGCCGCACGGCCAGCGTTGTTGAACCGGCTGTCATTGGGTCTTTGGGGAGACGGGATGACTTGTGAAGGCGGGCCGCAATGGCGATTTGCAGGACCAGCAGGAGGTACCAGAGGTCCATGAGGGGATCCAAGGGGACCAAGATACGGCTGAGGCGTTCCATGAGGCCCTGTTGTGAACGGTGTGTTGAATGGGTGGCCATCGGGTCTAGTGGTATGAGGATAGAAGGTTGATCCTCCCGGTCCTGCATTTCCACCTCTGGATATCGGGGCTTGATTTGTTTGCGCAAAGTTGGGGCGCAAATTACCAGGCACCTGACGAGACTCATCACTAACGATGCCATGACTTGCCGAAAAGATCTGCTGTTTGTCCGCTGAGATGCCTCCGGGGTAATTGATGCGGTTCGCAGCAGTAGCAACATCTCGATGAAGGTGGTCGACTTGATCTTGCCGGGACGTGCCGCTCACGATCAATGGCTTCGGAGGAGAGGTTCTGGCGGCCGGGCTCAGTTGGGACAGCGGGGAATCGGTGCTGCCGATCGCCAGTTTCGGTGTTGTCGATGCTGGGGCAAGTCCACTAGGAGTATCTTGAACGGGTTGGCCAGCTAACAAGGTTAGGTTAGACACGATTTCAGCAGGGAATAGAGTCGACTCACCAAGCCAATGCTGCAGTGTGCCTTCTTCCCACTGGAACCCGAGGCTGTTTTGCGGGTACGGGGCCGGCTGAGCCCACGGCTTGCCTTGAAGCTGGTCATGTCGAAACTTCAGAGCATTGCGGACAAGATCCATGCTGACGGGAGGCAGTCCCTGGAGATCGACGCGGTCATCTGAGCTCAGAAGATTGAGAATATTGCCGTGCAAGTCTTTGAAGTCTAGCAGCTTCTTCTTATTCCCGCTCTTTCCAGCCCATTCGTCGCACCAGTGGCCGACTTCCGCCAAAATCTCCTGATGAAGGTTGCGAACGAGACATTGATTTTCGTGGTAGAGATGAAGCATGAGGTTCCACAGGTTCATCGCGCCTTGGAAGTAGATGTCATAGCAGTCGAAATAATCGTACAGATCTTCCCAGTATTCCAGCTGCGGCATCGACTTCATGTGGCTCCAATGCTTCTTCCGGATGGCATTGGCTCTCTCCTGGAGCTCTTCAGCGCTCCACAAATCAATCTGGCGTGCTGAGATGACATGGCTGAGACCGCGAGTGGGAAATTCGCCATTGTTGGTGCTAAAAATAGCCTTTATCTCCTTCGTAGGCTGGTTGTAGAAGGCGGTCGGAAGGTTGTCTTCGATGTAAAGTCTGGGCGTCTCTCCTTCCTTGGTACCAACCATCTTGTAGCCGTCGGGAATGCCGTTGGGGTAGTAATGAGAGGAGGAGTTGACAGGCATAGAGTTTGCCATCGTACCGCGACCGTCGTGATCGTTGTTCATGGGGAAGCGCTGATCTTGGAAGGAGCCAGGTCCTCCATGGTTGTTTGAAGCCATACTGCAAAGCTGCGTGTATCCAACGTCGTTTGACAACGGGATGGTAGGCTTGCAGTAATGGGTTCAAGGGCAATGGAAGTAGAGAAGATGAGGATATTTCTGATGGCGATTTTGGAGTAGAAGAGGGATTGATTTGGTGGTGGGAAGGAAGAAGAAGCGATGAAGTGGGTGTTGTTGATGTTGTTGTTGGGACGAAGAGGGAGGGAAAAGTGAAGAATTCACAAGGCAGGTGAAGGGTACCAGGAGCAGGGAGGTAGGAGGGGAGGATGTAGGTGCCCAAGAAGTGTGTTGGGAAGGAACCATGAGCGGGTGCACCTTCCTGTAGAATGAGGCTGGCAGTAGCGTCGACCGGATGAGTGAAATATTCAGACATCGAAGGTGACACCTTTGAGATGGTGAAGTGGAGGATGCCGGACTCAGGCAGCAACACAAATCCTGGTTGCTGTATTTCAGCAAGCATACTTGATAAAGATCATGTACAGCAATGATGTGAGCCTCCTGGGCCCTCCTTTGGTAGGTGATTCCTACCTGTGATGATTTGTAGGCGTGATTTGCTACATACGTGGGTAGCCAGAGTCTTCTGCTATCCCTTTCAGAGGGACTTGACATCAAAAGAGCCAAAGGTCTCTTCTTTCAGCCGTGCATTGTCTTTTCCATAGTCAACAAGTTCCTTATCGTAATGTCCTTAGAGACAAACACTGCTTACTCACTTGATCCCGATGAAGATGATATGGATACTGCAGCACACTTCCATGGAGTATCAGTACTCTAGTTGAATATCGTTAGTCCTAGCAAAGTGAGGTAACGATATTTGCATGTGAAGTGAGCCTTTGCTCAACGGCGTGACTATAGGACTCTAGTACTCATCGGAAGTTATCTAAGATCCTCGTCTGATAGCTACCAACAGATTGATAGCAGTCTACGGAAAGAACTGCTGACTGATACTGGGCCTAATGGAATCATTGGACGACATTTCGGACGACATAAAGAGAGAAGAGTATATTCATCATTTAACTAATGTACCACTTGGGAAAAGGGGACGCAGGTATCTGGACAACAAGGACAAAGAAGCTGCTTTGGAAAAATTAAGGAGAGCGTTCTCCTTTCAGCTCTTCTCACTGCTCAAGGCGTTGAGCATCTTGAGAATCTCAGATTCGCTATCACCAGAGACAGCCTTGCCATTGTTCCAGTCCACAGTCTGCATGTCTCGGTCAGCCAGGTTTGTTCTCAAGCAAGCATAGGTCCAAACAGGACCACGAGGCCTGGGAGGAAACACATACCACGGGTCTTTGGAAAACTTCTGCATTCTGCTGGAACTTCTTCAGAGCATCCTGCTCGGTGGAAGCACCTTTGATGATTGATGGGATCTTGCTCTTTCCGACGTATTCCAGGATAGTCTTGACCTGGTCGGCGGTTGGGGGGTCTTCGGTGATGTTGAGCTCAAAGTCGGCGCGGGACTTCTTGGGGCTCGTTTGGACGCTGTGGTCGCTGGCCTGGTCCTCAGTCGCGCCGGCGGCGGCGTTGGCCGACACCTGCTTGAGGAGGTTGACAACCCTCACAGAGGCGGGGGAGCTCGCCTTGTGGAAGACGGTGACGATGTCGAGGGTCTTGCGCTAGAATTTGTGTCAGCATTCAATTGATCGGTGTTGGGTATGGGTGAGCTGCCTTACGAATCCAAACATTGTGGCAGGTCGTAGGGGAGCTGTTTTGGTGGTTTGTTTGTCTTTGCGTAAGCTCTGCTTCGTGCAGCGTGATGCGATGAAGTCGGCAGTGGAGCTCTGGAGCTTCCAGATTTACGTCATTTAGCCGGGCGGCTTAGTTTTAGACGCCAATGCCGGATTAGCGCACAGGCGGGGCCTGCCGCGCTTGACCCCTGGCCCCATGCACCTAGAAGCGGCCAGAGAGGCACAGCGATGGAGCTTCACGTCTTTGGACCCCTCACTCCCGTCATTTGGATGGGATCCGGAGCTTCTTGGGCATCGATTTGACTTTTTGTAATGGAATTGATGGGGAACGCGGCTCCAATGGGTCCTCAACTATGTCATGTTGCCTTCCCACAGCGACCGGGCAATTGATCCCGTTAGAGACACAGAATGTGCAGCGCACGACGAGGGTACATCACAGTGCGAAGCTCGGAAGTGACAGGTCGGTTGTGAAGGTTAGTGGCGGGGTGAGATTTACCTACATGCACCAGGCAGATTCACCTTCAACGCTCTTGTTTGCTAGAAGAATCCGCAGCTGGGTAAGGTACCAAAGTAAAATTGATCTTGAGTCTTCACTCTCATTCGCTATCGACCGTGGAGCAGGGGTAGCCAGGCTTGAGGCAGGCGATGAGCTGAACTCAAGCTCACTCAGCTTCAGCATCAAAGACAGGGCTGAGAATTGGCAACGAAGATGCACTGAAAAGTCAAAGCCGCCAGCTACCCTCCGCCCAAGTGCATCGCCGATTTTCCATGTGGCATGAGCAGATCTGTCAGGCATTTTTGCGGAGAATGACAATTGCATGACGTAGGAGGGAGTTTTGCCCGTCTTAGCTGAGAATCGGCGCTGGAGACGTCATGACGTAGATGTACCGAAGGGGGGTCGTTGCGCAGGTGCAGCTCAGACAGCTTCCTTCCCGTCCATATAGAAAGCTCATTTGCTGGACACAAAGACATTTTTTTCTTCCTTCTCAATCCAAACATCAATCACTCCATCAAACAACACCCTGTCCCGATTTTCTAACAATAATCATCCCGTTAATTTCCCACCTAACCAGCAAAACAACCTTCATCATGTCTGGAAACTCCAACGTTGGCGGCAGTGCCGTCTACGAGGCTGGCGACCAGAGAAACGCCAAGGACGAGGAGACCAACAACGCCGAGCGTTTCCACGAGGGCAAGGAGCATTCCCACTTGGCTACGGACTCCAGTAAGTCGCCCACTCGATGGTCAGTAAACGTGTTCGCTAATGTCAACCAGAGGATGAGCGCTCCATTGCCAATAGACTCGCTGCTGAGGAGAAGAAGGATAAGGAGGGTGACGAGGAAGAATCTCTCGAAAACCGCCTTGGCAAGGAGGACGCCACACTCCCCGTAAGCAACACTGCGAGCCCATTCCAGCATTCAAATGACGAGCGCTAATGATGACTAGGCTAAGCTGCACGGCAATAAGCCTTCCAGAGGCGCCGAGATTGACAAGAAGCTTCAAGAGGAGGATGAGTTGCGTCTGAAGCAGAAGGCGGGAAAATAGAGTGGCGAGAGAAAATGCGATTTCGGACCGGCGTTGGTAGGGTAGCACCAGCATACATGGGTTCATAGGATGAATATCAAAATCATGAAGTAAATGCATATGTTGACTGATCAATCCGCTAGTGTCAGAGATAATTGGCTGGTTGCATTGGAAAGAGTCACGGTCACAAAGTAAAAAAAGAAAAAGAGAAGACTCGAATTTGGGAAATAAATTTGCTTGGCTATTGGCTATTGGCTACTGCCAAGGGACCATTCATGCTGCAGTTCAGACCTGGATGTCGAGTTAGTTACGTACATCCCAAGAGGAATTCCAAAAAGTAGATGTTGTTGGATTTGGAGGTCAGAATATGTAAGAATTGAATATCATATATTCAGACGATATAGCCACTCCGGCGAAAGAGAGCCACCGAAAGAAATCAATCGCAAATTTTTCTCATCATTCCAAAACAGATTGTGTATGTTGGGGATTTCGAACGTACCTTTTGCTTTGATGCAGCTTCGTCGACAGGTGCCAAATTCTGAGCACCTCAAAGCTGATGAAGAAAGAGATCAACAAAGTAGAGGGATAGCTCATCAAGCTGGCACCTTTATGCGAAAGGGAAAAAAAAGTTCTGTCGTCGGTGGAGCCTGCGCGGTGAGTGGCCACTGACCGCCCCAGCTAAGCCCTTTTGGGAAGGGGGGGACTCGGCTCGGTTAATCAGCAAATCCGTCTCATGCTGCTTTCTGACTTGCCCTAAGTCGCACCATCCTCCCAGGGAAAAAAAAAAGAAGTGTGCCGAAGTGACTTCGAACTCCATCCACCACTAACCACCAGCAGCACATCTTCGACGTCTGGTAAGTTGACGCGCCCCTCCAAGACGAGCAAGACGCAACACCACGAAATCCGCAACCCCGATTCTAACTTCGCGATCCAACTTCAGACCGACCAGCAAAATGGGTGACGCTACCATCGAGGGTTCTAAGTGGCGACTGGTCGAGGTCGGCCGTGTCGTCCTCATCCAGGGCAACGGCCCCTACGCCGGCCGCCTTGCGACTATCGTCGAGATCATCGACCACAAGCGCGTACGTTGCGACAGCACCTCCTCTTCCCCCCGATACGATTCGAATGTTTTGAAATTGGGCGCACGAGCGCGCGCTCCGTGGACGATATAGGAGACCTGGAAGACTAACATGAATATCAAATTGCAGGCTCTGGTCGACGGCCCCTCCTCAGACGCTCAGCTCGCCGTCCCCCGCCAGCCCATCTCTCTCTCCAACGCTCTCCTCTCTTCGCTCGTCGTCGAGGGCCTGCCCCGTGGCGCCCGCAGCGGCACCGTCAAGAAGTTCTGGGAGAAGTCCGAGATCGACAAGAAGTGGAAGGAGACCAACTGGTTCAAGCGCAGCACCCAGATCGAGCGGAGAAAGAACCTGAACGACTTCGACCGCTTCAAGGTCCTCCGCCTCAAGAAGCAGCGCCGTTTCGAAGAGCGCAAGGCTCTGGCCAAGGTCAAGGCCTCGGCGTAATGGACTCACGATTGGGATGTCTATGGGGTTGACTTTGAAGACTACGGGGCTGGTTTAGAGCGTGACAGCATGGGATCCGGTTTGGTCTGCATCACCGCAGCATTGGGTTGCTGCACATCTCTTTTGCTCCGTAACTGGAAGGGCTGTATGTCACATTCATCATCAATCATATGATGACCGGCGTCAAATACGGAAATTCAGAGACAAAAATGAATTCATGGCACAATCAGAAAAATAGATTGGTTGGCTCGTGACGGGGACACGGAGTAAAGACTTTTTTTTCGGTTTTCCTTTTGAGACTCTGTAAATCTTCATGACGAACCTGTTTTTGACGTGAATGCCATGGCCAGAAGTCAGTTTTCGAAACGCCATTGTAAATCCATCCCGGTTAAGCCCAGATTTCGTTCTTTAGTGAGCACATGTACGGCCAGGCTCTGCCTCAGCCTTGTTGAAATGACGGGCAGAATGTCATCCATTTGCTCGAGGCGGCGGCCGTGGCTCAAGATGGCGTGCACCGCGTCCCATCTGGGGGATCTGAACTGGGGGGGTGATCAATCAGGTCGGGACCGCTGGCAGAGTCGCAGGCGGTTGTATGCTTACCTAATCCACTTTAACACAGTAGGTGCTGCTAACCCTAGAATTTCTCTACGATCTTTCCTACAAACCACAAAGCCACCGAACATAATCCCCTACGCCGAGTTAAGCATCCCTCGTTCTAGTCTTTGGTAAGTTTTGCTGTCCCTCTGAGGAATTTTTGACGCCATTGCCCGATCGACGAACCCGCGATTGCACCGACGAATTTTTGTGCGAAAAGTTGGCATTTTCCCCTTCCCACAGACACCCAAATCTGAGCTCGCCAAATCAGCTCTGCGCGCGATCCTAGCTCCCACCACCACCACCAACAGAAGCACCCCGCAGCTAACAAATTTTTTTTCTTCCCCTCGGTTCAGCAGTCGACAAAATGGCCAACCCCCGCGTTGAAGAGCTTCCCGATGACGAGACCAAGAAGGTCTCCGTCGAGGAGCACGAGGACGAGAGCTCCGACTCCGAGATTGAGGGCGAGGATGCCGAGGGCCTTCCCTCAGGCTCCACCGCCGTCATCCACTCCCGCAACGAGAAGAAGGCCCGCAAGGCTCTCGAGAAGCTGCACCTGACTAGAGTGCAGGGCATCACCCGCGTCACTCTCCGCCGCCCCAAGAACGTGAGTTTTTTTGGAATTAGATGGTCTGGCCGTTGTTGGTTGTGGTGGTGGCACGGCGCGATGCGGGGGGCCATATTGAACAAGGCTGACCCACGTCCCAGATCCTCTTCGTCATCAACAGCCCCGAGGTCTACAAGTCCCCCAACAGCAACACCTACATGTAAGTAGCATGCTGCGCCATGGACCATGCGATGTATGGAAACTGACATGTGTGTTCAAGCGTCTTCGGTGAGGCCAAGATTGAGGACCTCAACGCTACTGCCCAGCAGGCCGCCGCCCAGCAGCTCGCCGCTGCTGGTGGTGAGCACGACCACGCCGGCCACGACCACTCCAGCCACGGCAAGGCCGTCGAGGCTGACGCCGAGGCCAAGAAGGACGAGGAGGAGGATGATGGTGAGGAGGTTGATGCCGAGGGCATCGAGGACAAGGATATTGAGCTCGTCATGACCCAGGCCAACGTCAGCCGGAAGAAGGCTATCAAGGCCCTGAAGGAGAACGACAACGATATCGTCAACTCTATTATGGCATTGAGTATTTAGCGACGGCCCCGGCCAAAGGTAGTTTCTCAAAATCTCGACACGACAAAAAGGACGGAACTGGTTGGCATGTACAATTCCCAGGGAGTTGACTCCGAAAAGTCTCTTTCGCAATGAGAGGTCATGATAATCGGCGCTTTCTTGCATTCTGGACACTGCGCTTACGACATTTGTGACGTGTGATTGGCGGTTGCCAAATCGTGGGTTGATTTTTTGCTCGAAATACCTCCGGAGTCTGTCCAGCCTCATCTGGTTGAATTTACAGCTACCCCTCGATCTGGCGGGAATTGGCTTAGACCGAATTCGCAAAAGCCGGGAGAGCTCAGCCCCACCATTGAACCGTTCGTTCCCGTGCAGCCAACCACACCCGACCCCAGGATGCTCGGACGGAGTAGGATCACGTGATTATCCGCGTGACAAAGTCCATCCCGGCTCTTTCTCTGCTCTCCGTTCGGCAAAGTCAATCATCAACCTCACGACGACGCAACTCCCTCTCCACTCCCCCGAACGCTCAACATATCCTCCAAAATGGCCGCAGTACGTGTATCCCATCGAAAGCCACTCATGTCTCGTCGCCGATTGATGCAATTCCCGCCGATGCAGCCAATTGGGTCGCGCACCCGCGCATCCGCTCCCTTGAAGCTGGGTCACCTGAGCTAATTTCTCTCCTTGTCCTGCAACAGCGAAGCGCAGCTCTCAAGCTCGACTGGGCCAAGGTCACCACCTCCCTCGGCCTCAAGGGCCAGACCGCCGCCTCCCTCCAGGCTTTCAAGCAGCGCAACGAGAACGCCCGCCGCAGGGTCCAGCAGCTGTCGGAGCTCCCCACGACCGTCGACTTCACTCAGTACCGCTCCGTTCTCAAGAACCAGGCCGTCATCGACGAGATCGAGAAGCGCTTCTCCACCTTCAAGCCCGCTACCTACGACGTCTCCCGCCAGATCAAGGCCATCGAGGCCTTTGAGGTCGAGGCCGTCAAGAACGCCGAGGCCACCAAGCAGAAGGTCGACCTCGAGCTCAAGGACCTCGAGAAGACCCTGACCAACATCGAGTCCGCTCGCCCCTTCGAGGACCTCACCGTCGTACGTACCGTCGGAATACGTGGAGGATGCGGATGGCCAGATGCTTATTATGACTATAGGACGACGTCGCCGCCGCCGAGCCCTCAATCGACGAGAAGACCTCCCAGCTCGTCTCCAAGGGCCGCTGGACCGTTCCGGGATACAAGGTACGGTCAAATCACCAATTTGATATGCTTCGACATACTGATACCCTCTGTAGGAGAAGTTCGGCGATCTTTCCGCGCTATAGACGCGTTCGTTCTTCGATTCCCTTTGTGTACTCTAGCATTGTAGATAGGCGATCGGTCCGAGGGGAGGGAATCAACCCAGTGGACATTAATATCGACCTGCTGTACCAAGCGCTCTGCCCATCTTATGATGTACTCGTTCATCTTGAGCGGCCAACTCTGCAGAGTTGGTTTGACGGATGCTGATGCTCGGTTGAATTTTTCCGGTTCGGAGTTCGTTTCCTCGGCGCTAACCCCAGCGGTGGCCCTTCACCGAGCCGCCAAGCTCAACAGCATGGCCGTCCGCACGGCTCGTCCAGCAAAGGCTATGCATTCGCTCACTCCATATTTGCGCGGTAAGTATCAAAATTTTGACATGTCGTTATGATCTAGTTCTCGGGGCCGAGCTCACACTTACCCGGCTCCCCGGAACTACGGCCGGATAAACGGGATCTCGTCGCGACAACAACAACCCGGAAGCCCCGATTTCCCCACTATCCGGCCTCGAGTCTAACCTCACCTCACAGCATCTCAACGCCAACGACGCGTATAAATAATGTATTATCCTTCGCTCTTGGCCCTCAATGTCGAATTGTTCCATTTGATCGATTTAGTGCTGCTGTCCATTTCTAATCACACACATCTCAATCACTCATCATGGACTCACTAAACCATCCCATCCTCAAAGAGGCTCCTCCCCTGGATCCCGCCTGGCTAGCGTACGAGGAAGAAGTGAAAGCCAAAGGCCCAAAGAAGACATACGCATCACCCCTCGACCGCCAGCCTGTCTACGCAGAAGATTGCAGACAGCTCAACGCCCGCATGCTCGCCCCCGGCACACCATACCACCGCCTGTCAAGCGTCACGACGCAGCCACTCACCACCTCCTCGAGTCTAGATCAATTCGCCATCCCGATCCTCCGCTTCTCCAACGACAACAACATTTCCACCGGCGACGAGATCATCGTAGTATACTACCACGGCGGCGGCCTCTACGTCGGCGAGGCAGACAGCGAAGAACTATCATGCAGGCGCATCGCCAAAGACTTTGAGGGCGCGACGGTGTACTCAGTAGGATATAGACTCATGCCATCATCCCCAGCCTCAACCTGCGTTTCCGACTCTCTCGACGCCTTCCACCACATCCGCTCCCTCCACCCATCCCCCGCAACCAGATTCATCATCATCGGCTCCTCCAGCGGCGGCCAGCTCGCCGCCGCCGTCTCGCAAACCGTGCCCCGCGGATCCCTCCACGGCGTCCTCTTGCGCTGTCCAGTCACCAGCGACGGCGGGAGCTCTCTGGACTTCGTGCCTCCCTCCTTGCGATACGCCTATACCTCGCCCACCTCGCCGTCTTTCGTCACGAGCCTGTTGGGCGTCTTCTCGCGCGCCGTGCCGCGTGACGGGCTGGAGAGCATGCCGCTTGAGGCCGGGGCGGAGACGCTGGCTGCGCTGCCGAGGACGTGGGTGCAGGTTTGTAGTAATGATACGCTGTACTCTGATGGTGTTTGTTATGCGATGGCGCTGGCGGGGGCGGGTGTCGAGGTGGAGGTTGAGGTTGTGAGGGGGTGGCCTCATACGTTTTGGTTGAAGGCGCCTTGGTTGGCGAGGGCTGTTGAGGCGGAGGAGGAGATGGTTTGTGGGTTGAGGTGGGTTCTTGGGAGGTGAAGATGGAGGGAGGGTTTCGGGTCGAGGTTAGAGTGGTTGTTTGGAGGGTGTTTTTTCGGCGTGTGTGGGTTGGTTCGGGATTGTGAGGCGCGGCTATGGAGAAGCGGATCTTGAGAGGCTGTCTTTGGGGGTCGATTTGTGTGTCTCGCGACTATGAGAAACAAAACGACGGGGAATGCCATCATTGGGCTCGTACCATCTGGGTGACCCATCGTGGTGGTCTGGTTTTTTCTTGTGTTGATCACGTCCCGTCTGCGAAGACTCAGGCCCATCCCGAGGAAGTACGTCTTGCTTGGCCTGTTATCCTGCTGAGATCAGATAGTCTGGTTGGACGAAGGCAACATGTCGATTGAGCAAAGTCCAGAAATCTTGCGTGTCCCTGCTTCTCGTGAAGAGATGTCAGTACACTATAAACAAGCGACGAGAGGAAGTAGTTAAATTTTCTTGAGACAATACTTCGCTTTTGGTGTGGAGAATTGGGAGAGGCATCGGTCAGATCCGCAAAGTTTTGGCTGACGTATGGAAATTTCTTGGCAGGTACTCGTTTTCGTGCGTTGACGATATAGAGCCAATGCCGCCCCTGAGGCTCCTGGCTCGCTGTTCCTTGTGTATGAGGCTCAGGAGGATCGACGACTCGGACAGAGACTGAACAGAAATTTTGGGAGCTTCCCTCCACGCTTGTTGTAATGCTTCGGATCCAAGACGAGAGAGACGCGGCCTCAAGGAGCCGGTCGGTAGAGGGTCACGAAGGTGTGGCGGGTTGGCAGTCTGCGTGAATTCGATGACGCTGGAGATTTGGCTATCGAATCCCGTGAACGAAGGAACTGGATTTCGATTTCTAGACTTCCGAGATAAGCGTATTCATTCTTTATGAAGATACCAGTGAGCAATGGAGAAGACTGGCCGTCACCATGATTCCAGAGAGTGATAGATACTTAGGAGTCTCGTCATATTGAGCGCGTACGTTTCACATCGAAAGTCCTGTTGTTTTTCCTTCTCCCTCTGTAATGGTACTACTGAGCCGGCTAAGCCTGATGGGGACCCAGTAGAGAGGAGATCAGCTTTCATGGCCTGGCTTGGCATTATCGACATTGTCGAAAGTTGGGTTCGTAAACCCCTGGTTGATATGCTCGATGAAATCAAGAGGCAGCTCAAGACTGGCTACAAGTATCAGGGAGCACTATTTTGGTAACATGAATGAAAAGAAGGGCTGGTCTTACCTTCCCCAGAAAAATATCACTCGGCAACGATGGGTTCATGGAGTTGGTAAAGGCTCAACCAAAATGATGCTGCAATTTGGTCTGACGGAAGGCCTCCTCTACATAATATGATGAGCTATACTAGTTCTTGGGATCAATGCCTATGGTTAAAAAGATCTCTCGTTGAACCTCATTCCTAGTTGTTCGCATATAAAGGACCATCAAAGGGTCCAAGTCACGATCTTGCAGCTCCAGATGGTTTGGGCATTTCGAGATACCTGCCGTATTAAGAGAATAGATTGGAACGAAGGAGCCAATTGGTTTTTTTTTTTTTTTTGAGGACTTCCTTTGAGAATATCGCAATCACATGACTGGCCGTCACCTAGGTAGCAAAAAATAACAACTCGGGACTTCACTCACCGCCCACACACGTGCAACTATTCACATCCCACCCTTTTATTCCCTCTTTTGGAAGTCAATCCCTCCTTCCTACTGCTTCTCTCTGCTCTTTCCTTGTCAACCTCTCTCTCACTGCCTGGGTGACTCGCCAGAATTATTCCGCCCGCCAGCCAGTAGATTATTTTGTCCCCTTCTTCTTCCCTCCACCCACAACACTCACTCACTTCTTCACCCACACGACAATTTTTGTCCCTCAGAACCCAAACAATCAGAATCACCAACAAATTCCTTCAATCACCCCATCCACTACCGACATTCACAATGGCTGGTGAAAACGGTGACGCTCGTCGCAAGGGAGGCGAATACTCGACCAACCCCAACACTCAGCGCACTCGAACCTACCTGGCCAACCAGACTCCTGAGCAGAAGGCGCTAAAGTCCAAGGTCTTCTCGGAGTATCGTGCCTTCCGCACCACCTGCATCAAGCGTGCCAACATGTCCGACTACATCTACGAGCGTGACCGCGATACCAAGGTCAAGATGCTGTCCGACTCTCTCAACACCCTGGTTGCGAACCGGTAAGCAGTACTCTCCTTTGTCTCATTACCTTACCTTCAATCAGTCCTGTACTTCCTATTATTTGCACTTCCCATCATTTCTACCCCCCGCTCCTGTCCTTCACCTTCTCATGCAGCTACACGTGTGAAACCGCATCCCTGGGGAAGAAAGACATACTGACAATGGATAATAGCACTGCCCGCAACATCCAGTACATGGGCCAGTCTGTCAAACGCTTCGCCGAGCGCTACCATGACAAGGCGTTCCTCCGGAGCGTGGAGCAGGCCAATACCCTCCCCCAGGGCGGCCTCTCCACTGGCTCCTCTCCTGAGAGCCAAACTGGCATCACCAACCCCAGCCAGCTTCAGGACTCTGAGGAGGAGGGCGCCAACAATGGTACCACTGCGGCCTCTGACCTCTCGGAAGAGTTGACCACCATCAATCAGCTTCTCGACATGCAGGCCAGAGCCACTATGGAGACCTACAACGGCCTGACTGACATCATGCACGACCTCGGCTTCTAAGGAAGCACTACATGTACTTTGGGCACGCTACACACCCTTGGGTTGGACTGTCTCCTCCTCTTGGCGAGTCTTCTTGGGCTTTCTGTTTTTCTTTTTCCGGTTCCGACTTGGAATATACGATGGAAGGTTTTGGGAAGGAGTGCTGGATTGAGAACGCCCCGGTGGACTACATGCGACGGCTTGGAATCGCGATACCAGACAGGCTTTGAGGAAATGCGAATGAAGCATATTCGCCTGAACAGTCACCTTGCCATGAGACCAATTGATGCATGTGAAATGTGATACGAGAGAGATAAGCCTTTTGCTAGACACAGCGATTTACGACACGTCTACTTTCTGCTAGTGACGTTTTCTACCTACGGTATTGCGCGATCTACGCGACACGAGTGAGTGAAACCTCTCTTCTGCATCGTGGCCAGGTATCTTGGGCAAGCTGATGATGACATACCGGACACGGGCATCATCCCATTACGCGTGTGTGACAGGTAAACTGGGCTGAAGGTGACAAGTTCAGAAACGATGATCGTTGAGGAGGGGACATGACGGGAGGTAAAGCATGACTCGAGTACCCGCCGAGCCTCCATGCATGCATGTGCAAGGAACCTTGTATTATTGTTCTCAACCCAAGTCGCCGGACAACGGCTGAATCGACGCGGGAGATCTCATCGTGTAACCTCCTTCTCACCCACGACCACCGACGCATGCGAGATGAGGCCGGGCTGGCGGAGGGGATAATAATTTAATAGTATCCAGCGGCTACTCAGAATGCTTGGGTTTGATTGATTGCATTTTCAGCTGTTGGTTTGGGCTTGTTTCTTGCAATGGAAGGGTCCACGTCGATACTACAGCGTGGTACTTCGTCGTCGGATGGAGGATGTCAGATTAAAGTCCAATTGAGGTGGTTTTAGTGTTACGGCGCGCCGGGTGGAACATGACCCACAAACGCCGACGCGGGTCCCACAGGGTTGCACCACGGGTCCGTGACGACCCCACGTTCCAGGTGGGGTCCGGCGGGCCGGGCGGAGACTGACGACTCACGGAAATGCAAAAATTGCCTTTTCTTCTCTGCTTTGTTACCAAAATGCATCCACAACGCCCAACATCATTCTGCCCTTGCCCGGTAACCCCGCATCCACAAGAGACTCGATAAAGCGAGCCGCGCCGATGGTTTAGTGGTAAAATTCTCCGTTGCCATCCAGCAGCGTCGGGGAGCCGGGGGTTCGATTCCCCCTCGGCGCAACAATGATCGCGAGTCTCTCTTTTTGCAGGTCTGCGGCATGGGTCCAACTTTATGAGGAGAATTTGGACCGCTATCACCGCGGCTTTGTGATTACGCGACGAAGAGGAGAAGAGTACTTTGAATACAGGTAGCTGAAGTAAATGAAACCCGAGGTACCTTGACACAGTCGAGGTCATATCAACGTTCACATCAGCAGGGCCACATTTCATCATATGCGAGACCATAGAAAGAACGTTCGTTTCTGCTGCTCCGAGTTAATACACACTGCTATTGCTTCGTCTGCTTTCTCCATTCCATGTGCTCGCGTGCAGGAATCCCTCAAAGCCTACAACGCGAAGACGGAAGACGGAAGACGGAAAATTCGAGTCAGGAGAGGAGTCGGAAGAATGCCATGAGCCACAAGCCAGAATCAACTGGCTGGCTGAGCTTTCAAAGGAGATAATCAAAAGGTGGCTTAGGGGGAGGGAGACAAAAAGGGAGATATGGAGGACTTTGGGTTGGGGGAAGAGAAGGGATTGAAGATGACGCGAGAAAGTATTTGGAACTAGCAAGCGTGCCTCTTTGGCTAGGCCATCACGTTGTACTTACTTACTATCGCGAGACTGAGCAAGGCTGAAATTATGAGATTGGTATTGTCAGGGCTGTCTTTCCAGGCCTATCTGATAGGCGATGCTGTCGTCATTGCCATTGTTTTCATCCATGCTGCTTGCCTCACGCGTATTCAGCGTCTAAGCCACAACACATTCCAAAACCTTGAGCAATACCTCTTTCACTACTGCGCGTGTGAGGAACACGCTGGCAGTTCTATCAGAAAGCAGCGGCTCATCTCTGCGTGCGCCCTGATTCCACGAACCTGAACTCTTTGGCCAGAAGTCTTGTCTCCGTCAAGTATGGGAGGGAGTACGAACCTTGGGCTTCCAACGACAACCATAGCCTTGCCGCACTCGATTTAGTTGGCGACACATCCTTTCCTTCTTGCTTTCAAACAGAATTTGAATTGTTGGTGTTTCGCGTCCGTACTGATGGTTCCGACGCTGCGAAGCTCACCAGGCTATCTTGATCACCTTTGTAGCCACCCGAATGGCATTTTGCAGCTTGGTGTGTATGTCGGTGAAACGACCCTTACGGTTGAAGGCGGCTGACGAACCTTTCCCTCCATGTCTCTTTTCCCTTCCGAATTCATTTTCCTGGGTTTTCTGGGCGAGGACATCATAGAACACGTGGGAATAAATAACAAAGGTGTCACCTGTAGCTTATCCCGCCTAACAAATACAGTTTTCCGTTAATGTCCACAGGCATCTCCAGCACAGAGTTTTTCCGGCCGATCTACCTCTCCGTCCATCTCTCTTTCTCTTTCTTTTCTCCTCCTCCCCTCCTCACAAGCACACTCTCTCTTTCCCGTCATAAAACCTACGAAAGACAATCCTTCCTGCACATGTCCAACCTCGAAGGATCCATGCCAGCGTCCACTCAAGTCCGGCAGCTTCCATCACTTCTGCCCCACTACCTAATCTGCCACTGTCTTGCTCGTCCAAGTCGAGTTGACGTAATGTTCCTCTCTCACTCAGTTGACGACTTGGGCGGCCGCTCGGTCTTCTCTCACGTTGAAATTCCTGCATCTTGTTGCTAGTCTCCAACAGCCGAGCCAATCTCACTCCCATTTGGCATCACCCTCCTTCTACTCATCATGAACGACATGAACATCCGTAACACAGCCGTTAGGAGATATGCGAGCAGAGAGAAGCTCGACCTTGTTCCCCATGACCCATCTGAGCCCTTTGGCTCGGGAGATTTCCCGCCCTTCGAAGACGACTACCAGCCGCGCTCACTCCGGCCCACAGCGGAGGAGTCCAAGCCAGGAAACCCCCAGCTCGAGATCTTGCAGCCGATTCGCGGCGGCAGAGACGTTGGCTCCCAGATATTGCTCTGCAAGGTCGTCCGCGGAACAGCGGACGGCAACAACGACAACAAGAAGCATGCACCCTTCCCGAGTTGACCCCAGCACGAGCATGGCCTCGTCGTCGCAAAAGTATTCGACCCTCGACTCTATCACATGCGTGGCGGATTCGACTTGGCCAAGGAACCACCCTTTGACGATGCGGCCGTCGCGTATAGCGAACTCTGCCGCGAGGCCGCAGTGTACCAGTTCTTCTACGAGAAAGGGAAGTCCGGACACCCTTTCATGATCGCTCAATACTACGGCTGCTGTATCGCCAATGTCAAGATGTTCAACGACGCCGCGACTCCGGACACGTGGGTTGGCCTCATCCTCATCGAGTACATTGAAGGCCTTTCAATTGAGGCCATGTGCACTCGTGACCACAGTACGGGGTACCTCCAGCCCCCGCTAGGCGAACATGTTTCACTTCATAGTGATCAAAAGGCTGAGGGAAAGGGGCAGACAAAAATGTTGACACTGAATCGCCAAGTATGCTTGGACGCCATCCAAAGCCTCCTCGGGCAGATCGTTGTCTGCATGCATCTGAGTGTATCCGTTCCAGACATCTTTCCCCGTAACATCTTCCTCACTCTCCGCAACAACGCACTCGATTTGCAGACTCCCAGGGTCGTCATGTTGGACCACAGATTCTCATCTGTCTGGGAGCACACCCGAGCTAGCAAGGCAGGATTACCAGCCTACTTTGCCGACCTGAAACTACCTCTCCACCCATGGGAACAATTCGGTATCCGCGGCAAGATGCGTCAGTTCCTCGGTTGGATCCCTGAAGAATGGGACGATAGGAAACAATTGCTAGAGACAACGACCCACGGGGCAGCCGCCTCAACTCCAGCAACGGGCCAAGCCTCCAGCGTGCCCGTGACCACCGAGAAGACGGGGATCGCAAAGTCGTTTGACGACTGGCTCGTGGACTGTTTTGGTCCTTTGGAAGATAGCAACCCAGACTATGCCGTATTCCCAGAGGATGGTTCTGGCAGTGGCGAGGAAGATTAAGATAAAGTCGATGTCTCGGATCAGGAACAACCTCAACCAGACGTGAAGACCGCGATCGAGGTAAGTCCCGTTGAACCCTCTACCCCACCAAAGGCCCCTCCCAAGTTTCCCTTGCTAACTTCTTTAGATTGCGCAAGAGCAGGAACAGCAGGACTATGCGGAAATGGTAAGATTGCGAAGAGAAAGGCAGAGATTGCGCGCCCAGCAGGCCTCGATCCCGCAACGCCCACGAACGCCGCGTCGCGCCCGCACCCAGGACATCTCCACCCGTTCACCCACACGCAAGGCCGAAGCAGAGAGAGAAGAAGGAGGAGGAGGAGGAGATCAAGAAACCTCAATGACGTCAACCAGCTCCACGTCCCAGATCGCCAACAGTCCCTCTCACCAGTATCTGGTCGGCATCATCGCCCGGGAGGCCACCGGCTCGGGCTCGGGATAATCGACTTCTTCTAGAAGAAATGGATTTCTTCTGAGACTTGTTCTAGGTCATGTAAACTCTAAAGGTATCATGAGAACAAATGTTGACAAAAAGAAAAGGCCGCATATAAATCCCCCCTTCCAAGTTTGGAAAATAATGCAAAGGTCATCGAAAGCCAATCATCCGTTGGGATACCCCATCCAGTGGTGGATAAAACTTGTAAGACGCTGTGATGCAACGCAAATGTAGATCCTGTAAACTCCAACTCCATGCAGAGGATTTCAGCTAAAAAAAAAAACCCCCCTTTAGAACTTCTCCATAAAGTTCTTCCTAACAGTCCACATGCGCGCCCTCTTCCCGTAAATGAACATGGGGATCGTGGCAAATAGGAAAATGAGCTGGATAACGCCCAACCAGATAAACACCATCTTGGGTCCATCTGAGGTAATCCAGTGCGTGACAAACAGACTAAACACGAGACCGTGGAAAATATTCTTGCTAAAGTTGAGCGTGACGAGCGCCTCGCCCGCGTACTGCCGGTAGCTGTCGACGCAAAAGGTAATGGACGTCGTGGACCCCAGCGTGCAGCCAAACGAGATGAGGCCGAAGAAGACGGTCGGCACGATCCAGTGGTCCCGCTCCTGCGCGGACCAGCCGAAGCCCATGAGGCCGATGACGGTGGTCACGAGCACCGGCGCCGCCATGACGAGGCGGAACTCTGGCTCGTAGAGGCCGCCGTTGCGGCGCGCCATGGCCTTGACGATGATGTCGCTTACTTTTCCTGCGACGGCGGTGCCGAGGATGCCGCCGATAAAGGGGGATAGGTAGACAAGGCCTGTCTGAAGGGCGTCAAAGTTGTACGACGCGCGGTTGCGGTAGATAAGGGCGACCGACTCGGAGACGACGATGAGCCAGCCGACGGAGAGGGAGTAGACTGCGGCAGACCACAGTACGGCGGGATAGACGAAGAGGACAAAGGGCCGGAGCATGACCTTGAACCAGCTGTCATGGTTCAGACGGCCGTTCCAAGGCTTGAGCTGCTCGTTGAAGGATTTCGCGGGTTGGTGGCGGAGGGTGTGGGTGTAGGCCAGAGCTTTTGGCGGCGAGCCGACGTCGGAAGCTTGCATTTTGAACTTTTCGCTCTCCACAGCTGGAGCGTTGTGGAAATAATCCGATCCGGAGATGGGTGTGCCGGACGCACCAGATGTCCGAGAGACGGGCACTGGGTTGGAAGAGTCCGGTGTCTCGTCCTTGGCGTCTTTCACCTGCTTGTCAATACCGCTATCCTGTTTCTCATCTGGGCCTGGTGCGAAGCCAACGTGAAGGTCCTTGTGCGGGTGCGAAGCAACGTGCGGCGACTGAGGTGCAGGGCTTGTGGGAGCTATAACGGCATCTTCATGAGCGTCATGGACCTGGGGAACATGATGACGTGATGAGAATCGACGAGCAAAGCTCGGTCTGCGGGATGGCTTTCGTGACTTGGGGAGCGGCGTTCGGTCCCAGAAGGTCTCCGGCACGAACAGGAATAGGAGCACGCCACAGAAGGCGACAATCATGGCCACGATCCTATCGACACATTAGCACTGGAGTCATGTAAGATTTTTTGTGTGTCCATGGCTTACCAGAAAGTCCAACGCCATCCAAGACCTTGAATGATGAGGGCACTGATGAGTGGGATGATGTTCTTGCCGCCGAGCAGCAGGAGTGTGTATATGCCGATTCGGAACGCTCTCTCATGAAGGAAGAAGATTTCGGCAATGGTGGCCGAGGGAAGGCACTCTACAGGACTGACAGCGATACCCTGAAAGATTCTGGCCAAGATGAGAGAGGTGAAGTTGGGTGACAAAGCCGCCCACACGGAGCTGAGGATGAAGATGACGGAGCTAAAGAGGTAGACGGGCCTCTTTCCGTACAGAATAGCCGTCGGAGAAAATATGACGGAGCCGAGGCCCATGCCCATCATGTACAGACCAGTGGTCAAGGAGACTGTCTCGGTCTCGATGTGGTAGTCCTCGGCGACGTTGTTGAAGCCGGCGGCAAGCAAGGGGGTCATGCCACCACCGACCATGCAGTAGAAACCAAGAGACAGCAGAGCGCAATCGCGTCGCCATGAAGGCCAGTTGAGAGGGTCATTTGCAGACTCTTCAGGCTGGGGGTTGAGGATGATTCCGTCCTTGGTCGTCTTTGCATCGGGCTCTGGTGGGGCCGCGTTGGCCGGAGATTGGCGGCCGGTTGGTGTGTCTACCGGCTCCGGGAAACCAGTGGGGATAGATGAGTGAGAGGTCCTTGCGGGCGCGTTGCGTAAGCCGAGCGGCTCGTTGCGATGCGCAGCGAGGAGAAGCACAGAACCTGCAGGTTGTCAACTTGGTGGCCTTGGCATGGGCGCGGGAAACCGAAAAGGGGGTTGCATACCAGGGACTTCAATCGTTTTGGGGTCGTTGAGAACACCCATACTCCATTTTGGAATATTGGCATTCTCGTCATCTGTGGCTTCGGCACTGTCGGATTTGTTCTTATTGCCAAAGACGCCACCGAAGCGACTCTTCCACGTGAGAACGCCCGCCATGTTGAGATGTTCTACAGGTGGTCTTCCCAACCAGGGATGGCAGTGCCAAGGAACTCTGTTTGCTGTCGCTTTGGTCGACTACAATGGCAAGTTATGCGGACTTTGTTGTTGGGGGAGGGAGAATAAAAAAGAACGAGCAGAAGGGTCAGGTGGAGGAAAGACGGATGTCGTTGGGCACGAGGGGTCGACACAAGATTCGTCCTAAGATCGGTCGAGCATAGTCTGTCTGGTTCGACCGTGCATCCAAAAAAAAATAGATGAGATAAGGTTGCAGATGTCCAAGAGCCGGATGAAGGAAGATGCCGAGGCAGTACGACTATGCGCTTTAGGAAGAAATGCAAATTCTTCTGGAAAGTCCTGCGCCGGTGCGAGGCGATGTGTGCGGAGGCGGTGAGAAGTGACAACTCTGGAAAGAGACGCTGGAGGGAGGAGAGGAGAGGAGAGGAGAGGAGAGGAGAGGAGCGGGAGATATGGGGTAGAAGAGGTGTTGGCGCAACGAAGCCGTTGATGGAAATAGCGTTTGGATGTCAACAACGAGGCCAACCTCGATGGCAGATGATGGGCTGCGCGCAGCGGGAGAGGAGAAACTATCCAGGTCCGTGCAGAGCGATGGCGTCAGACTGGCAACGCGCCGTTTGATTGTGATTAAGAGAGCGAGGGGGGTTGCGTCTCACGTAGGGGGCAGGCGACCAGGAGATCAAGGATGAACCTCGAGCTTTATGTTGGTGTGAAGAGGGACGCAATGTTATCGTGCCCTGGCAAGCCGCAAGCCGTAAGCCGCAAGCCTGGGGGAAGGGAGCATGGGATGAAATGAAATATCGGCGCTTGGTTGTCAGGATTGGCCGGCCACCGAGTCAAGCACGGCGCACAGGAGCCAAGGGAGACGAGAAGCAATTCATGCCCAGCAGCAGCAGCGGTATGGCAAGGTATCCGTAACAAAGTACCAATATGACCGTATTCGTACGCAGCAAGTAGGTATAGTAGTATGGTAGCTTGCAGGCTCGCAGAATCAGATGGTGGAGTTTTCTGGTTGTGGGTGCCAAGTGCGTCGCGTCGGGCGGGTTCCGTGGGGAATTTTTTGAGCAACTGGAGGGGTCGAGACGGCCCTTCATCCACTGGATAGACTCAACGCAACCTGGACAGATTGGCAGGTGACTCGACGTCGGCGGGTGCGTGCGACAAGACTGCGCGCGCGAAGTGCGATGATCGATCCAGGATTCAAGGATGGATGCGGCGTTGGCGGCGGTGTCTCTCTTGAGTCCAAGCAGCCTGCAGGTTGTATCCGTACTTCCCACCTTCGTACTTTGGGTACGGAGTATTGGCACCAGGCAATACGCAGCAGAATGCCTGCGGGGGCGCTTGAGAGGCACTTGGAGCCTTGGAGGATGGCGGCGATAGCCTTGGTCGACAAAGGAGGTGAGGAAAAAGGGCCACATGTCCAACTCCAAGTCCCCCCCCCTAAGGAGCCCCAACAGCCAATACGCGTCTGCATGCTGGCCCCGGATTGCAGGACCCCTAAAAGCGAGGCTAAACCCCCATGCTCAAGTCCGTGAGTGACTTGGGTGAGTAGGTGACCTGGGTGCTGGGCGCATCTTCTCCACTTGGACCGTGTGAATCAGCGGTCGAAGATGGTGGCGAAGGCGGTGACACCAGATCCATCATCCAAGGAATATCCAATAATTAATCCAACTTCCATGATCCAACTTCCAGCATCCATCATTCATCGCTGTGCGGGTGACGGGTGACGGGTGACTCCAACGTTGTTGATTATAGACTTTCTGTGTCCAGTCACCGAGAGTTGAGACTCGGGAGAGTACATAAGTAGTCTGGTAGCGTAGGCATTCGTCAATGTCTTGGGGTCTCGGAGCAACCCGAGCAGCGCCAGACCACCACCACCATGGCACCATCTGCATGCTTGCTCGTCTCTGCTGACCTCGGGCTCGGATGTAATGGAGGTTTCTTGTTCCCCCCCCAAAGTGAGACTGACCCCATGGTGAGATTTGTGATGGATGGATGGAATGAATATGTTATTTCTGCGGCCTGCTCGTCGCATAAAGAAAGGTTGGGTGAATTGCGTGTCTGATGTAGAGTCGTTGGCTTGGGCCGCGATTAAGATGCGGCTGAGTGCTTGACGGAAAATAAGACAAGGAAAACAATTAACTGGAAACCTCGTCGGGCAAGAAGTACGGAGTATCTGGCAAGCCTGGGCACCTCAGTCACGCAGAGTGCGAAGCTGAAGACAAAAACAGCAGTCGCCATGTCTGGGCGCCCAGGATGCACCTGCAAATACTTGCCTTACCTTACCGCACTTGCCGTTGGTGTCCTCAGTCCTTGAGTCCTTCCTTCCCTGGGGCCTGGGAGCCTGAGGTGGACGGACCCCTGCAGAATCTTGCTTATGTCATGCAGCCTCTCTCAAGGTGTCTCACGATGTTCCTTAGTGCCTCAACGTCATCGTGCGTGAGAATATCCGACCCCACATTCCCACGCCGCCTTTCCCAATGGAGCCTGCCGTGGTTTAAGCGTGACCGCGTCTGCCAGGAAGGAAGGTGCACATTGCACACCCACGACACCCACGCTGCAGCTCCTGTCGATTTCGATTGCTACCGAACCTCCAGATGAACGTCGGATTTTTCCCGTCATTGACAACGGCAACTAAGATTCCAGCATTCCTCCAGCCTCCTCGACTAAGCTGTCCAGCTGCCCGGAAAACCGTTGACGCTACAAAACGATCCATCCACCACCCTGTTCTATATCGAACCACTTGCTCCAAAGAATTTTTTTTTTTTTTTTTTAGCTTGCTCCATTCTACGTACTCCGACAGCTGCCACCTGCAGCCCTCCACTCGTTCTTGTCCAAGAATTAATTCTGTCGCATATCAGCGTTACGACTCGCATCACAACACATCACGGGATAATCTTCGAAGACGTCAGTCGGCAGCACACTGCATACATCCTTGGCATCTGAGCAGCCCAAAGTAACCAAACAATCGACACCACTATTCACAATCACCATGCAACTGCTGAGACATACCGCCCGCACCGCTTTCCGGGGCTGCAACACCAACCTCACCAATGGCACCCGCATACCACTCCCCAAGCAATCCATCTCTGCCGCCGCTGCCCACTTCTCCACGTCTCGTACCAGCCCGGCCAAAAACCAGATCTACGCATCGTAAGTGGGCCGCTGCAGATTCTCCAACCTACCTGCCTATCCAATCCTTGCCCTGGCCTCTCCTCTCGATAGCACTCGCCCGCTAACCTCTGCTTCTGGCGCCAGTGTCCGCCGTCCTGATGACTTCCACACCTATCAACTTCTTTCCTCCTCCTCTCGCACACCACTGATAACACTGTGGACCACGTCTTGGTGCGGGACTTGTCGAGTCGTGGCCCCTCTTATACAATCCATCGTAGAGTCTGGTGTCGGTGAAGCGGAGGGCGGCGTAGGCTACTGCACTGTCGAATTCGACTCTCCCGACGTCATGAGCGAAGGATTGGGCATGACCTACATGATCACCTCCATCCCGACTCTGCTGAGCTTCGACAACCAAGAGGCCCAAATACAGACCAAGGTTCACGATGCCAAGAAGTTGACAGACCGCGCTTTCCTCGAAGAGTGGATCAGGTCTGAGGCTCGGCGGCACGGCCAGCGCGGAGGTGGCGGAGGATCCGGCGGCGTTTTTGGAGGGTTGTTTGGTGGTTTCAAATGATCAAGACGGACGGTCGGTCGGTCACCAATCGGACGTGCTTCCAGCGAAACCATGTGCCTGGTTCATCTGCCGGCACGAGGCAGACGAGGCTACCGAACGTGATCAAAACGAAACGCTCATCATTCGGCTGGTCGTTGACTAATAATGCAATACACTCGATCCCCCCCAATCCCACCAAATATCTCTCTCAAGGCGTGAAGAAGACCTCCTCGACGGGCTTCCACCACGCCGGTTCGCCTGCTTCGCTGCTCACCGCGCCGGGAACCAGAGACTCCTGCCAGCCGTCGGTCATGGCCCACCATTCGCGGACCTTGGGGTTCTCCTTCATCTTCTCCATGTCTCCGGCAAAGTCGTAGCCGACGTACTTCATGGTCGCAAACAGAATGCGTGAGTCGGGCTCGTGCCAAATGCTGTCTGCTTAGAGTCAGTCTCTGCAAAGCTCGGATAGTCCTGCGAGGTCGGTGTTGGGGCCGACATCACCGGATGACCTACAATCGACAATGTTGCACTCCTTGATCTGCTTGAGCACCTCAGGCCAGACGTTGGCGTGGACCTCCTTGTACTTGTCGATGAACTCGGGCTTGAGCTTCACAATCTGGGCAATGCGACGACCGGGGTTCTTCTGTCTGGAGGATACGGGCGCAGGAGCCTCCACCTCGGTTGGGCTACTGGGCGCGGGGGGAGAAGAACGCTTGTTGGACCACATGATGCTCGTTGGACGCGTTTGAAGGGTTCGTCGTCGATGGCGGAGGTGGTGAAGTTTTTGCTCGCAAAATGTGCTCGGCGGAGGGCTGATCCAAGTGTGTCCCGTGGACTCGGCCGTCGGCCTGGCGAACCTGGAGCGTCTGCTTAGAGCCGATCGATCAGCGGGGGGGAGAGGGGGGGGGGGGTGACTTGGACTCGAGAGTCGACGGAACTCGGCCAAGTCGGGGGAAGAATGTCGCGAGGCGGGGCGCGAGGGGTAAACAGAATGCGGGGATTTGGGGAGGGGAACGCCACGGATACTCGTCCACCAACAAACACAGCGCGCAGTTACACGGCACACACACGCACACACGCACACACGCACACACGCACGTACGCTAGGAGTTCTGCAGCGCGGGATGAGGAAACGGGTGGGCAAACAATCGTTACACACAATAATGCACACCTATCTGTTGGAGAGCCGTTGTTGCGACTGTGATGGGTGAAGAGGCCGCAGAGCGACTTGACAAGAGAGGACCACGGGAAGGCCTCTCTACTGAATACTGGCGCCTGAAGTGTCTTGTCCTCTTCCGCTTCATCCGTCGGTCAAATCTTGTCTATGGTGCGGTGTGCGATGGACAATGCGGTAATACGTTGTACGGTTGGGACACGGATTAGTCAACTGCAGCGATCTGTTGAGCGGTAATCGTGGGGATCGTGATAAATCCGGTTCGCCCGCGCGGTAGATGCACGGCAGGCCCGACAAGCTTCTTATACAGTCGTCAACCCAACTCAAAAGTGTTCATTCCTCCTCGGTCCAGCAAGCTTGCAGCAGTCGCAGCAAAGCTTCAGTACCGGGGTCCGCGTCAGGTGCTCCACGGTGCCGCACCGTCTGAACTTGACGATGATCTGAGCGTCTCCGGGCGCGTCTCACTCACCTCGCTCAACTTTACGGGTCCTACATCTAGTCAGCTCTCCAACCTTGCTTGATCGCAGTCGCAGGCCGCAGGAGCAACGGCGGATAGGTTGTCAAGGTTCCAGGTCTGGTCTCTGGACGGGTGCTCGAATTAACCCAGCCAGTCAAATTCCTCCAAGCTACCTTCATCCCTGGCACCTCTCAGACCCTAGTCAGCCCGGGGCTCCGGTCTCGACTCTGATGGAATCTCGAACTCAATACCCCCCACCGAACCGCACTGAATTCCCTCTTCCAGCCTTGATGGGGTTTTAATGTTTCTCTAATTGCGGTCCGTACTCTGTGTGATTATCCGCTCCCCAGGGATCTGATTTCTATTGCCCGTAACGTGCCGCGAGAGCACCACGTAGCGTGTATTGCTTGCGCTGCTGTCGGCTTCCGACCCTGACGGGTTTATTAATCTGGCCCGATGGCGCTGACCGAGAGGGAGGTGACAGGTCAGAGGTGCGCTTGTCGCGTGCGGCGCTGCCGGCGGAGCGGACGTCGGCTATCTGCCCGCATCTGGCGGGGTTCTGATCGGCGAATCATGGCATTCATCCTGTATGGGTCCGTAGACGATTGACTGCTCTCGTGGTTGCATTGCATGCCAGTGTTTGCCGTCATCTGTTCTCCTTCGCAGGCCTCCGGAGGTGCAAGTATCATGAATAACGAAGCTACCTTGTGAACGCGCAACACGAATAAGCTTGAAATGTTTCATGTTTTCTTTCTTCAATTTTCTTTTGAGGCTTTTCTTACACCAACCTTATTTCATCTACGGTGGAATCCTCTCCCGAAGTAGGGACATGGACTGGTGTCAGCTTATTTGCATGGGATGAGGAGGGGTCTGCGCGGTGAGTGGCAGGCCGCTTAGAGGTCGTTTTGGGTAGGGGAGGTTACGGTGAGCTTCTGGTTCTTTTTGAGGACCATTTCCGGAGATGGGTAAGGTGAGGTTTGTTTGTTGAGAGACGTCGTGGGTTTGATACTGTTTCAGGGATTTTGGGTAGTTAGGTCATTTTTAAGAGAGTTTTTTTGTATATTTTATCAAATTGAGAAAGTTGCCGGTGGATGTGAAAGAGGGGTTCTTCTTCGTCCCATTCAGAATTAAACCGTTAACGTATGGTATAAGTCCTCCGCAAGAAAGTCATCAACGTAAAGGTGTCGAAATACTATCGTGGCAGCAGTGCCAGTTTTACGTGGATACAATAAAGACACTGATTTCTATGCTGTATTACACTGGTTCCCTAGATCCTTTGCACTCCTGGTTTCGGGTTTGATGTGAATTATGTGATGGATACTTATACACGACAAGAGCTTGGGTGAGCGGTGCCGTATAGTCTCTGGCTTGCGGGGATGGATGCCGGGGAGGGCGCTGAGGACGATGAAGTTTGCATCTCGGAGTGACGGGTGAGGCATTGGATGGCTGTTACGATGCAGTCCAGCGCGGTAATCGAGAGAGATGGCGATATTGGAGGGGGATGTTTGAAGGGTTGGGACTGGGTCTGGGTGGGTGAAGTGAGGTGAGTAGTAAGTAGCGTGGTGAGAATTCACTCGTCCACGTCGGGGCCTTTTAGTTTGGACTATTGCTCGCGATGCTATGAGTTAAGGCCATAATGTCGGGGAAGTGAGACGTGCTCCTACGACCCGGGATCCAGAGGAACTTGGATCGAGGCAGCGAGGCCCACGACGCTGTGTAGTCTCGGTCTTGTCTAGCTAGTTTGTTTTCGTAAGATGGACCAAGTCAACGGGATGGCCGCGTTCCACTTTCAGAAGAGCTCTGCTAAAACGACCTGCCGATGCTTGGAGAGGTTCCTAGGTGGAGGTTGGTTCGTTGAGTGGCGTGCAGATGGGTTGTCGAGTGAGATCAAGAGGGTTTCTACGCGAGTGATCCGTGAGGTGGTACTGGGATCACAACAAGTCGTCAGGGAGAATACACAGCCTACTTTTGGCGAGGTGGTTTTGATGAAGTGGCCGTTGAACATCTGGCTGTGGCGCGGTGAGGGCATCACTACTGTCCCATATATACTCTTGGGTGTCTCTCTGCTAGAGTAGGACGTGGAGGGGGACTGGAATTTTGATCCAGAGAGGCTTTTCGAGTGCACGAGACATGATGTTTACGACCTTGGTTATGGTGCCCATCTTGGAGTGGGAAGCAGGGGCTTCGTTCATGATCACGTGTGCTCCCCGAAGGTGCCCGGAGACTCTGATCACGACGAATATTTTTCTTGCAATCGTATGAGGACTGAGTCGTTCCGCTACAGGCTGAAGATGGAAACTGGGAGACGGCTTTGCCTTAACTCAAGTCTATATCTTCCTCAGATCTTATGTGACCTGGAGCGAGGTTTTCCCTCTAGTATGTGGTGTCGTGGTGCTGTGCGAGAGGATGGCCAGCTTACGGACAGCTATTGAGGCTAAGGTACTTGCGGCTTCTTACCACAGACGACACATTGTTGTGGACAGATGCTTGAGATCATCGTATGTGTAATCAGCTCTTCAGTTGTCTTCCTTAAAGCATTCAGAGATAGTCATTCACTTGCTGCCTTTTGGTCAGTCTCGTGATTATCGGAATGATTTCACTTCTTCGCCGAGAAAGGAAATTCAAATGTGAGGCTGGCGTGTATCAGAGACTTAGGACCCGCCTTCTTTCACAAAGTTCAACACTTCGATATCTTTCTCATCCACCCTAGAAATTTCAACGGTAAGGGATGGCGCGGGCAGGTTGGTTCGTGAAGTCTTCTCTCCTGTTTAGTAAATCTCAGGGAATACGCAAACTTCAGAGACCAGAAAAGAAGAATAGAGATAAAGAAGAGGAAGGCCATTAAAACACGTCTACAACAGATCAAGCCGCCAGTGAAGAAACCTGGTGGCAAACTATCCCTTCCCTCATTTCCAATGTTTGCCAGGCCCTTCCAGAGGAAAATTTAACAATGTGGAAACCTCAATTTGTCCAAGGACAAAATCATTGCGCTTTCAACCTGCTCTGAGCAAAGTCAAGAACATCTCAGAGCCTCTAACTCAATTGTAATCCACAACCCCAGCAACATCCCAGCTGGCAGCAACATCAGCCCCCGGAGCTTGCCAACCTCACAAGTCACCCCAGCGACCCGCCGTCAAAAACATTTCGGCACCCGGAACGGGCCCCATTGTAGACCTCAGCCGCAACACCAGCCCTAAGCTAAACCCACCACACCATAACCACAATTCCGGCGTCCCCTAGCATCTCAAACTACGAGTTATCAATATGCGTCGATGGTTTAGTGGTAAAATTCTCCGTTGCCATCAAGCAGCGTCGGGGAGCCGGGGGTTCGATTCCCCCTCGACGCAATTCTTTTGCTTATTGCGTGGAAATACGCGTCGAGTCGAAGTCGTGGGTTGCGGATTTTCGGTTTTTGTGATTTTTGGGGGTCAGTTGAGGTGTTGTGTGCTGTGTGGGGTGCCATGTGACCCCACTTCACAACCACACTTGCATTTGCAAAGTAAATAAAATACACTGGAAGGACGAGTTGATGGGATGCTCAGGGGGAGGAGGTGAGTAGGTATGTAAGTGGTATGTCGTTGCTGAATATATGCGTGTAGCATCACATCACGGCAGTGTTTTGTTGCGAAATATACTTTGAGGCTTATTCATGTTAATGGGGGAGGAACTTCACGTTTGCGGCAAGTCGATAGATATGCAAAACTCCATTCAACATTACCAAACTGGCAGGCAACTCGTTGCATCAGATCAGCCCTGTTGACCAGAAGGCGAATTGCGGATGTCTTCTAAAGTATGATTCGATGTAACAACAACCTAGGTCCCACACGAGACCATCGGTTTAGATACCAGAACATGCATGCATGAATGACCTGGGCTGTATGGGCATTCACATCGCCCTGCCAAAACATGCAACACTCAAAAAAGCAATCAGTTGCGCTACGAGTAAAATGTAATGTCCCTAGCAAGGCTCGAACTTGCGACCTTTGGATAACCCCCAGGATGTTTCCCAGAGTCATATGTATTTAATATGAGACCAACGCTCTACCGACTGAGCCATAGAGACGATCTTGTGTGACAGCCGCTGCGATGGGTGGTACCAAGAAGCGAGAGAGGACATCGTGGGCGGGGCAGAAGGGGAGAGACGATTATTGTGGGAGGGGAACGGGGCTGGAGAGGGAAATCTGGGCCAGTCACGACTCACGATCGTGACGGATGGAGAGGGAAACAGGGTCTTTTGATTTCCCTCAAAGTCGAACGCGTTGTGTATATGGAGACCGTGTGACCCAAACGAGACTAGACTCGAAATCCCCTCGAGACCACTTCCCAGTCACCCATCGCACCTCAACTCACACTCTCTCCCACTCATACACATCACGGCGCCTCAACCCTCAGCAACCTCTCAGCATTCCGAAACGCAATCATCTCAAGCTGCTCCCCCGTCACCATCCCACTATCCCTCAACTCCCTCATCCACGCGAGCCCATTCTCGTTCTTCTCAAACGGGTAATCGACACTATACAAAATATGTTCCACCGGCGTATTCCTCAACACGCACGCCAGCGGCGCGAGTCCCCACACCCCGCTCGTGGTAACCCACACGTTCCCCTCCCACACCTCCCGCCAACGGCGCCGCCGCGGACCCCACCGCACCGAGAGCTTTTCCACGCGCTCCATCATAAAGGGTAACATCTCTCCGAAATGGCCAATGATGATTTTCAGCGACGGGTGTTCGTCAAATAGGCCCGCGGCGAAGAGCTTGAGGACGGCGAGACCCGTTTCAGAGTGCCACCCGAACCCGCTGGATCCCATACTCCGCGCCGCGCCGGGGTCAAAGTTGCCCTCGTACGCGGGCCGCTGGCTCTCGGAGGGGTAGGTAGGGTGTAAGTAAATCGGCACATCGAGCTCCGCGGCGGCGGCGAAGACGGGCCAGAAGCGTCGGTCGTCGTAGTGCTTCCCGTCGACGTGCGTATCCACCAAGGCGCCAACGAACCCCAGCTCCCGGACACAGCGCCCGAGTTCCGTCGCCGCGGCCTCCGGGTCGGCCATCGGTAGCACGGCGAAGCCTGCGAAACGGGTGGCGTTGGCGCGTACTGCGCCCGCGAGCTGGTCGTTTGCGAGTTTGCTTAGGTGTGGGGCGCGGGGGCCGAGGCCGGGGGCGTGGGATACGATTTGCAGGCTGATGCGGGTGTCGTCCATGTTGGAGAGGCGGAGGGGGCCGACGTCTTTGAGGCGGGATGCTACTTCGGGGAGGTGTTTGAGTTGTTCTGCGTATATGTCGGAGAGTTCTGTGAAGAGGTCTTCTGCTACGAAGTGTTCTTCTAGGGTGATTAGTTTTGGGAGGGGGTCTGACATTGTGAGGATACAGGGTGAGTTTGTGTTTGGATGGTTTGGCATGTGTTGATGAGAGAGATTTGGATTGCTTGAGGTGAGGTGAGGTTCGAAGAGGTGAGATTGCTTCTTATGCCGTGTGTTCGAAGCCACTGTGATGGTGGCGGACGCCTCGGCCGACGTCTCCCGAAGAAGTGTGACCCCGCATGCTGTGTTCAGATGAATTCATGTGAGACATGCAGCTCGCGGAATTCGACCCAGCCGGTTGGTTCCCTTGCGATTTGATAGTCAAGAGCTGTTGAGATGAGGGCTCAAATGACATTAGAATTTGAATGTATGCATTTTAACATACGAGACTAATTGACAGTCGACCGAGTAGGTGCCTATTGTGGACGGCTCTGTTATCTTTTGACGTCTTCACTCGTCATTCATCTCGAATTCTATTAGAGAAAATGACTTGTACATCAGGAAGCTCTGCTGAGCTGCAGATACACAGAGGATCCCATATCCTGTGACTGTTTCATAAAGTTCATGTACTTCCTGTGAAGTAAAGACTAATGAGTGAAGGGAAGTCATAGACAAACTAGGAGCGAGACTAGGTAGACTGCTACGTGGTAGGCCACTTGACCTGTGATGCTACAATAGAAAGACGATGCGGATGTAATACAAATCCATGATTTCTCTCTGAGCAGACTTTCAACAATGCGATTGCATTGCCTCGACAACATCTCATTCTGGGGCGAACAATCTCATGATAAACATGAGGTATGGTAAGACCTTACACATGATTCAAAATCTTCACCGACATTAGAAGAGAGAAGCGATACCTACATTGTGCTCGTCAAGCCCATCATCCACTGGCCCAGCATTGAGTAGCTCTGCAAACATCATGATTATGAAGCCTCTGGAGCCAAGCCTTCGGAATCCCTTCAAATATGACGAAAAGACGCAATATGCATCCCTCACCCTCACCCTCGTACTTGTACAGCCCAGCCGAGGAATAAGCATTCCTCAAACGATCATCGCGAAACATGACTACTGTGCCGGTGACCAACCGTACCCCACAGCCACGGTGCCACCCTCATGAGCTGAGTCCACGGAACAGCGCCCCACTCCAGCGCCCCGGACCCCAAGGCCAAGCCCGCGCATGTCCCGCCACCACGATCCGAACCCCCGCGGCTGCCCCAACCTCCCCCCGGGAGCCCCTGAGTGTCAGTGCCTGAGTGCTGCATGCCCTCCCACCGCCTCCAACCCCGCATTCATGCCCCCCGCAACCGGCACCCGTCACCGTCACCGCCGCCTTACACCGACCTCACGCGACCACAAGTGAAAGTATCCAAGCGCCATGAGAATCGCGACTCCGCGCCGGACGACCTCATCTCACCCTCACATCACATCTCACTCAACCAACTCCACCTCAACTCAAATTAACCCACACTCACCTCTACTCACACTCAACTCGTCCATATACTACTACCTGCTTCAAAAAACAAAGCAATGGACGATCCCTCAACCCAAACAACCCTCGTCCTAACACACCTCTCCAAAACCCTTTCCCTCTCCCCGCCCCAATCCACCCACCCGCCCGCAACCCTCACCGGCCTCCCAACATCACACACCGGAACAGCCTACCTCTTCCTCTCCGTCTCGGCCCACCACCCCCGGCTCCAAATCCACTCCTACCCGGCCATCCACTGGGCCCGCGCCTACATCTCCAACATCCCGACCCCGTCCGCCCCGATATCTCTGCCGTCTACACAAGAGACATCACGAGAAGGGCCCGTCATAGGCCTCCTCTCCGATGCCCTCGCCGGCCCCGCCGTCCGCGCCTGCGTGACAAAAGACCTCCTCCACGTCCGCAAGTTCCTCGCCATCCTCTCTCCCGTGTTGGAACACATCATATCCTCCAACGCGAACGCAAACTCGTTCTCTTCAGCACCGACGACAAACTCCTCAGCAATGGACCTAGACGGCCCAGAACCGACAAGAACAACAACAACAACAACAATGCAACCCCTACCCAGCTGCCTCCTCCACGGCCTCGCAGGAACACTCTACCTCCTCCGCCTAATCCGCCACTGGGTCCCCTCCTCCGCGCCCCTCGTCTGCGGCGCAATAGTCCACGTGTCAGAGTACCTCCTCGGCCCGCATCCCTGGACATGTCCTTCTCGATCACCCGCATCGTCTGAATCTCACTCTCACTCTCACTCTCATTCATCACCACGACCGTCACCAGAAGACACCCGCGGCACAACCCACGGCGACCTAGGCATAATAACCCAACTCGTCCTCACATCTCCTCCCCTCGCCGCATCCCCGGCCCTGAAATACCGCCTCGCCGGCCTCCTAGACCTCCAGCTTCCCAACGGCGACTGGCCAGCCCCACCACCCACCTCACCACCCACCTCACCAAACTCACAACACCCCCAAAGCGGCATACAACAATCTTCAAACGCACCACTAACACCAGACCAAACACCAACACAGCCAGAACCCCCAGCATCACCACAACCACCCCGCGCCTTCGCCTCCGGCCCCCAAGGCCTCGTCCTCTCCCTCCTCTCCCTACGCCCCTTCTTCCCGACCCTACACCATCGCATCGACGACGCTGTTGAGAGGGCGCGCGAGTTCCTCTGGGCTAGGGCCGTTGACTCTGAGGTGCCGACTGAGGAGGTGAACCTGTTTTACGGGTCGTTGAGTACCGCGTTGTAAGTTTCCTCGTCTCAGTTTATTGTGTGTTGTTTGCATGTGAGAGGTGTGAATTGGTCCTCCTAATGCCTTACCCCCTGATGGAGAAATTTCGAGTATCAGTGGATCATATTCATTCTTATGTATCGATGTTACCTTCTTCGATCAACCTGCCTTTCTTGCTCGTGAAACTTCCTCACCTACCCCTCCCCTCCGTCTTCAAACATCTTCCACTTATCACAACATCAAGCCTCTCACAATGTACTCAAGTCTCACACCCAAACCTCACCTCCCATCTCACTCTCACCACACCAATCCCAGACACCATCCCAATCCTAATCACATAACTAACAAACCCCCCCCCCTCCCTCCCCCCAGAACCTTCCCAAAAGGCCCCAAAAGAACACACCTCCTAAAACCACAACCCCCCTCGCCAAGCCAACCCCTCTCCCCGCCCTCAAACACCAACAACGCCGCCATAACCACATCGCAAAACTCATCAACGCCATCTTCCTCATCAACAACACCAACACCACCAACAGCAGGTTCCGTAACAACCGCCCCCCACCCGGGCTCGGCGTATCTCCACGCCGTGAGCGAGCGCGATATGCCCCGCATGATCTTCTACAATGACATTTAATATCACCCTCCGATGTGTTTCATACTGCCAAGTATGCTCTTCATCATCCGGCAGGAACAAGAATGGGATGGTAAAATCGTTCAACTACGAGAGGCAAGCTCTCTATAAGGTTAGGACAAAACAGAAACACATGTAAATACGCAACTACGGGTTTTCACCAGGCGTAGACAGGATACAAGATACCCCAAATCTAGATTCCATATTTCCTTGGAATAGCATAGATGCTTCTACTCAAGCCATTATACCAATACATCACTTCATTAATTCTTCACTCGACTTCATCTGATAAAACTCACCCATTACATCTCTCACAAGTCACAAAGTCACAAATAAAAAAGTCATGAGTCAATGGAGTTCATATTCCAAGAGCGCGTCCGCCCCCCGATCGCCAGTGGGGACGAGACGACGGGTATATTGGCCACCTCACACCACACACCCACTACAACCCACTCTTCTCGCCTCACTCCCACATCTACGCATACCCCCTCTAGGTCAGAAGGATCATGACCATCCGCGAAAGAAGAATGAAAAAAACACAAGAGCCTTATGTCCAGGACAACAATCGAAACGAGTGTGGTGAGGTCCCTTCCCATTTCTCTCCCGGGCCATTTCGAGTTTTGGTTTCTTCCTTCTCCACCCTCGGCCATGCTGCCCTGGCCCCCCCCCCAAAACAAAACACTTTGCCCGTGTGCCCAAGAGAAAGCCCTTCTCTCTCCTAAGAAACCCCTAATTACGCCATGTGTCCCGTTTCCCGTGGGACTGGTGCTTCCCAGTCCATGCCTGAAAGAAAAACAACCTCCAAAGTGCCAAACGTAAAAATCAGAAAGTCAAAATGCTAGCGTTGAGGAGTGATGCGACGACCTCGGTTGATGAGTTGAACCGACTTCACCGGTTGCGATCATCCTGCGATGATCGACTGGCGCGAGACGACGCCCCAAAGCTACCAGACAGCATCCCCAACCACCCGTCGGGTCGGGTTTGCCGTCCCCTGGGCGCGGGCGAGAGGATACCAGCCTGCTCCACGTCCTCGTCTCTGTCTCGCGAGCCGGACGCCTCGGCTTCCACCTCGTCGTCAGAGTCGTCGTGATACGGTTCGTAGCGGGGGCTAGAGGGGGAGCCGCGTGCAAGAGAGCGTACGACATCGCCCTTGCAAATGGGGCATGTGCGGCGGCGCGTCGTCAACCAAGGCGTGCTGAGAACGTTAGTACTAAAAACATAAAACAAAAGGGGCAGACAAACTCACATGCACTCTGCGTGGAATTCGTGGCCACAGGGCAAGCTCATGACGCGGCTGACGCCGTCGACGTACTCCTCCAAACAAACCACGCATTCGACCTGTCTGCCCATGTACTTCTTCCACTCGCTCGAGTAGCTGCCGTTTGCCTTTTCGTGCTCTGTCCGCGGTGGCGACCTAGGCATCTGCAGGGCCGAGTTGACAGACAGCAAGCTCTCCGACTCGGGGATGCCTGTCGTCGTTCTAGAACGAGGCCGTGGTCGGGAAGGCGTCTGCTGTAGCAATGGCGTGGTGGGTGTTGGACTCGTGGGTGATGGAATTCTCGGCGAGGGAACGGGTGACGCCGCGACGGTGTGGTACGTGCGAACGGGCAAACGCTCGACGACTGACTTGGGGGCCCTCCAGCGTCTTCTGCGAATGCGCGCGCGAAGGATCAGCAAGGCATAGACGACGCTCAAAGTGATCAGAGGGCTGATCACAAGCACGAGCAGAGTATCGAAGAAGGGGCTGGAGCTGCTTGAAGGCGTAATCGTAACCCAGAGACCATCGTGCCCAATAGGCTCGTTGTCATCGTCGTTGTCACCATCGTCGGGAATGGGCTCCGAGGGCCGCGGGGGATCCTTGGGCTTGTCCTCCTTAGAGAAGTCGGCACCGTCGTCTTCTCCGAAAATCTTTGACATGATACCCCCGTGAGCCGTAGCCTCCTTTCCGGAGGTGGATCCCTCGGTCTCAACGGGCGGCAAGTCAGGGTTGTACTCGCCGCTTCCGGGAGTGATGCTTCCGCCCTTGGGGCCAGTGACGTCCTTGCCACTCTTCGCGGTATTGCCGGGCTTGCCGACCTGCTGCTCCTTGGCTGCGGCTGCGGCCTCGGTCTGGTCTTTGGAGCTGGGGGCATCCACCAAATCGGGATCCCGCCAGTCTTGGACACCGATTTGGAATGTGTCTTCGCTCTTGCGAGCGTCGGGAACTTTGCCTTTGCCCCTCTTGGCGGCCTTGCCGAGGCCGTCTCGGATGACCCTGTCCTTCTCCTCGCTCCAGTCGTCAACGAGAACCCAGTTATGGCGACCGCTGCTCGGGGGCTGAATGCTGTCGCCAGATCGTGAGCTACGGCCCCAGCTAAACAGCCATCGGAACAGGCTGGTACGGGGCTTAGCCGCCTTGTGCTCGGCCTTGGCCGGCTTGCCCTTTGCGGCAGCCTTTGCCCTGGGCGTTGCCGTGGCCTTGGGGGTCGGCGTCGGCGTCGTCGCCGCAGCCTTTTGCTTGTTCTTCCTGTTCCTCCGGCTTCCCCCGTCGGATTGCAGAACCTTGAGGGCCGGGCGGCCGTGCTCGTCGAGAGTATCCTCGATGAAGCTGCCGGGCTGCGTCAGGGACGACAGCAAGTGCGCCGTGGTCCGGGTGGTGAAGACAGAGGGGATGGAGACGTTGGAGGTATCGCCTCTGGCGAACATCTGAATCAGGGGACCCCCCTTTGTGTTATCGCCCACGATGAGGGCCATGGCGCCACGTCGCTGCGCCCACTTGACCTTTTCCAAGAAACCGCAGCCGCCGCGACTGAGCAGCACGATCTTCCCGGCGATCTCCGCAGCCTCTTGTATCGATTGGATATCGGCGTGGGTCGACTCGGTGGACAGGGCGCTATCGTGGTTGGGCTGAGGCTTCCGGGCGAGGCCTTGGTGGAGGTAGTCGTCGGTGCCGTCGTCGGCTGGGCGGATCTTGGACCTGAGGCGGGTGACGGGGACACCCACGGCGTCAGGCACGGCGTCCTTGTCGGTCTTGTCGCGCTTGTGGTGACCAGGCTTGCCGGCGGCAGCAGCAGCCTTGTTGGAGGACTTGGACATGCCCTTGGTGGCAGTCTTGAGAACAGCGTTGGCCTTGCCGTCGTCCCAACCGGGAATGTCACTGCATCCCAACTCGCCCTCGCCCTCACCCTCCTGGAGGTTATCGTCGGCGAAGCCACTGCCGATCCATAGTTGACCGCTCAAACCCTTGTTGGGCAAATTGGGGCCAAAGGCAGCTGGGCGAGCGACAAAGGAAGTGCTGTTGTCATCGGTCAGGCTGATGGCGGCATTTGGCTGGAAAATGGAAAAAGGCGCTGTAAATGAGAAGAAACTCGTGAATCGTGATCGCGGTACGGCGGCCGGGGCGGCGATGACGGGAGAGGAGGAGGAAGAGCGCGCCAGTGAGGTGATGGAGCGGCAGAAGAGGAAGAGCGAAGCGGCGAAGAAGAGGACGATAATGGCTATTCTGGGAGTACGCATGGTTGGGTATCGTATCGGGTCGTTACTGAATGGGAGAAAAAGAAAGGGGTCAGAGGTCGAGGCTCTGTGTCGTGAGTATGGTATCTAGAAGTGGCGGAGGGTTCGGCGCACGGCGCGGCAGCCGAGGGGGGTAATCGAGTCTGGCGATAGTGGAACCAGAAATGGTTGTCGACGTTGGATAAGGTGAGGTATCGACCGGCAGCCGGCAGCGGCTCAGCGGCAAACTGCACAGGAGCCCAGCATGCGCAAAGTCATTCGGCGACACAAAGCGAGGAGAGATCGTCTGTCTGTCTGTCTGTCTGTCTGTCTGTCTGGCTGCTGTAGGTCGAAATGCCAAATGTATGACGAGGCTGAAGTTGAGGTAGAGTGAAGTTGTGGCGAGGAGGGGAGGTGAAGGTACGACGGTTGGTAGGTATCCGTAGGGCCTTTGGTCGGAGCCAGGAGGGTTGGAGGGGTGAAGGGGTTGGGCAGCAGCAAGACACGCTCTCCGGGTCTCTCTTTAGTGTGCCGGCGGGAAGCGTCGGGTCAAGAGAAAAGAGAAAATGGGACTGGTATTTCGGTGGTCGGGAAGCAACAAGAGGGAGAAAATTGGATGACGAGGTGCCGATCAGGTTATTCAGGTTCGGGACTGCAGTAAGGTAGGTAGAGTGGGAGAAGTCAATTTGATTGTGTGCGGCACGGCGGCTTTGGTGAGGTCAGGTAGTTAGTTATTGGGTGTGCACGCAGCGCATAGCGGTGCAGCATGCGCCATACAGAGAAAAGAAGACCCGGTGACGATTGGTAGACAGGCACACCGTCGGATAAGGTAAGGTAGAGTAGAGGCGTGGGATGGAACGACTCGAGCAATGGAAGAGAAAGGGACGGGAAGACACTTGAAGGTTTCGACTTGTGACCTGTGACTTGGCGAGAGAGAGAGAGAGAGACAATACTCCGTAGAAATGGAAGACTGAAAGTGACACACCAGGAGGGTCTGTCCCGTCTGCATTTGGTGGCGGGGCGCTCACTCGCTCTGCTCTCGTGCAATTATCAATGACACACACACACACACACATCTCACTCACTCTTCGGATGCACAGAGTAAGGTAAGGTACTTACCTCAGCGGCCTGTCATTATGGCAGCATCTGGCAAACTGCACATGAAAGTGACTGGCTGGCGGGAGTAGGTATTGGTCCCAAAATGGACTCATTCATGGACCATGGACCCATGGAGTCGAGTCGGGGGGTTTGGGGGCCCCTGTCTGGCTGAAAGGTGAAAATCGGACGCACTGCGCATCGGGGCACACCTCACGCGTGCACTTTCAGTTTGATGGCGTGGGCACGCGGGACAGGACTGGTTGGTCATGAGCCACATGTATGTACCTACCTAGGTAGGTAGTTGACCTCACAACTCATTCTCAATCTCACTCTCATCTCACTCTCATCAAGGTAGCAATATCACTCAGTGAGATATCCTCAAGTGAGTGGGCAATGGGCTCACTCAAAGACCATAACCATCAATATCGCCATTTACATGCTTCAAGTGTATCCGTAGCAATCGCCTTTTCTTTCTTCAGGTGACAGCGCCAACCCAGTCCACGGTCCACCGCGACTGTCAAAAATACACCCATCCCAGCCACGCTCGCCCGCAGGGTGTGGCATGGCCGCAGGGGATGGGTTGCAGGGTCGACCGGCTTTGGCGGCACACGCAGAAAGTCTCACTCAAGCTTGGTGGCATCTTGGTATCGACCTATTGAGGGGTCCTGGACCTCCAAAGGGCCCCAGAGGGAGCCTGGAGCAGGCCAGTTTGTCCTGGATGCTGCTTGTCGTCGCGTGTGCTTGTCGCTGCTGCACCAGTGATTCAGTAAACCCAACTTTCATGTTCCACCGTCTCAACTTTCTCTCTCCTATTCTCCACATCCGATGCTTCAGGCCGGACAGGCGACTCTCGCAGGAAAGCGTATGAGAGGCAGACCTTGACGCCCAGCCGCGCATGGGGAGATTGAACCACCACCATGAGGGTTCTAACAATTCGCGATCGTCTCACAAGCGCCAAAGCCGACTTGGCCATCTTAGCAGTGAGCAAGCATCTCGCCAATTCCTCAAGCTGCTCCCAAGATTCCAAAAGCGTCCAAAACACCCGACTTAGCTCAACTCACATCCGCGTGGAATACGACAACCCGGGAAATGAGGGTGACGAGTTACCCGTACGTTCCCGTACGGCCCGCACGTCGTACCCAAGGCACCAGAGGTCGTCGCTTCGCTCGCCTCTTACATCGTTCCCAACTTCCCGAGGGACGAATGAACCAGAACCACCCCCTAGAAACCGGGCGCAGCAGCTTAGCTCTAAACGCGCGGTTTTCCGTACGGGCCCTGCAGATGCCGTTATCAAAACACCCGCAAACAAAGAATCTTTCCGTCGAGTTAGGTTGTCAATGACTTCACACGCGACCACTCAGTACACTGGACTGATTCCCTCCCACTGCCCCTCGTGACTGAACCCCAACTGAGACGAGGGGGCGCCATCTAAACCGCAAAAAAAAGGGGTGTGTGTGCGTTTGCAGCAGTCCCTTGCTCTTGATGGATGCTAGAACGCCCAGACTCGTCTCGGCCCGTTCTGAAAGAAACCTAACCCAAATCTCAAAAGTCAAGGAGGGGTGACTCGGCGAGGTCATCATCATTGAGAACTCCCAAATACAGCCAGAGCTACCTGATACTGCCTATAGTCGACAGAGACAAGCAACAAAGGTAGAAGCGCTCCAAAGTCTCATATATATCTGAATGAGGAGACTCAACCTACTCCGGGTCAAGCTAAGTGAAAGAGAGGCAGAAGTGCTCATGGGCATGAGTTGATGAGGTAGCCGCCGAGTCCAAAGTGCTTGCATGACCTATCCGTACCTTGTCCCACAAACACAAACCCCCCTCCACCCTGCAAGATCGACGTGATGTTGCCCAGCATCGTGAACCTCTTCCACCCTCGAAATTCAATCTCAACTCCATCCAATCCTCGCTCACAACAAAGCGTGCATCGTCCGTTGAAATCATACCGCACGCAACTAAGCTTACCTTACTTTAGTCTACCCACCGTGCTGCCTTGAGCTCTAAAGGTATCTGAGCCTCCAGGGTAGTCAGAGTAGCAGGCGAACAGACAATCACAGTGCGTCAAGGCGTCTCACCTCGCTCGCCAACCCTCCCAGTGTTTATCCCGTTTTCAGTGACACGCAAGGTATCCGTACGGAGTACGGTACCCAAGGTTCGAACTTCGAACCGCCGATGGGAGATGGAGGCACAGGGGGAAAACTCAATTCAACTCCAAATTCCTCTAAATCCTACCAACCAACTTCACGTTGACATTGCGGGCGAGGCTTGACTTGACCCAACCAACCAACCGACCAAACAAAACAAAACAAAACCATGCTCCCAACGTCGTATCGTCCACCCCCTTCACCAGAGTTAGAAACGCGTGACAGAATCGAGCACCCATGCATGATGTACCTCATCCTCCCCCAGGCCCCGACTTCTTTCTCAAGTCCTCTCCATCTCACTCTCACTCGAAACCAAAAGCGGTCCACCAGCTCCATGACGTCCGACATCAACAGCGTAACACTTCTTTACCCCCCACCGTCCGCCCTCCGCCCCCCGGCACACCCCCGGGCCCCATTCCCGCCGTCCTCACCACCCTCACCCGGTGACGGACAACCCGTGGCAGTGCCGTCCCGGCTGTGGCGCAAGACCCTTCCTTTATTCACTTTTCCCATCCCACATTCCTCCTCCCGATGCCGCATTCATCCACTCTAAAACTTGGCATCCTTTCATTCCCCTGGTATCCGCATTCCTTTCCCCTTCCTCCGTACCTGAATCCTCACGCGAGCGGAAAAGCCACTCCCGTCATCTGTCCCTCTCACCATCACATTCCCATCTTACAAAGAAAACCCCGGTATTCGTATCCCGTGTGTCCGTATCACACTTCCAACCTTAGGTACCCCCTCCTCGCCGAATGGAGTTAGCTCCCACTTATGAAATGGACCCCTTATGGATGATGGGGTCGCCCTTCCGACTTTTGTTTCACAGTTTCTCGGGCAGGGGTGTCAGCTCTGGTAAAGGAAAGAGTGAAACGCCGTTTGCGAGCATATCCCCCCACCGCTACAGCCCAAAGCCTCAAGTGTAAGAACAATAGTGACATTTTCCCTCTACGCCATTCAAAGAGAGACCGCCCTCTCATCAGTACTGTAATTGAGACTCAAACGAAATGTTATAGTGTACGTCCCTTCGAGGCTTCGCATTAGATGTCGAAACTAACGTCATCTCAATGGGCAACGTCGTGGATCTCACAGCTTACAGCCTCCTCCAAATGAGGCTGAGATTGGACAGTAGAGACGAATCTCAGTTTGCAGGCTTTCTCCACATATTCCCAAAGCCTCAAAACAGCCCATCCACGATCCCAGGGTCGGACATGCTTTTTCTCAAAAAGGTTCGGACGAGGGTGTCAAACCCCAGCCTCTATTCGTCTTGTGACATGGTTATCAGCAAACATGCTAGACTAGATTGATTGTTGGAATATCTCGAAGCGATGCCGGTCATTTCTACAGCTTCCCAGTGTAGGACTGCCTCTTCACGGCATCAAGAACTCCGTCCCTGCATTACTCGCATGTAGCTGCTGCTCAAGCGTCAAGTCACACGCCGCTCTCATGAGGTGACATCCAGTGAAATCAATCATCGATCATTAACGTAACAAACTCCATCCAACGAATGCTAATGCTGAAGGTGATACCTCGAGACGTAATTCAACTATGCAGACGCCTCCTAACCATGAGTAAAACCCGCTTCCAGAAAGAACAATCATAAACAAGAAAGCAACGGAGACTCAATTGAACTCGGAAAACAACCCGCTCAACCCGTCCTCCTTGCCGCGATCCCACTCCCGCTTCTCCCCGGCCTTGGCCCACTGCACATCCCGCTCGTCCTTCTGCTCGTCGGCCGTGCCGCCCTCCCTCCACTTCTTCAGCATCCCATCGGTATACCCGGCCGCCCGCATCCGCTCCTCCTGATTCTGTCGCCACTTCTGCCTGTCCCTGAACGCCTCCACGGCGTCGTCCCAGTTCTCTCCCGGGTGTTTGTCGTCGTCCGCCATCTCCACATCCGCCTTGAGGTTGTAATCCGCTTCGAAGCGCTTGTCGATGCCCGAGGCTCCCGAGGCGGTGCCCCGGCCACGCGAACGAACTTGCTGCGGCGGTTCCGGCCCAATAAACTCGTCCAAAGGATCCGAGTCTGACGCTGTCGTCGGGGGCTCCTGCTCGTGCGCTCGCCCTCCGTCGCGGCGGCGGCTGCTGCCCTTGATCGAGAATCCCGACTGCGGCCTCTCCCGACTGCGATCTCTGCGTGACCGATGGCTCTTCGACATGGGGTCCTGTCCTTCTTCGTCCCGTCGCCTTTCCCTATCGCTTCGCCGTGACTTTGACGCAGTCTCCCTATCTTCGATTGGCGAACGATGGCGGTGCCTCCTGTGCTTCTCGTCGGGTGATCGTGACCTCCGCCGATCGCTCCTATGTCGTCGACGATCGTCTCGCTCCGAATCCGACTCGTCTCTCCTGCTACGCCGGTGCTTCCTGCCGCTCTCGCGTTCTGGAGATTCACTCCTGCGTTCCTTGTGATGTGTCCTCCGCGGCGACGAGTCTTCCTTCTTCTGCGCCTTCTCATTCGATGGCCCTGATCGGCTGGACCTGGACCTGTCTTTGCGGTCTCCCAGAATCGATAGGATGTCTCCCATCTGCCTCTTTCGAATATCCTGAGGGCCTGCTTTCCTCCGCCTCTCCTTCTCCTCGGCGTGTTCAAGATCCTTCAAGCGCGCGCGGGATTCGGCGGCCTCTTTGGCCAGGAGGTTCTTGTTGTGCGTATTCGTGTCCTTGATAATGTGGCGCAGGAAACGAGTGTTTGGTTTGGGCATGTTTGCTGGTCTAAAGGGGTAGTCCGATTAGATGGTGACGTGGGGAAACCGGGAGAGTCGTGTGACGTACTTCTTGTCTGCCCGGCCCATGACGGCCTCTTTGGCGAGCAAGTCGGCGACGTAGTCGTCCGTGATCATGTCGTGGCTTGACATGTTGAGGCCTCAGTAACCAAAGTGTAGATCCAAAAGGTGGTGAGAGAACCGCGCCCCTTCCGAGCACGCGAGATCAGGCTGGTGGCTGCAGCATTCGGCGGCCAGCTGGGGTATGTGCCTCTTTTTATCGTGAGTAGAAGAGGAGCGCGGGGGCTCTAGAAGTGACGGTCTTGGATCGATGAAAGAGTTTGAAAATGACAGTGGCAGAGCTCTTCGCTGAGGCTGTTGAATGAACCGATGGAGAGGGGCAGCGGGGGTTCGCTTAGTTGAAAGGCGTCGTTGTCGCAAACTGCGGCGTATGGAGGATTGATCGACGACAACTGCAAAGGCCGCCAGAGTCACATCGACCAGGGGCTTGGCACGGTGGGACGAGCCTGCGCCATGCCTGCCGTTTTCCGCACGGTAGAGGCAGATAAGGATGTAACGGAGATAACGATAAGATAGCGACTGCACCTTACCCAATCCAGACCCAAGTAAACAAACGTCACAAAGGTTAAGCTAACTGACAGACCTCCCCCGCCGACATCATCTCTCAACGCGCCATTGACGAAACTTGAATCGCCAGCACACCTACCAAGGCCAAAATCGAAAATAACACAGCGCGAACTGTGATCAACGTCTCAAAATGGACGCGGGAAAGGCAGCTCAAGTGCTGCGCAAAATCGAAGACCTCAACGAGAACCACGAAATCTCAATCATCAGACTCAGCGAACCCATTTCCAGCGCCGTCGCGCAAGAATCACGGCAACGAACGTCAGACGCATCCAATGCATCCCAAGATGCGGCCACACCGGCCAGCCTAGAGGCCGATCTCGAGCATTACAAGGAACTCTTCGCCAAGCTCCGGTTCTCCTACGTCGAGCAGGTCACCAAAGAAAAGTTCATACGCGCCATCGTCGGCGATCCGCCCGTGATTGTCACGCCGCAGGAGAATCTGGAGCTGGAAAAGGCGAACCTCGAGGCCAAGGCGCAGCTCAAGGCGCTCAAGGTGGAGGTCGCGGACATGGTGACGGAGCTGGAGAGGAAGGGAAAGGAGCTGGCGAAGCGGTACGAGGGCGTATCGCTGGACACGACGAAGCTGAGGGAGCTGCCCGACAAGATTGCCGAGTTGGAGGAGCAAGTGGCGGAGCTCAAGGAGGCGCAAGCACCGGGACAGAGCCCGATGATGAACTTGCCCCTCGCGAGGACCCTCGAACTGGTGGACGAGAAGAAGAGGCAGCAGCAGCAGTTGGATCGCGAGCTAGAGCAGTTGCAGGCCAGGGTGCCGCGCAAAAGAAAGGAACTGGAGAGACTGCAGGCTGAGTTGCTGCCGTTGGAGGCCAAGAGACAGAATAGCACGGCAGCTGCCAAGGAGGCGCGAAGGCGGAAGGATCGAGCCGGTGGTGATGCGGACGACCTCGAGGAGCGGGGTCGCTGGTTGAGGGCTAGCGAGGCGGCGCTCAAGCAGATGTTGGATATTCAGGGTTGAGCGGATTGGTATAAGGGCGGATGGGAAGATGATGGACGACGTGATGATTTTGTATACCCGCACACAGCAAGCCCAGTCAAGAGTTAGGAAACGGCGTTGCCTGGCGTTTGGAGATGACATGAATTCACCAACTCGTTTTTACTGATACATGTCGCTCATTTCATTGTGCCAAGTAATGCCACCACTCAATTGAGACTTGACCTCTTTCCTGCCTCTCATCCTTATTCTTTTCTTCAGTGCCATTCATTGGCTCTGGAATCACACCGTCGCAGACATACAAGATCAAGAGCATCAGTCAGCTGCAGTCTTCCATTAAAGAGTCAAAATAGGGTCAAATGGGGCTGTCCAGGGGTTTGTCACCAGCCAAAAAATAACGGATTGGCGGCTGGAAAACAAGACCCATCAAAAGTCGAGGACAGGGATGCGAGCGCGGTGCACAGGCAGGTCGAGTCCCCTTGCACGCCGGGGAAGGTGCTGATTGGACGAAGATCGAACCCTCGGTCACGTGTAGTGCCATCCACGAATTTTCAGAGTGGCCGAATGGGTTGGCCCCACCAAGCCCAATCCTCTCGCTTAGGTCACGCACCACGAAATTTGACAATCGAGCGTCTTTCTCGATTGATTCCTCCGCGAACCAACTAACCGACCAGCAACCACCGAACACCATCGTCGACCACCGAATACCGCCAAGATGAGTACGTTTTTAGCCGCCGCTGTTGTCACCATCGTCTTTGCGACGAAAGGTTGACCATTTTACGCCGTTCCGATGGACTGACCGATGTTTTTTTTCTTGTATAGCGAAGGGTACCTCCTCGTTTGGTAAGAGACACAACAAGACGCACACCTTGTGCCGTCGTTGCGGTAAGTGATATCTGCCGGGCAGGGTGTCGAGTTTTGGTCCACCAGGACAGGACGCGACTACCTGCCAAATTTCGAGAATTCGAGATGAGTTCAAGAGACTGATCAATTTTCGCAATTTTTAGGTCGCCGATCGCTTCACATCCAGAAGCACACCTGCTCTTCCTGCGGTTACCCCTCGGCCAAGACCCGCAAGTGTACGTTTATCCTCCCGAACGACGAACCCAATCCGAATCTCCAGACACATCAAAGAAGACAAACCCTCGAGACTGTCTCATCCCTACGCCATATCTCTCACGCCTTCCCAATACACGCAACAACCACACAAGAACCATGAACCGAGAAAGAAGAAGAGTTACTGACGTAGGATGCGATTTACAGACAACTGGTCCGAGAAGGCCAAGCGGAGAAAGACCGTCGGCACCGGCCGCATGCGCTACATGAAGGACGTCTCCCGTCGCTTCAAGAACGGCTTCCAGTCCGGCGTCCCCAAGGGTTCCGCCGGCCCTACCGCGCAGGAGTCGTGAGCGATGATTGGAATGTGAATCGGGTCGACATGGGGAGGTATCTGTGCAATCGAGGGCATTCGGGCGATGGGGAAATGAAAAATTGAGATCGAGGGGGGTTCCAGGGAAGGCGTGGCAACGCCGCCGGAGTCTTGTCTACTCGGGAAACGATATCACGAGAAGAAACCAAAGGGAAAATCAGCTCTTTTTTTTTCTTCTGCTTTTCTTCCTTCCCCCTATCTTTCACCCCTCCCCTCGTTTTTTTGACTCGGAAGCAAAGCCAATATCAAAAAAAGAGTCAAAACAAAACCAAAGCATTTGGCCAAAATCGAAACGGGTGTTTTTACGTCTTCTCATGTTATCTCGCGCGCGGGCTCTTCAAGGGGATAAACTCACTTTTTTTTTTTTACACACGGGAAAAACGGATCCTGGGGGAAAAGAGAAATGACTTTGCTTGTCTTGTTCACTCACTGATCCCATGCGTAACTGGATAATGGTGACTCTCGTCAGTTTATGGATGGATCCAGTGTCGATTCGTCTCATTACGATGGTTTCTGATCGAACGTGCCCATGATGACATGGGTGGGTCATGGTTGATGGCCCATGGGGAGAGTATTGGTGACGAAACGCTTTGCCCCACGAGACAGCTTTGTCCGAGAGAATTCTATCCTCATCGTGGGATTGAATTCTTGCATTCGCGGGGTATATCATATGCCGACTTCAAACGTGTAGCAACCCCTCCAAGCCCCCTCCCCTCAGTAGGATTAAATAGCTTGACCATAACCCAACGCCGGGTGACATGCAACCTCAATATCCCATTACCCCCTCCCTACACTCCATCACTGCCCCCTCCCAAACACCTTGACACTGCCATCTCCGCCAATAAAGTACAATAGCTCCGTCTCCTCGACCGCCCTCTCCTCATCGCCACCCCCTCCAGCAGTGACCCTCAACACCCCGCTGACGTCGCTCGCATTGCCCGTGTCGAGCAGCCTCAGACCAATCACCGTCTCCGCGGCATGCGCCAGTCCGAGAACGAGACTGGCGTGCTCCTTCTCCAGCGTCGTGGTCTGCGAGGCGATGAGCGGCTCGTCTGCGGCAACGGTGATGATTGAGGCGTGGACTTTCTGGATGAGGTGTCAGTGAAGGACCCTCTCTTGATCTGAGAATGAGAAAAGGGACGAGGAGGGCATGTCATCAATTATGTAAAACAACTCGCACACAAATGGAAACAAGTCATTGAAGTGATGAGAATTGGGGCGTGACCATGAGCGTACGTACCTCTTGCACACCAAGCAACATATCCCTCAACGCAAGACCCGAGAGGTCCTCGCCAGACGCAGCGAGCAAGAGGTCCGGCTGGTCCACGATCAGAACCGTCTTCGCATCCGCCGCGGACACATCAGACACCGCGCCGTCGAGCTCGCGCTGGATATCAGCCAGCCTCGCCCCGCGGATGGTCCTTCGACCTTTGGGCGTCGTCGTCGTCGTCGTCGTCGGCGCCGCCTGATGAGGAGAGGAGAATAACCCGCTCAGCCCGTCCACCAAGACGAATTTGCCGCTTCTTCCTAGACCTTCTAGATCGAGGCCCTGTGGTGCACGGTTAGTTCTGGTTCATTCGATCTAGTGGTGCTGGGTGCTGGCAAGCAAGATGAGTGGTGACGGAAAAATCTCATCGAAAATCTCCATCGATGGAGGGGTTGGAATTTCGAGTGAGGGGCAATTTTTCATGTCACAAGTAGCACGACAAGACGCGACAAACAAACATACCAATCTCCCAGCGCCTTCCTTCCAAAACGCAAAATCTCTCATGAAGCTAACGAGAACGACGCGGACATCCTCGCTCTGCGATGCGGTGGCGGCCCCCTCCTCGGCAGCGGCGTTGAGTTTCCTGAGGTACGTGTACAGGTACCGCAGGACGAGCCAGTTGGTGCTGGCGCCGAGGACGCCGGTGAGGAGGATCTGAGCGTATTGGGACGGGAGGGCGAGGTAGCTCTCCAGCAGATGGGGTATCCTCGTTGCCATTTGAATTTTTCTTCGCGTATTGATCTTATGTGTAAATGGTGTCTGAGGCGGATATGCTTGGTGGTTATGGTCATGTAAGTGAAGGCTTCACTTGAAGTCAGGAAGTCAGTAGAGTCATTGTGCCATTTTGCGCCTGGGCGTGGTGGGGCTCTTATGACAGTGAGAGGATGGGAGTTGGCACTGTAAGCACCGTCCTGATATCTCGTCATTGAAGCTGAAGCTGGCATACAGATCCTCCTGTCGCCGTCATGGGCTTCACCTTCACCTTTTGATCATGCGTCCTTGGTATACTCCACAGTCGTTGACAGGTCAGATATTTCTACATTCTTCGTCACCTCTTCAGAGAGCTCGGTCATTTTCGACCGCCCCTGACTTAACCTTTCCAGTCAAGCACTTATACTACTTTTCTTTTACCTTTCACGGCTCTGCAGTCGATGCATCTCTTTTTCCACCTTTCGAGACCACCAACCAGCACTTATACTTTTCACCTTCCAAGGTCATCGGCCAATATATCCGACCTTCTTTGGCCTTTCAAGGTTACTACCCAGCATTGATAACATTGTTTCTCCACTGGATCGCACCTTCCTCTTACTTCTCTGGATCCTACCTTTCTCCGACTTTGCCTGGATCTGCGACTACCTTATATATTCGTTGTCTGTCGCATGATGTAGTTCTCACTGGTAATCGCCCTCTTGACTTTCCACATATCCTCTTCGCGTGCCACTCATATTTCCTCACCTACCACCTCCACGTCTCCAATTGACACTACCATTTCTCCTGGAGCGCATACTCAAACGAGGCATCCTTCATCGCACATCATGGTCTTCTCCCACGACAGTCTCCGTGCCGACTTCCGGCAATATTATCCGAGAAGCAGGCTTACCCTATTTCCTCACTCGCCGCCAGATCCTCATGGCCGCTCGAACTACGAAGTCCCAGATGGTCTCAAAGAAAAGAGGACCCTCTCAGAGCGAGAGGAAATAATGTCCAGAACGGCTCTTTGCTTCGATGACGGAAACCAACCTCATCTGCTCGACACAAGCCAACACGACGACCCAGCTAACAACTTGTGCGTTGAGATTGTACGGTCCCTTTCCGGCGACATCGATGGCGATAACCAAGAGCTCTTGGTTAAGGTCCTTTCCAAACCTACGACCAACCTCAAGTTGCCCGTTCCCGACACCCAAGAACATGCGATTGTCAAGATCTTCGACCCAATGTTCTACCCGGAGTATTTCCCCGCAGAAGAAGGTCCTTGGAAGGTGACATCCAGAGCCGACATGAGACTGAGCCGCGAGGCGGGCGCATACAAGGAACTGCACGACAACAACCTGACTGGCTATCCCCATCTCGCTCCTCAGTACTACGGCTGTTGGACGACCCGTCTTATGAGCTACTGTGGGACTGTGGATACCTGAGGCAGTGGCTGGTGCCCCAGGCACCAGCTGCCTGATCCACCTCCTGGTTGATCCAGCCCACCGCAGCCACCTTCACCACAACATCACCAACCAACCGTCAATACCAGTCGTATTGCCTCATTGCTTGCCTCGTTGGTCCAGATGTGCAGTGTGTACTGCCCACAGCTACTCTCCAGACTTCGGGGGAAAGAAGCGACATGTTGGCCTCGTGCTCCTGGAGTATATCCAGGGAACGAGCATCCAAGATCTATGTCGCCACGATGACGATGAGGTCCTGGTCCCTCCCGAAGGACGAATGTGCTTGGATAGCGATGGCCTCGACTCGATAAATTTCGACGAGGAGAAACGCTTGGATATTCTAGCCGAACTACTTGCTGGGGTTGTCGAACCGGTATACAAAGGAGTCTGGCATGAGTACGTGGAGCCTGAGAACGTCCTCGTTACCATGGGGAATAAGTCAGCCATCCTTGAGACGCCCCGAGTTGCCCTCATCGCCTACGACATCAGCACCATCGATTCCAAGTGCAAGAAGACCATGAACAGATGGGAGAGATTTCCTCACCCTCCGCATCCAGCCAAATGCTTCGACCTTGCCAAGCTATACGGTTTTGGTGGCTGGTGGCCTCTCGAGTGGGGAGAAGCAGTGGAAAAGGGAGAAGAACCACCCTTCAAGACCTGGCTCCTTAAAATGTTTGGACCACTTGATTCCGAGAAGTACTCGTACTTGAGGCTCTACCGTCGTCAATGGCTGGTGCGCGAGAAGCAAATCAAGCAAGAGCTGGAAAGACGAGCGAAGAGGCAGGTAGTCGGGGCGAAGAGAGAGGCCGCCAAAGATAAACCCGAGGCCAAGTCATAGACAGGTGCCTCGAGCAGGCTTCCATATTCCTTGGCAACTAAGTTGGAAACAGTGGTCCTCTGCGATTCGGATGGACGTGCATCACAGACCATTGACAGCTCTGCGCGGGGTCGGACATCACGGGCAACCACTGACAGCTCGGTGGATGATGAGGACTCGCCAAAGTCTTAGATCTCTCTATTACTATTACTGCTTTAGCCGCTTTAGCCGCCTTTGCTGCCTTTGCTGCCTTTACTGCTATAACGTTCCATGATATACTCCTCAGAGACTACCTCTTAAAAGGCGCACGGCGTAGTGAGGTCCTAAAATAATGATATGAATATAAGCAGGGGGCTGCACTCTGGCGTTGACCAACATCTTATGCTGTCACCCGCTTGGCTGGGTGATTACCAGTGTTTGAGTTGGCACTGGAGGATGAGCGGGGTGGCGATCAAGATACCATTCACATTGATGTGTCTTTATCATGGTTCTGACATCTTTGGACAGAGGTTAGGGTGGCCCCAAGGTACATGACTGAAGATGCCGCAGAATGCATGCTTGACATGGACATTTAAGTTTAGTCGGGTAGTGCTCAAAACCTACCCACCCGTAGGCTTTGGTCCTCTGCATTAGCGTGAAAGTCTCGCGGGAGGTCTAATTTTGAAGATCAACGTTACCAACCAGATGTATTGGCGAAGATACGAAATTGCCTGGGCCACGAACCAGGTGGGATAACCTGCTTGTTGGCGACTTCAAAAACGTTCAAAGCAAGAAAGATATCAACGACAGCAAACACGCTGACGGGTGGAAGCTTTGGGTTCGATCAATAAGATGTTCCGCCCTAACTATTGTAAGGCGTGTTCTTGACTGCTTTCCTAGCACCGTTTTGTTCGAACCTGGTCGGCACCCTTGAAATACACAATGACTTGCTATCCGAGAGCCTCGAAATGGTCACCGAGGTCTCTTTCAAGATGACTTTGATTTCGCCAAAGGTGTGGCCTTCCATCGGCATCGCGGCGCAGGAAAAAACAGAAACCTAGTAGGCAGGTTTATAATTCCGCCGATGGAGTATTTTTATAGACATAAAAAGGTAGTGACAAGCCTCGCGCCGTTGAGGGGACACAGCCCACTCTGTAGCATGGTATCTGGCCTCATCTCCAGAGTCGATTTGAACAACACGAAGAGTCGCGCGATCCGCGGATGACTGACTGGAACTTTTCGACGAAGCTTCCTGGCTCCCATAAAAAGTGGCTTGTATGTTTTGGAAATAAGTCAAGACGGAGGTTCTCATCCAGGCAGATTGCCATCGTAAGCTAAGGTAGAGAACAGATGACAGAGGATTCCCCTACTGTAATGAACGAGTCAGTTCAGATAGTCGTGTCTTTTGAGTCATGGTGTGTTGAGACTCACTTGTACTAATCTGACTTGTGCTATTACATCTACTCTACCGGGTGAGTCTCATAAAACGCGTCCGCAACAAGCCTCAGCGGCAAGAGGAAATGGGATGGAGAGAATCATACAGGCGACCATCCCGTTCAGGCGATCATGGTTCTTCTCAAGGTCATAGTGACCGATCATGAGTGAAGCAATCAGTTTAATACTACAGAATAGCGCAAACTCAAGGAAACAGAACCTTTGACGAGGAGCCTCGGAAGAGGGAAGACTCTAGACGGAACAAAGAAACGCTGATAGTGCATGAGCACAACCCATCTGATTCCTTCCCAAACCAAAATATACTTCCCGCCGTTCCAAGGATTCCTGGCGGCGGAGAAAATAAAGACCAAGAGAAAGTCTAAACTCTACGACGTGAAACCGAGACGTCCCCCGAGTAATAAATCCGGCTGACGCAGGGAAACTCGAGACGAGAGCCCATCCGCTTCTAGAGATGGGCAATGCCGTAATTAGTGGGCCTCCCTCCCCGGGGCGACATTCGGGTTTTGTTAGAGAGCTGAGGCATGTGGTCATCCGCTGGTATTATCCCCGGGGCAAGTCATCTGGCCCCATCGTCGAAACTACTATACAGAATCGGAACAATGTTCTAGTGCACCCGTCAGAGATAGTACAAAAAGTCTATGCATGTGGTCTTTTGTCATCGATCGTGGACGTTTCTTGTTCGGTGGGGTGTCTTCCAGAGTAAACCCCTGTCGCACGGAACTCTCATTGAACCAGTAAGACGCGCTGTTTGTGAGAAGCGACTACCTGATGCGGCAATGGCCACGGGAGAGCCTGGGAGGGCGCGGAAATCATTGACCGACAACATCTACGTGTGTCCCGCGTCTCCTTGTTGAACCCAAGAGAAGCAACCGATGCTTTCCTTAGAGCATCCAGAAGATTCATCAATAATAAACGACAACGGCTCGAAGAAATGCATTGTCGATGGCCACGCAGTCTCCATAAAGGGTGCAGTGCTGTTCAGATATTCGTGGGCAGATCCCGAGCAGCTCCATCGCACCCCGTACACAAGCAACCCAGATTCGCAGATGATGGCATACGCGCGCTCACGGCAGCATCATCCGAACAAGACCATACCACGAGAGCGCACAGACAGATGACAGATGCAGACTGCAAATACATCAGACCAGTCAGTCACATAGAACCCGGTCAGAAAAAACGACGAACACAAACCATCAGACGACTAAGTGGTACCGTCCCCTAAAAAAACCTAATGAACACCTTACCCCTACTTTTGTCGATTACAGCTCCTTGCCATCTTCGGAGACGCGTGCCAAGCGCCTTGCTTCCCATGCGGCAAGAACAAGGCCTACCACACGGCATTCTGGCTCGACCCTCGCCTTCCAGGATGCCTTGAAACGAGACACACGCGCGCCAAGTCATGTCAGTCAGCTCACTTTACCCAAATCTTGGGACGGGCCTTCACCTGTCTCATGAGACGAGCACGATACCCAGCTAAACCAAACCACCCGGAGACTTTTCAACATTCCTCTCCAAGGTAGCCCCCAGAAGGCAGCATCGTTGACTCGTGACACCCGTGATGCCTTCCGAACAGGTCGGACTTTCCTTCATGCGCAGTTCACCTCGACAAGGGGGAGGATGGTGATCTGGGCAGGTACGCCGACTCGTTCTCGAACACTTGCGTCCAAAACATAGAGATAACCTAGTACTCCGGATCTCCTCCCAGACGGAACGCTAGCACGACATCTGACCAGACCAGACAGGACCCAGATGAACGGGACCGGTTCACCCAGCAGTCTGGATTCGGTTCTCGCCTACGGATTATCAAACATTCTCACCCGTCTGGGGCTAGGTGCCTCTTATGGGATGATGCGAGTCGATCGCAAACCACGCGTGGTCAACCAAGGTCCAGTGATATATAACTTGCCGTCAATCCCTCTTATTATATCTTCCACGATCCACTACACCAGCTTCAACAACATCTAACATTATCAAGACCGTCCTCTACCACAACATAATCATACTTTCGTCATCAACTCACCATCATCACCCCAAACAACCTAGAATATCCTCTCAAACTCCAGACTAAACAAAGCCTAACCACCTCAAATTCAACATGCGCGCCTCAACAGTCCTCATGACCCTCTTCGCCGCCTTCGCCGTCGCCGTCCCAAGCAACCTCGACTCCATCAACCTCCCTTCCCTCCTCGAGACCCGCCAGTGCGCAAAGGCGGGAACATGTTCCAAAGGCGGCGACAAGGGTGAGAGCTGCTCCGCGCTCAAGTGCTGTAGTGATTCCAAGTCTGGTCGTGGCGAACAGGTACTGTCTCCCCTCCTCCTTGTCCTCATTCCTTGACTTTGTGTTCCTTGGTTTTTTATTGCCTTCCTGCCTCCAGTTTTGCAAAAAGATATGAAGAGCGAATAGTATTCTAATATGATTGTTACTTGTTAGGTCTGCTGCTGCAACTAATTGGCGTAATCACTCACATAAAACACCTCGAGACGCGGGCGCATCTCGGTGCTTTCAAACAAAGCGGATTCGGCACTCCTCCTTTCACCTGACGGAGACGACGACATACACTCTCGCTTCTTCTTGAAACAGACACATATTTAGCGATAGACTAGCGACTTCATTATTAAGTTAAAAATACTTTGCACTAGTCAACTTTCCTCAGCGTCGGTCAAGAGACAGCCATGACACCCTCACTCGTAAAAATAGAAATGAGCTTAACCCCCGCTCAAACGCATCGTACAATTCATCTCAGACCAACATTCCCTTCGTACCTTGAACAACAGACCTCCCCGAGAAGCTTTCACGCTAGAGCGCTATCCAGCATAAAGCATGGAAGATGCGCAGCCCAACCCTCCCATCTCCCCTAAAGCTGTCCACCTGTCGTTTTGTCAGAATACTTGAATCATGTCCATTGACAATGGAGTGAAGTAATTTACGAATCTGGTTCAAGACTCTCAAGAGGGAGCCCAAGAAGTTGAGGCAGAACTCTCCACGCTTTTCGCTCGCCACGACTCGCATAACTCCAGGACCAGCGTCGAATCGAGCCATCGTCGTCGACTCTCTAGCCATTTCTGGGAATTGCATCAAGATTTGGGCACATTCGTTGCCAATCGTGACCTCGGGCAAGCCCGTCAAAGCAGCGTGTGCAGCTGCCTCCTGAGCCAAGTAGGCGAGGGCCGTCGGGAGGTTTCCGCCGTCGGGAGTTGGAGTCTTGGTATTCTCGATGAAGCAGTCCCTGACTTCCTCGTTTCTTAGTTCGGGGTCGTTCTCATCATCGTCGCTCGAGCTGTCGTCGTCGTCGTCGTCTTCGTCTTCCTCCTCCTCCTCCTCGACCTCGACATTTTCAGCAGCAATTTCCGCGAGACTGATATCTTGGTCGTTGGGGGTGTTGTCCTCGGTGTCTTGGAGAAGGTCTTCGCCCTCGTTCTTCCCGAAATACGGGAACAATTTCACCCGAATTGCCTCCGGATCTTTGACGTCGTACAATCCAATCACTGTGGTCGTTCCTTCATCGCTATTGTTGAAGACCTCCATAGTTTGGACTTCGGGTCCAAAGCGCGGCCAGATTACTTTCCCGCCAACAGTGGTTTTCATCGCGATGTTGAGAACATTGAGGACGGGGTAGAAAACGTGTCTCTGAATAACATACAGCACTGATTTCTTGCTGATCAGGGGTGCCGAAGTGTCCGTTTTCTGCCTGAACGCCTCCTGTAGCTCGCCATAGTTGTCCTCGAGACCCTCCGACAGCATCTCGGTCGCTTGTCGCTGGAGTTCGTCAACGTTCGCGCGAACAATTCGCGTCGGAAACCCGATAGATCGTGTGGCCCTGCTGGGCGTGTAGAGCCTTCGCTCCCGAGGCCTTTCCATCCGACTGGTCATTTGATCTCTTTGCGGCAGATACATCACGGGGTACGGGGACCATTCTTCCTTCTGAAGAATGGCTCGGATGAGCGGGGGGGGAGAGGATTGGATGCCATTGGCGTTCGAAGCGCAAAATACCAGCTCTCTAATGGCCGGAAAAAATTAGCTTGAATAGAAAAGCTAGGGCTGCGGCGAAGAAACAAATAATCATTTATACGTACTCTTTTTCGCAAGTCCGATGGGAATTATGTCGTGACTGGGATGAAGCTAGACACTTGAGCCGACCAATTTGTCAGTAATCTGAACATGGCGCTGAGGGAATCTGAACTCGAGATGCTTACAAGTTTTCCTTGACATATCGCTTTTGTACTATCGCGACTGGAGACGCAATAGGACGCGAAGCTGTAAAATTCGCGAGACGCAAACCTCCCGGGAAGACAACGAGGTGATGAAATTGTCTTCCTTGGTGGGATGGAAAGTGAAGAAAGTCCATCGTGAAGTCTGATCCCATGACCAGACCCTCTCTGGCCTCAGGTTTGGGTCTGAATATTACCTTCAAGGGATGAATATACCACGAAGTGGATGGACCACGGGGTGAATAAACAGACAGGACCAGGCATGTACCGGCCCAATTCAGCGAGGGCGGTTGCCCGTTGATGATCATCAACAACATGCTCCATGAATCAAGCAGGTGAAGACTCCTGAGAGCCTGGGGCTAGAGCTTCCTGAAATTCATGGTTCTGCTAACCCTATCTCTAAGGCTAGTACAATCACTTCAATCACTACCTTTATCACAAGTACTACTGCTATTCTTCTGAGCTGGTTCTTCCAATACATGGTATCCTCAGTTCTTATCTGCAGCGGAAGACCTAATAAGTAACGAGCTTCTTTCACCAAGGTAGCTCACCTCAGCTCACCTAACCACCTAACTAAGGGACTCGGTGTGTCAGCTCTGCAAGTATACCTTTGACGACTATTGCCCCCTTCCCACCCCTTGCTACAGTTATCTCTCACCTTGGGTGTTAGTTTCGCCAACCTGAAGCCAACGAGTATCAATGATAAGGCATCAAAGGGGTACCGGTTGGTAGATCACACAATCAATGAACATGGAATTGTTCAAGAGACCCTCAAAGTAAACGAAAGTTGATAACTCCAAGCCCAACTACCTTCTGTGTTACACATACAAAGACTTACGACTAAACATGGTTTCTCCACCGTAGACGCCGCGCCCTAGCAAAATGGTATTTTGGTTCTCATCGTCTGTTCCAAGCATTCTTAACATTACCAATTATACCTATTAAGGCTACCAACAAACAGAAGCTCTGTGATACAAGCTGCCCCAGCTGTCTGTTTCAGAAAAGGAAAAGACACACTCAAAAGTACCCATACTTTGGAATGGCAACAAAGATGGCGGTGAAGACACCGCCCACGAGTACGGCGCACAGCATAGCCTGGAGGAAGATGGTGTCCTGGATCGTGCGCAGAGCCGGCTCCTCAATCCACACCTCGCGGTCAAAGATCTTGCGGACAATGTTGCGCTTCTCGTACTTGATGACCCAAGGCTCCGACTCGTAGCTGTTGTTAGATCCAAACGTGTCGAAGGAAGTCTTGCGGTCCTCATTCTCCTCGTCCACGAAGAGCTCCCAGGGACGAACGTGGCGATGGTGCATGCCGTGTAGAACAACGCACATGCCCTTGTAGGCTGCGACCAGGGTAGAGATGCCCAGAACCCATCCCATAGCGGCTAGTGCTCGCCATCCGCGGCCGGCACGGCTGAGAGTAATCAAGATGGCAACGACGAAAGCGATGGCAATGAGACCAACGCCGAGAGCCCGGGCGAAGAAGACGCGAGCGGGGTTACCGTTGCAGATGGACCAACGGATGAAGTTGGGGTGAGCTTGCTGGCGAAGAGAGTTCTCAATAACTTTGATGGCCAAGCGGCAGGCAGTGGGATGAGTGGTGTAGGCGAGAGCATGAAGGGTGGCATCGCGCTCCTTGGCTGAGAGGTTCAGCTGTCGCGGCGCACCCTCCATAATGTACGTGGCGACAACACGATCAATCTCTTCACGGAATGGCTGAATGGTGACTAAGATACATCAGCAAATGACTTTCAGCCCTCGAGTCTAGCAACTTACAAGGCTGCTTAGCACCCACGGCCGCGAATGCATCACTGGCCTGTGATCGGTACGAATCGGCGTTGGACACGCCCTGAGATCCCGTGTAGACGGATCCTTCGTAGTCGTTTGGGGTGCGGGGAGGGGTGTGGAAGGGGTTGCTAGAGTCTTCCACGATGCCGGCCGCGACGCCCTTCTTCTCAAAATCGGTTCCCTTGAAGATCTCTTGGCCGGGCTTCTTGCGCATCCTCTGAGACTTTTCCTTGTTCATGCGTTGAAGCAGGTCGGCCTCCATGGCTTCGGTCCACTCGGGGGCGAGAGACATGTCAGATGTCTTTGCTTCCCCAAAGCGCTTCTGGAAGTCCCGGTGCCAGAGGAAGAACTGAAGATTTTCCGCAGCATGCTCGATGTAGATCAAGTAGTTCATGAAGTCACGGACGGTACAGGGCTGCGGAGTCAGTATTTTGGATGATGTCAAAGTCATGGGTGCAACCTACAGGGCAGGTGCCACCGTTGATAATCTTGTCGAACGTGAGCGAATCCGGGATGCCCTGCAACTTCCCAGACTTGCCGGAGCGCAAGGATGAGGAAGTGTTGCTCTGCTTTTCATCACCGCTTTCGGATACATCTGAAGTGCTCTCTCGGGCTGAGCTAGTGTTGCTGACGTATACCGGTCTGCGGTAGGTGAGAGGTAGAAGACCCATGGTTGGATGTTTGATAGGAGTGATGCGGAATATAGCAGTCTTGTTGGAGAAGCGAATGAAGTAGGTGTTTTTAGGTTCTAGGATACTGAAGATGAGCGGATACCCAGAAACTTTTGGTCGAAACAGGCCGCCTTTTAGCTGTAGTATCCAAGTCCAGGAATGACGTTCAACGAGTAAGACCGGACAAACGTGATGGAAAGAGAGTAGTGTTGGGCTTGAGATAGGGTTGGAACGAAGTACAAGCTACTGCACGGTCGAGAATAGTGCTCGCCTTGCGGAAGGGGTGGAAGGGTCTGGGAGTAGCGAAGAACACAACCAGGCTTGGAGACGAAGGAACGGGGAATCAGTCGAGGGCACGGGGAGACTGATATAGCAGTGGGAGGAGAAACGCAGGCAGGCGTAGGCGTGCCTCTCAACCCGTGTCCAGATATCTCGGAGTACCTAGAGACAGGGCCAGGACGATGGCTAAACCCCACACACATTTCGACGGAAAGACTACTTTGTTTGGCCATGACTGGCTTCCGTTGACGGAGAGGGCTGAAGCTGGGCCAATCCAGAAAGCGCGAAATCAACCTTTGGCCGGGGTCCCTGTGGGACACTGGGACTTGGGATGGGTGAGGCGTCCAGACGTTTGTTGTTTCCTTGCGGAATGCGGACGGGTGGGAACGACGTGGTGGGTAGGGATGTGCTTTCTTCTCGGACTTGCTTGGTGATGCTGATATTGAGGCACGCTTGGCAGGCATGGAGGACGACGCAGAAGGAATAGCGCACCCGCGTGAGGGTGGAGGCGATGTACCGTGTACTATCCGTGTTTTTGAATCTCTGTAAGCAGCGTAAGGTAGCAGGACATTGAGAGACATGACCATGGCTGTGGATGCATGTGGGCATGAAGGAGAAGAAGCAAGAATGGCGCTAGCATCCGCATCGTTGGTTTTCAGAGTTTACACAGCGAGCCCTTGCTTACCTGCCACGCCTTGCATTATTGTGGTCCTTGTTTTGAACAAAACGAGGAACTGTAGAGCTTTGCGAGGCGGAAGCCCAAGTTGCTAGGTATGCCATGGTGACAAGGCAAACGAGGACCGAGTGAGCAAACAGCAGTGCGACGACGTGATCGATTGCCCGGATGCCTCAAGAGCGTCCCATTCTCCCATTGCAGACCTGCTACCAAGCCATAGGTGACGAACCTCCCGAAACGGCGAAATCACTGTCGATCTCCTGCAGCATCGTGGCGATTGGTGGAGTGGCCCGGCACTAGCATCGAGGCTTTCCTGAACGAGTAAGGAGCGTCTGTTCGGCTGAGACAGTTCACAGCTGGGCTTGTCTTCCCTGCTTGGGGAGAATCGACACTGCAGCGTGCAGAATTGAGTGGTACGAATACCTACTGCGTGGAAGATTGCAGGAGATCGGCAAGAGGAGAGCGTGGAGAAGAGAGCCAAAGGCCTGGAATTTTCCAGACTGGTCTAACAGTGATGAGAGATGCATTGGATGACAATCGTCAAATGTTCTTCGGGTGCTGACTTCGACTCAAGTTGTTGTAGCAACAACACGACTGCTAGCAACAGATATTGGATCAGGTCGAGCGAGGCACGGGCGAAACCTTCGGACTCGTTTCTCTCTTTTCTCCAGAGGACCGGGCCCGGGGCATGGAGGCGTAGGAGGCGGCCGTAGGGAGGTGGACCATGACGAGAGCAGGCGGCGCCTCCCACATCAAGCCTCCCAGATTCATACTTTCCGTCGTCGTCTGGTGGTGGTCGGAGACGAAGACCGGGTCCGAGAGGCCGAGGCAGAACTCCCTTTGTTTTCCATGGAGCTGAATTCATCAACGGATCAGATAAAGGCTTCCGTACTGGGGAGGCTGCAGTCCGTTAGTCCCCATCCCCAAAACCCGTCAAGTCGGATTGTGAAGGGTACTGATAGGTAACGTAAGATAGTTCAAGTCAAGTTTGACTTTGGGTCTAAGTGTGCCACTCGCCTAACGGTGCTCAGGAGGAACTGATCCGGTGTAGGGCAGGCTGTGAACAGACGGTGGGGCTGCGACAAAAGCGCGGGATTGCTGAGAGGCGTGCCTGGCGTTTGCTTGGTTGATGAGAAATCAGTGTCCCCATCTGACCGGGGATAGAGAAAAGATGAAGGTGGAAAGAAGAAAGACAAAGATGCTGCCCAGGTTGAGGCGGAGGAGAAAAAAGAGGCAAGGGGTTGGTGGTGGTGGTGGTGGTGGTGGTGGTGATACTGTAGCGTGTGTAGGTAGGTATTCGTAGACTGTAGGCCGGTAGCTACTGGAAGGGTCTCCTGCATCAATGGTCTGTGCGCGCTCCTTCCCCAAGATCGATTGACGATGCTTCCTTCCTTCCGACTCTGTGTTCATGCTTTCCAGGTTGTTCGCACCTGCCATATGACTTTCGTAGGTGAGGTTCCTTGGGGAATTTGAGCACTCGACTTACGTAATATGTCCATCTAGACTGCTCCTCGTCGCAAACTTGATCAGACGACTCCAACGACATCCCAGAAATCAGACGAGATTACTTACACGAATGCTCTCCACCAAGGTCGACCACTTTTGACAAGCCCCAAACAGCAATTGCTTTTTGCCATATTATCACCTCATGCTAATTCTCCCCTGCTTGGTCGCCATGCTAGTCAAGGACCTCATCAGCGAACCAGATCGGTAAGGCGAGAAACAATATCGGGACGACTAGCCTCTTCAACCCATCCCTGCGAAGAATGTGAAGAAGGGGCGCCTCGATCATGTCTTCTCGCCAATCGATAAATCTATCCCTGCTTACACCAATGGCCAATCAAGCCTTCGCTCAGCCAATACCCCATCCTAGTTTCTCAACTTCGCCCACCGTCACCCACCATCCAGACAAGTCCAGCCAGCCGTGCCAGCCTACCTAGAGCAAACCTCATATCCAGCCTGTCAAATCAAGTCACCAAAGGCCTTGGACTACTACCTCAGCTTACTCGGGCTCGCTAGCGTCGCCGTCCATCCCCCCCTTCAAGACTTAGGCCAACCGTCTTCCGAGCAGCGCCTTTTTCTGTGTAGCGTCGATGAGCCAGCTATCCGATCAAGCCAGCTTCCAGTAGCTCTACTATGCGAATCGGCCATCTGCAGCATGGCAAAGACCACATCTTACTCCAACCTCACCGTCGTACCGCAGTAGTTGTCGATGCAGAGGACAGGATAGCATCCCATTCAGGTCCCAAAGCTGAATATAACCCTGGTGCTAATCATTGCAGTCATCTCGAAGCGACCCCCCTCCAGCGGGACGGACGGCCCAACCAGTGGCCAGAACCCCTGTGCCGAGCCAAACGTCACCGTTACCCGATTGCGACGCTGCTTCCGGCCCGAGAGGAACAGATCGCCGGGCATGTTTCCAGCTGCGTCCTGTACAAGGTATTGGCTCGCCTATCGTGCCGCAAAATGGCATTGTGTGTGTGTGTGTGTGTGTGTGTGTGTGTGTGTGTTCATGACTGCTCTGAACGCGGCGTCATCGTATGCAGGCTGAGGGTTTTCATCACAGCCCGTCTCTGCTCTTTCTGCCATGGCTTCAGGTGAAGTTACACTTCTTGATGTCCTCAAAGGCCTTGGTTGAAACGACACCAGGTTCGGACGATCTCATCTATCGACTCCAACCGTCGACCAGGGTCAATGGTTTGCCAATTACCATCATCTAGTCCTCGTGCAGGGGCCGCTCTCTTCCCCCAGCTCTCACACCCTCTCTCCAGTCTCTGGGTCGTGGCGTCAAGCTCCTGTCATGCTCTTAGCGACCTGGGCCACACGACGCTAGCTCTCCCCTACGTCTTTTTACTCGAAACCAAGAAAATTCTCTAGCGTGGACCATGGCCTAACTTACCTTCCTAACTTCGATGGCGAGATGGGTTCCATCAATGTCAGGAGCGTGCCGTCCATGTGCTGGCCCAAGGGTTCTGACCAAGGTGCTTGGCTACCAGAATTAGAGGGGACAGTCATTCGCACTTCCCGCCTCGTGGAGAACGTGCGAATTCCTCATGGGCGGCTTGATGGCCATTTTTATGTCTTACTCTGATATCTCGGATATGTGCCTACTATGGAATGTCTTGACAAGACTTGTGACTGTCGCGCTCCTCATCTGATTGATAACATTTCCACAAACCTCGAGACATCACAGCATAATTGCGACACTGATTTCAACACTGGATAGATCTATCCAATAGACGCACAAGTGTCAGCCGTTAAAATTCTGGACTTATTACTTCGAGACAAAAAGCCTGCCGCCAGGAACATGAGCCACAGCACGAGCCATTGGAAGTCAGTCATGGGCTACTAGTCTACGGGAAGGATTCGAATTTTTCCAGTTCGGACAATGTCTTGGCTCAGGGGATACCATCTACCAGTGCCTCTCAGAAATGTCAACGGTGTTCACGTCAACGCCATCCCGGAACCACCTCTGCGCGTCTTCAATTTTGACATCGTTCCCGCTCATCTGCCTCTTGCGCATAAGCCCATTCTCAGCAAAGGTCCAATCCTCGAGACCATACGTCCGCCACCACTGTCCCGACTCATCATACCATTCGTACCAAAATTGGACGGCAATCTTATTTCAATGATCAGTAGTCTCCTTGAAGCGCAGCCACAGCTGCGGGGTCAACGGGCGACTCTGGGGAGCTCACCTTGTTTTCGGTGAAAGCGAACAACTCCTTGCGCAGCCGGTAGCCATTCTCCCTCTCCCATTTCTTGGTGAGCCATTGCTCAATCTCATCTCGACCTTTGAGAAAGGCGTCTCTGTTGCGCCAGATGGAGTCGACGGTGTAAGCCATCTTCACTTTTGCGGGGTTTCTGTAGCGATGTCAGTCGGTGTCTGCTCCGGTCGGTGAGGGGCACGGACTTGGAGTTCCATCCATCCTGGGCCGCCTTCACCTTAGTCCTCGCGGTGTCTTCGGTGAAGGGCGGGAATGGTGGTCTGGCTTCTTCCTGGCTGACCATGATTCAAGCAATACAACTTGTTCAGTGATGATGCCTGGAGTCACGGAGCCACTACCGTGGCAATGGACAGCAGTTTTTGAGTATGCCAGTCATGTTGGAAGAGGACACGAGCAACGGACGATGCAACCAATCACAGGCACAGGCTGCCAGGAGTTCGGCGTTTGTCAGCTGTCATCAGCGCCCTTGGCAAACACCGCGGGTTATGCTCTCACGGAACGACGTCAGATGAGGCGCAAAAGTTTTGATTTCTCTACTTCTTCAGCTCTAGCTGAGAAATCCAAAGCTGGCTTGAGCATGGTGAGTCTTTCACATTTCGGATGACTTTCGGAGAGAGCGCAGCAAAGTCAATCAACGGCCGACGCCGGCGCGGCTTCTACCTTACCACACAGAGCCGCGCTGACAGGCAGTGCGTTCTGGCGTTGTGAACCGGGTACCGGACGATTGACTTTCCTGGGCCCCGGCGGCTGGTTCTTCAGACGATAAAGTCACGGAAATCCAGACAAGCACATGCTCGCCGAATTGTACCATCTGCACGCCAAAGAAGTCAACATCGGAAGAGTCACGCCGGGTCTCGAGCACCCGGACCTCGCCATGATGACAAAAGCTCCCAGAGTTCAACCTCTTGGCATAGTAACTCCGAAGGACGTTGGTAGAAGGCCGACAGCCTAGATGCTCGGACGGCCGAGAGGGCCCTTGTCGCCCCCCACCGGGGGAGAGAGGCCGGGGATTGGAGCCCAAACGGACGCGGCATAAACTCCCGGTCTTGCGTCATGTCACTCTGTGGGCCGAAAGGGTGCGCATTTGCTATACCTTACTCTGTCTGCTGTCACTTTGAATGCTGTTGTTGTTATCTCCTACCTACCTTCTGCTGTCACTTTGAATGCTGTTGTTGTTATCTCCTACCTACCTCCTCAGGAAAGAAAGATACTTTGTATCATTGCATGGCTTTCCAAAGCGAAAGCGGGCAAACAAGACAACTCTCCAGAATTCCGAGACAAATCAAACCGTCGAGTCCTCTTTTTAGTGCAACGGTAGGTCCCCGTGGTCCGCACTTTTTTGCCCACTTGTATTTCGTCACAAAAGACTAAAAAAAAACAAAAGAGGCACTGAGGCAATCAGTGAGAGGCGACGGGACCGCGGCCGGCCGTCCCAGGAAGGAGTGGCCGCCCCGCGCCTAAGGAGCGTAGTATCCGTATCTCAAATACAAATCATCACGAGCTCCACTTCCCTGGAAGCTCGCAGAATTGCGCCTGGGACCCTGCCTCGGCGATCCCTCGACATCCCGCCCACTACTAATTCACCCTGCCTTCCTTTATCTGATCGTCTTTTCCCTCCTTCCATTCCTCAACAAACGCTCTGTCTATCTTCTCTCAAATCTCCAACTTGCCTCTTCTCCCACCAATTTTCAACCAATCCACACCAAATCATCAAAATGTCTGGTCTCAAGGTCGGCGAGCAGTTCCCCGAGGGCGTTGCCTTCCAGTACATCCCCCACCAGGAGGAGACTGCCGACTTCAAGGTCTGCGGTATCCCCATCAAGTACGACACCGCCAAGGGTAAGTCTCTCTCTATCCTTGTCTCTCTCAATTGAAGCATCACCAAAAGGAAAGACCACTCATGGCTAACTCGACTACCTCCCACAGAGTTCAAGGACAAGAAGGTCGTCATCGTCTCCATCCCCGGTGCCTTCACTCCCACCTGCTCCGCCTCCCACTTGCCCGGCTACATTGAGCACAAGGACGAGCTCAAGGCCAAGGGCGTCGACCAGGTCATCTTCCTCGCCTACAACGACCCCTTTGTCATGTCCGGCTGGGGCAAGGCCAACAACATCAAGGACGACTTCATTGTAAGTTTTGGTCTCTGTCTCTGTCTGGGTCTTGCTGTCATCTCTCTTTGTTTTTTTCGACGTGGTTTTTTTTCTTTTTTCTTTAGCTAGCAGCTCTAGCTGTGCTGTTGTGTTGTGTTGTTTTACCCCTCCCCCTCTTTCCGTGGAGCTCACCCCTTCACCGACTCCGATAAACGCCGCCGCCGCCGCCGCCCCCACCCCCCACTCTGCCCCTCCTCAAGGGGGGGGGGAAACAAGAGTCTCAACATGATACCACGATACGCTCAAGTCGCCTCACCCGCGGTCTCGCCTTCGTGGTCCCCCTCCCCCGTCTCGTCGCGCAATCTCACTTGTCACATTACCGAAAAGAAAACCCCAGCTAACACATCACCACCCCCAGGTCTTCGCCTCCGACGCCAATGCCGCCTTCTCCACCTCCATCGGCTGGAACCACGGCGAGCGCACCGCCCGCTACGCCATCGTCATTGACCACGGCAAGGTCGTCTACGCCGAGAAGGAGACTGAGCTCCAGGGCCTCGAGGTCTCTGGCGCCGAGCCCGTTCTCAAGGCTCTGTAAAGAATTTTGCTCCTGAAACACTAATGAATTTTTGCGTTGGGCGGGTTCTCTTTTTTTGATGATGAGAGATGAATTGCCTTCAAGAAGGATGAATCCTTGAGAAAACCAAGACATTGGGCTTTCTTTATAGACGAAAGAGGGACAAGAAGGAAACTTTCGACGCGTTTAGAACAAAAAAAAAAAGCTCATAGAATTTTGAACTTTCGCTAGACGAAGGAGGAGTTTCTTCCGAGGTGAAATACTCTTCCGCTTTATAGAAATAGAGGAAAATGAATGGTTCATGAAATTTGGTCACATTCATGTCTTGTCTGGCTCGTGAATTCGTCTTCTTGGAAACATGATGATCGTAGTTGATCTGAGAGCTGTAATGTGAGCTGCACTGTATGAACTACGTGTCACTCCAAGACGCCGCCATTGGAGAGCTTAGAGCAACGGACTTGTCTCGGTAGCGGGGCTCGGAGATGCGACATTGCCGCGAAGAGAGGCGGGGGGAGCAGGAAGCGAAGGAGAGGAATGGGGTGTCTTTTCGCACGCTGAGAATGGTGTTGTTGATCACTTCAACCGGGACTGCATGAGGAACATACGTTATATGTGCGTCTTATTACCATTGCAGGAATGATGCGTGTAAACGGTGAGTGTCATGGTTCGAAATGACAGATCTCAATAGAGGTGCATGGTTAATATGTTCTCGTAGAGAATAGGGTTACTATCAACTTTAAACCAACCTAGCAAGTTGAATTGAGATTATGGGAAAGAGGCTATGGATGTTTATCATTGATCGTCTTTACGATATATAGATATAATTTATAGCTTAGCTATTGGTCTTCATGTCCTTTGTCTGAGATGATCCATCTAGCAGATGCGTTTCGGCGGTAGACAGCAAGAGCTGGATGATTCCATAAAGTCATTGCGAAATAGGTAAAGGGTATGGGTTTCAAGAACATTTATCGTCTGGAGAGAGCCTCGAGTCCCTATCTTGAGCATGTGAGACCGCGGAATGGAAGGATCGTGACTTCTCTCCATTCCCAATGGGGGGCTGGGTATATCATGGCATTGTCACAGGAGAGGCAATAAGTTTGATGCTTCTTTGTTTTGTAGCCTGAGAAAGGAGGTAAAGGAGACGGACGTCTCGAGGGACGTAGGGGTTGGGCTCGTGATAAAGGCTCAGATCTACGATGTATCCCCTATGGAGTTATGAGAGATAAACCTTCAATCATGTCACGCTCCAGAAACGACATCATCAATCACTTGGCTAGGAGCACACCAGGCTCGAGTCACCGAATAGGGAATTCAGAATCAAAACGTTGGTAAGAATCCCCCGTGGGACAATTCCATGCAATTCCGTGCTACCGTGATTGTGTAGTTATAGAACCCCAAGTCCCGTTCAAAGCACAATGAACCCTCGACTCCAAATAAGTTTTGAACCTGGTCGTGTTGTGCCCACATCGTTTGTTGTCAGAAGCGTTCGTTCCCTTCTCTCTTTAAAAAAAACAGTTTGGTCCTCCTCTCACCAGCCGGAAGGGGAAAGAAACCCTCGGCCGGGGTTGGGTTCGGCCGTTCTTGTCTTTTGCTCTTGCTTCCCGGATGTCACCAGCCTCACGCCGTCTCGACTAGAGAAATGTTTTTACTCTTTTTTTATTTCATCATGTCAAGAAACAAGCCCCATCCATATCAAAAACCCATTTTTTCCCATCCTCGGAAAGACTAGAAAAAGAAGTGTTGTTTAACGGGTACGGGCCTGGACCTTGGGAGCGGCGCCCTTGGAGCCCTGCTTGGAGGCGATGGGGCCCTTCTTGCCACCGGCGGCAGCGGTCTTGGCCTTCTCGGCCTTCTTGGCGGCGGCGTCGGCGTTCTTCTTGTCCTTGGACTCCTTGATGGCGGCGGCGCGGGCGGCGGAGCGGGCCTCGGGGCGCATGGAGCGCTTCTCCTTGATCACATCGAGGGAAGCACCGACGATGGCACGCTGGGCCTTGACGGTGCGGCGGGTGCGCTTCTTGGCGACCTCCTGTTGTGGGGGTCAGTCATCTTGCTTCTCTGGGGGTTTAGTGCTCGCGACGCGTGGAGGGGTACGAGATGGTAAAATCTCGAATGTGACACCGTCCGGCGTCGCGATGGTTGGCACTCACCTCAGAGATACCCTTGCGGTGCTGGCGACGGTACAGAACGGTCCAGGCAATGCGGCGGGGGTTCTTGCGCTGGAGGAAGAGGGACTCGGACTTTCCGTTCTGGAAACGGAAGATCTTGGAGTCACCGCGGACGTAGAGCTTACCCTGTATCAGAGTCTCGTCAGCGTCTTGTTTCCATGTGTTTGTCTTTGCCTCCTCCATGAAGTCGTCTCCTTTCAATCATCTTCCCTTTCCCCGTCGATCAATGGTCGCCCCCCTGGCTTGCTCATCCATCCAAGTCGTTGCCCCTCATGTCCCAACTCTTCCATCTGAGGTTGAGCTTCCCTACTGCCCAGCCATGCCTTAAATAGGTTCCTTCGATCGACGGGGGGAAAGATGATATCGGAGATGAAGGGAGGGGTGGGTGGCGTTATCATCATCGTACCTTTCCAGGGTAGATTCTCTGTCCGGAGAACGTGTCGTCGTACGTGCGCATCTTCAAAAATCAGTCAGAAAGCAATCCCTCGAAAAGTTCGGAATATCCTCCTGGAATCGACCCTCAATTCGTTCTCTTCGTCTGGCCCAGCAAAGATGTCGTTGAAAGCGGTCTCTTTCGTTGATGTCGAAGTCGCGTTGTGCTGGGTAATCGCTTGGGCAGCAGTCGGAAGAAAAAAATCGAGGGTCGACCGGACGAGGAGGTTATCTATTGAACGTACATTGGCGGTATTGAATGCGAACGTTGGCTGACTTGTCGATGAGGTCAAAGGGTTCGGGAAGGGGAGGGTAAGACCAGACTGGCACTCTTCGCGAGATTCTACAATTTTCGACTCTGGTTCGGAAATTCGTCGTGGGAGGGTAGAATAGCCTAGTGGGCGTCAACCCTACGCGGATGGGAGAAAGGGTGGGTCCGTTCGTAGGCTGGTGCGGGTGTCACGTGGAGATAGCCATCGCCGATAATTTCCGCCGTGCGCCACATCTGTGAAGGTACCTATTGTGGCTTATGTATGTCTACAGGCCCCACCCGCAACTTCAAGTCAACGGTGGTCTACGACACACGCTCATGCCTGGGAGAAAATGTCGAGAAGAACCCGGTGATGAAAAGCTGGCTGAGGGCGACGAGACCGCTCATGAGAAAATCACAGCCGTCAACAATGTCAGCCGACCCCGATGAGATTGCAGACGTTGTTCTGCGGCAGTTTAAGAAACTGCCTGCAAAACGCCGGCCTCAGGTTAGAGACAATGGATTGCATGAATGGGTTCCCCTGAGCGGCATCGTCGCTGAGAAAGATGGTGTTCTGACATGTTTCTCACTCGCGTAAGTCAGATGGCCATATGTGTGATATCGTGTGGGCGAACATGCATTGTCTACTTGCTAGTTGGTTCATATGGTACATACTTAAGACGTTGGATCTCATCTTGTCTATATCACGTTGTTCTACGGGAAACATACTCCTCGTAGCTCCCATGATCCGTAGCAATATCAAACCTCATTTCATCTCATCAATCTCATCTATGAACACCTGGCTGACACCTACCGCAGAACGGGCATGAAATGCCTCCCAGCCAGCAAACTCCCCCTAGCAAAAGGAAACGCCCTCCACGACTGGCACGCCGAAGTCCTCGCCATCCGCGCCTTCAACCGCCATCTCCTGGACGAATGTGACACCCACTTGCAGGAAAATGAAACCAGAATCCCTTCCTCAGACATCATCACCAGACGCCCTCCCTCTGCCATCTCCCCCGCCTCACCCCAACCCTTTGCAATCAGAGACGACGTCACCCTGCACATGTATTGCTCCGAAGCCCCCTGCGGCGACGCAAGCATGGAACTCACAATGGCGGCGCAAGAAGACGCTTCACCCTGGGAAGTGCCCCCATCCACATCCTCATCTACAACCTCCCCGGACGTCACCGCTCCCGCTGCCGCTCCCGCTCCCGGAACAACAACGGACACCAAGTCGACCCCCCTCCCAGGAAGAGCCTACTTCTCCCACCTAGGCATCGTCCGCCGCAAACCAGCTCGCGGCGACGCGCCCCCGACAACCTCCAAATCCTGCTCCGACAAGCTCGCGCTCAAACAGTGCACCTCCCTCCTCGCCTCGCTAACCTCCCTCCTAATCCACCCAGCCAACGCGTATATTTCCTCCCTTATCCTGCCAGAGTCAGAATACTCCGCCACAGGCTGCGAGCGCGCATTCTCAGAGAGGGGACGGATGAAGGCCGTGGCGGACGAGACAGCGCAGTCGAAGGGCGGCTACCGGTTCTCGCCGTTCGAGGTACGCTCCACGACCCGAGTCTTTGAGTTCTCGAAACGGAGTGTTAGGGGACGGGTTGGAGCGGATAAGACTGCGGCGAGTAACCTCGCTGCCGTCTGGACTCTTGATGGCCGGGTGGATGAGGGGACGATGGGCGGAGTGCTGCAGGGGCGGAAGGCATTTGATGTCAGGGGCGCGAGTTTGGTTTCTAGGCGGAGGATGTGGGAGCTTGCGGCGGCGGTGGCGGAGAGGTTAGCTGGGGAGGAGCTTGATGACGAGGACGAGGTTGGGGGTTTGTTGCGGCGGGCGTTGGATGTTGATGCGTATGGTGAGGTCAAGGGCGGGGAGATGCTTGCTTATCGGAGGGAGGTGAAGGAGGCTGTTAGGAGGGTTGCGTTGGCGGGGTGGGTTGTTAATATTGGGGATGAGGAGTTTGCGAAGTTGTAGGATGGGATTCGTCACGGTGGCATGGATGCTGGGAGGCATGAGTGCGACGCATGAGTGCGACGCAGTTGGGGAGATCAAGTGATTCCACTTTGTACATCTTCATCTACTCACCATCTCATAACGTTATGAGTATGGGCGGATTTATTCACTTCGTCGAGACGTCAATACCACTCAGGGCCGGCATGAAAGACGAGCCTCACGCATCTTCCCAAAGCTAGACGTTCCCTCACCGTCTTGACACTCCACATCCACACACACAATTTCAACCGCCGGGGAACACATTGGAGCGTCTTGGAATCGAAATGCGTTGGAAGTCAAGTTTTGTATCTCGTTAATTTTTCCCATTCCTTAAAACCCACACGCTCGTTCATAGATGATAGGCAATCCACGGAACCCCCGGGCAGTTTCGATCAAAAAAATCTCTCTCTTCTCTCTCGAACTCCATGACAAGATATAGAAGTAGTCGGAGAGGGGCACCATTTGGTTTGGGAGCTTTTTTTACTTTATTGATCTTTTTTCGGCAAAATTTCATCCTTTCTCTTCAGTTTGAAAATTGGTTGCCGCTTACTCGACCTTGCTCTCAAAGTTCTCACCCTCGACCAGGTCGGGGATGTCATCCTCCTCACCGTCCTTGCCCTCCTTCTGCATGTTCTGGTAGCTCTCGGCGAGCTTGCGGAGCGAGGCGAGGGAGTCGGGGCCGAGCTGGTTGAGGATGCCGGGGACGAGCTCGGTGAGCTCCTTGTCCTCACCGTTGCCGTAGATGGCGAAGGTGTTGGCGGGGACAGCGGCGTGGACTGGAAAAGGTTTCATCTTAGCATATGTCCAGGTCTTCTCTCGTGCGGTGAGGGAGGCATATGAGGGGACAGAGGTGTATCGGGGCAGGGTGTGACGGTGACGGTAGTAGTTGGTGGTCATTTACCCTTGGGAGCAGCGAAGTGGATGACGTTGCCGTCAGACTTGAACATGTTGACCTCCTCAATGGCCTGGATGGGCTGGACGTTGAGCTTCTTCAGGGCAGCCTGAAGCTTCTTGTCGTCGGCGGCGGAGCGCGCGGGCGCACGCTTCATCTTGCGGCGGGGAGTGCCCTTGCCGCTATCGTCGGGCGAAGCATCGATACGTTAGTCATCATTTCCTCTAGTATAGAATTTGAACATTTCGCGACGAGCGGTTCGGGAGGTGTCTTTGTGTGCAATTTTGTCTTTTGAATATTTTGCGATTTCTCGGTGAGGGAAGGGTGGTGAAAAATGAGGGGTCAATTTTCGGAGGTTCACACATACCCTGCGCATCGGGGATATTAGCTACCAATTTCAAACCCGACAGCATTACGACAGCATAGAGAAACACAGATACAACGTACCGATACGCGCGGAGGCGCCGAGCTTCTTGAGGCGTTCCTGGACGTCCGACATGGTGGGCAGATTGGCTCGAAAATTGACGAGTTTGGGAGGGGAGGGAGAGAGGGACGGTTTGACGTGGTGGTTTTGCGGGTGGGGGAAAGGAAGCTGGTGCTGTGCGGTCGTCCCAGGGCAATTAGCAAAAATGTGTGGTATGGAGGTGGGAAAAACCCGGGCGGGCAGCCACCGGCCGACCCCCCTCAGGCGAGGACGGGAGCTACGACCACACGCATAGTCCCCCCGCCCTCTTTCTTTCCATCCCGTCCCGTGTGTGCAGGCCGGATCAGAGTCAAATTTACTGGGCAATTACTCACCGCGATTCGTTACGTTTGTCACACGTTAATTATCTACCACAAGGCTGAAGCCGGCTTCTTGAGCTCTGCGTGATGAGGGTGATGCAATGATGGAGGTTTTGTGCGTGCCAAGAATTCCCTTCGCTTGCGGAAATAGTATGTGCCGAGGTACGTTCCTTTTTCGACTTCACCGAGGGCTCACCGAGCGAGGTGGGGCTGGCTGAGTGATGAGCTTTTCGGCTTGCGTTCTCAAGTGTTGCTGGAGGAGGCTGATTTTCTTCGTTAATGACAATCACCATCTCCTGATACGATGCATACTGTAACAACTCAATCTCCAGGTCAAGGTCGAGACGTAGATTCCAAGCACGCAACATCGCTGCCGCTCATTTCGTCAATTTCATCCAAATGTCTTTGAGCCCTCAAACGCCTGAAAGCAACCCTCAGAGGTCGGCATGGTATCTTTCGTTGTTATACAGCCAATATGGCATATTCCCAGACCCTCCGAGTCCGCATCGATATAGTACAGTCCGTCGCAGAGTGATGGGACATCAATCCAGGTCATCCGACATGCCCGACTCCTTGCGCATCGCTGCTTGCTGCGCCCTGAGATCCGCTTCTCTCCTCCTCTGCTCGTTCACGCGTGCCTGCTTTTGTCTCTCGATGTCCTCGTCTCGTACCGTCCAAACTGTGTTCTGTGTTAGCTTCACTCTGACCCATGATCTTAAGTTGTCATGTGCGTACTCGGCTTGTTCGACTTGGAGTATTCCTTCAGCTTCGTGACAAACTGGTCAAACTCCTCCTGCGTCTTTTCGCGGTTCGCAAGACTCCTCGCCTGCAGCTCAGGGTTGTATCTCTTGAAAAGCTCCTCCTCCGTCGGCGACACCCACATGGTGAAGGCCGGACCGCCCACGCAAAAGATTCCGCCACTGTGCCCTTCTGTCAGTCTGTCGTTCGCCGCAAACCTCCAAGCGTCTCAACGTACCCAACCAGCATCTTTCCCCACAGCTTCCAATTCGTAGCCTTCTTCGTCGCCATGGTGATTGAGTTTGTGCGATGCAGCGGGGATTGCGAGAAGGCTGTGACGATTTGGCGAAGCTCTGGCAATGGAGGCTTGAGTTCGGGGCTCTGCGACACAGAGGCAACCCTCTCACAATCGATGACGAACCTGACGCGCTTGATTGGAGATCTACCGGTCGAGACCTAATTCGGAAGGCGGTGGGAAGCTGCCAGCTCTTGCCTTAGCTAAGCTTGCACATGGCGGCGGTTGGTAATCTTTGCGCTGGAGATGGTGTGGCTGGTGCCTCAATGCATCAGCTTTCATCCGCATATTCTTAGCCTGGAAGTTGAAGCACCAATGCGAAGACTCGGGCTCGAGTCCGTTCGAAAGTGTGGTACACTACACCATCAACTTTCCATGATCGCCAAACACACAGACCAGTTCTCATCTTCCCAGCACAAATCTGCAACCTCGTGGCGCAGGCGGAAGACCACATGTCCGAGGGGGCTGTGCTCACTGTCACCAACATCGAACAAAACGTTGTGGTTGGATGATGCCTCAACCCTTTTGGAGACAAGCAACGCTCCAGATCGACATGCGGGAACGCAAAAAATGCTTCCCGTGCTCCTCTCCCCAATGACAGGACGAAATCCAGCACCGACCCTCGCGAGTTGCGGCGGGATACTCCCAGAGAGGGAGGCCACTTACTGCCCATCAGAAACCCATGTGCCGGCCAGGTAGTTCACTGGCGCCCGACGACGCAGCAACATTTTGATGTCAGTCACGATTGTTCACTTTCCGTCATTGTGGCAAAAGATCAAAAGGCCTCCGTCTTCAGGGGCGTAGTATCTTCCACGCGTCTGAGGGTTCCCATGCATCGTGATTTGACCGTTGAGGATTAAAGCCATGAACCCCACATGGAAACGCCGGTCTTGGCCGCTCAGCCCTTCCTTCGAGGCGGGAAAGAAAACGCTCTACTCCGAACGGGACGGAAGCTGACGAAATGCCTAACCCACCTCACCGCATGCTTGGCCGCTTGGCCGTACGTTGACCGGGCCGAAGGGCCTTCCTATTCGACCTTGGTCGTTTCCACATCATAGGCATCATAGGTCGTCAAGAAGCGGAGGCGACGAAGGCGACCGTCGTAAAGCAATACGATAGGGTAGAGGCCTCCTGAGCGTGACCAGAGAGGCTGATATACCGTCGACGAATAGCGACGCCGCAGAGACTCCCTCACAAGGACATCTGCCTAGCTATTGCTCTTACGGAATGAACTGCCCGCCGAATGATGTATTTCCAAGTAAAGAAGATTGACGCAAAGAAAAGCAGAGACTAGCGGCGCTGCCTCGGGGTGGTTGCATAAACAGGCATTGCTGTCACTGAATCCCGCAACCATTCCAGCACCAGTACAGTACGGTGTACCAGCACCCGCGCTCCGGGCAACAGGACGGGAGTCGACGGGAAGCGAGAGACATGAGACGAAATGTCGCGGACTGGCTCGGCGCACAGAGACTCTGCGAACCCAATTGCCCCTCGTCTCGCTGAGGGTCCTGTCGGTACACCAGTACACCAGACACACCCAAAGACGGGGTTCAACAGGAGCCTGGACTGTTTCCGCGCCCTTGCTTTTTTCGGTTCTCGATACTTGGGAATAGGGTTATCCTCAGACTCTCCTGATATATTGCTTCTTGTTTTGAGAAGAGGTGAGCAAGAGCCGAGTAGCAGCCGGGCCCCTGATGCTCACGGCTGACGGCTGATGCGTGATAACGCTGGATCCCCAAAAGGCAGACTCCATGGGAACAGCAGACTCAAAAGGGGCCACAGGCCAATGAGGTTCGCCACCGGGGAGTTTCTGATACAGCGCTTTTGTTGTGTGCACCTCGAGAGAGACGCGGAGCCGGAACGCATTGCAGCAATGCTCGTTCAACGGGTCCTAGGGGGTTTGCTATTGATCCTTGCTTCTTAATAAGGCACATTGTGCAACCCGGGTCAGGCAGTCAGGTGAGAGCAGGCGACATGCCTGATCAGCGTCGTTTTTCTTAGGGCACAACATTGCATCGCTTGTAGTGGCTGAAGAATATTGCAAAGAGCAAAAAAGAAGAGGTTGTCAGATGAAGCTTTTTGGGGGTGTTGCCGTAGAAGCATCCGATTGAGGTTGGAATGTCTCTGGTGCTATCTGCCTCGTGACGACGAAGACGGAAACGGAATAACTGTTGCAAATCATTCGTTAAAGACAATTATGACATTCCAATGTTGGTTTGCTGGACTGACGTCTTTTTTTTGTGTACGCAAATGAATGAATGGGTGTGGGGGGAG